GGTGATTTATTTGATTAGTGAATGACAAGTCATGTAGTCGATATATCCATTTTGTCGAACGTTTCTGAGTAGAAATCAGTTACAGTAGCTACGATTTCTTAAGTAAATGCTTTTGTCAGAAAAAAAAGAGGAATACTGTGAATTTATCAGTGGCAAATTGAAAAGGCATTACTTTTTCTTAACCCTGTTCAATGAAGGAAACAAATATCGATAAGCATATCTGAATGTAGTATGTTTCCACAAATCGTCAGAAAGAATACAAACAGTTTATAATGACAAGAGAGATTTGGTTAACATTTAGTCAGCCGATGGAATAATAACCACGAGGCATCGACAGTGTTTACCAGTCGGTGTAAATGCATTATTTAGAAAGGTAAATTTCAAAGTTAATTTGTTTATTTGTAAAGCATTTTACTATTTTATGAATTTCAGGTTAACACAGAAATGTAGTTACAACTTTGAATAGCCTAAGGTTTTAGAAATTGCAGGTGGTGATATTATAGTACCTTTTGTTTGATGAATGACTCGACATCTTCCACTTCAAAGATAATTGGTTTCAATTTATTGTCACCTTTAAATGGTATGTTCGTAATAAATATAATATATTGTATTCATTAAGTAGTTACCATATGATGACAGGTCATCTGACAGATCATAATCATAATATTGTTGCAAGGTTTAATATATCACTTCCAAATTCTTTATGAATCGAATTTAAATTAACATTTGACTTTCTAGCAGTCTGATTTTCACTGTCTAATACTCATTCATTTTATTGCATTGTATACGTCATCATAAGAATTACCATGTTCTTACAGTATATAGAATCTATGGAGATCCAGATCATTGCTGTTAGTGTGGCCTGACACTTAAACTTACAGACTCAGGTTTTAAATTCTAGGGGAATGCCACTCACATTCAGGTTGCATGGACTCCTAGATTGCGAGTTGCAATAGGTAGAAAACTCAGGTCCAAGTTTTCCTGCTGATCATTGCTAACAGGCAGAAGTAAAAATGGGATCTTCCTAATAATTCATTGATTCATTACTTTGCTGAAGTTTACATGTTTTAGGCTTACAAAAAATTACATGAACATGCCACAGGGATTATGCTGATATATTTGACTGGTGTTAAGATTGGAAATAATGTCCACCATCTCTAACTGGACAAAAAGAACTCACGACATGGACTAGGTTTGAATCTCAGTCATGTGTTTCATATATGGGGCTCAGGATTTCTTTTGATCCTGAAAATCGTAACCAATGAATTTTGATATCGTGTATCGGCATACTCATAAGTTCAGTCAAGAAATATCATGTGTCGCTTAAAAAGTGTCAGAACTACATAGAGATAAAATTGACAATTTGTGAAGTTTACATTAGAAGTTTATATGGTCCATCAAGTGTGTGAAGCTGTTAGATTTCTTTCATACATGATACATGATATTTGTAAGACCAAACGGAACAATAACTTAAATAAGCCAAAAACTATGTTCATAATCGACGGAAAATACCTATCCAAACATGAATATCAGAACAACAAAGTTCAGCGAAGAGTCTCTTTTCGGCGAATTCATTCACTCAGCTGTACAATCGCATTTATATTTATTTATTTTGCGTGTGTATGTGCATGTGTACGTTAGGATTGTCAAACAAAAATAAAATAAAAACTAGTTAGGGTTACTGTTTATGTCATTAAAATGTTTCTAAAATGTGATGATTAATCAGAATTGTAACTAATGGGGTGAAGATTGGTAAGTATTGACAAGGGTTGTGTAGTATGAAATAGGGTGTTAATGGAGACACGTGTCCAAAAAGTAAATTATGTAATAGGTAGAAAGAGTAAATAAGAAGAAGAACATATCAAAAGAAGCCTCCCGAAAACGGCAAGCTTTTGTATACTTTGCATTGCCGAGGCCTTAGTGATCCGCATAAAATCCCTGATTTATGCACACAGAAGAAACTTCTCTACCCCCTCCTTCTAACTTGGGTCTAATTCCAAGTCCTACGACTTTGTTAATTATGTTTTGTTTTCTTTTTTTTGTTTTTTGAATTTTTGTGTGGCCTCTTAGTAACATGTTCTTCTTCTTATTTACTCTTTCTACCTATTACATAATTTACTTTTTGGACACGTGTCTCCATTAACACCCTATTTCATACTACACAACCCTTGTCAATACTTACCAATCTTCACCCCATTAGTTACAATTTTGATTAATCATCACATTTTAGAAACATTTTAATGACATAAACAGTAACCCTAACTAGTTTTTATTTTATTTTTGTTTGACAATCCTAACGTACACATGCACATACACACGCAAAATAAATAAATATAAATGCGATTGTACAGCTGAGTGAATGAATTCGCCGAAAAGAGACTCTTCGCTGAACTTTGTTGTTCTGATATTCATCTTCTTAATCACTAGCTGACTAATCTGCTGGAAGTTGATCAGTGAAGTTATAATGAACGTCTTTTATTGGCAGGCTGAGTAATCTGCTGTTCACTGAAATCCCAAATTAAAGCCTGATATTGGACTGTTGAAGTTGTTTGCTTGTTCTTAAGCCGACTAGCTGCATATCGATCATGAAAACGGCAGTCGAGTATTAAGATCTTCTGGTCAACATGAGTGGTTTCCACTTACCCACACCAGTCAAAAGTTTATTTCACCTTATGAATATCAGTATATCATTTCAATTTATCTTCTCACAAAAGAACTTAATATACATACTATTTACTGCAGACTAACTGTTCTTGTACTAGTTGGTGGAACCAAACTATCTCTCACCCATCTGCTGTCCTATTCTTTTTCATGATCACTATGTTCAAGTTTCAGCAAGATTCTTTTAGTCTGTATTTCGAATCTACAATAGTATAGTGGAAATCTTAACAACATCAATAAAACCAAATTACTCACAACAGTCTAAAGAAATAAACTATTTATAATGTCTCTTCATTGATTGCAAGATTTCATCATGAACTGACATCGGTTAGAGAACCATTGGAAAACCTGAGAGTACTAGACAGCTGTTTCGTCCTAGTTTGGGACTGCTGAAGAGTCCCTCTAGCTGATGTCAGTTCATGATGAAATCCTGAAACCAATCAAATCCCTGCTTAACAACACTTGAGTTTACAAGTTGTTTTCAAGACGAGTCATATATAATTTTTGTTTTAGATTAAATATTTAACATTACATATTTAAGAAGTCTTGTACCGTATCTGAATAATGCGCCAATCTAATAATACGTGTGGTGAACAAAGAATTTCATTTATTTATAAGTATGAATCGAACTTTATTTTAGATTTTTTTAAATAACACATCTAATTGAAACTGTATTCTTAGCTCACTGGTACTGCTGAGTTGCGGTTCCCTAGTTTACGGCAGTGGATGACCTTAGACCAAAACATAAAACACTCCTTTGGAGTAATGATGGTTCGTCGAGCTCATGGACCTTGTAACCAGAAGGTCCTGGGTTCGAACCCTGGAGGTGGGTGAGTGCTGATGAAGAGTTCAAAACTAGGACGGACGAAACAGCTGTCCAGTACTCCCTACAGGTTTTCCAATGGTTCTCTAACTGATGTCAAGTCATGATGAAATCCTGAATGAATGAAATCTCAGAAGGGATATTGTAACAATAGAAGGCAAGACACGTGAGCCAAGGTATATTTTTCATTAATCAAACCGCTGTTTATCTATATATATCTACAGTTTATATTCGTTAACCAATCACCGAGCGTGTGATTTTGGTTTACATCAAACAACATGAAATAGAATGTTCAAATATACATAGTATTTTTTGTTAATGCAGTATATAACCGTGGGAAATGTATTCTGTCTAATATCAAATCGAATGTTCAAACAGATATAGTGTATGCAGTATTGAACTGTGGGAATATGTGAGCATATTATTCCGTCGGCAGACATTGTCTGTATCACACCACCACAATCCAACCGATGTCAGCTCATGATGAAATCCTGTAACCAGTCTATCAAATCCCTACAAACCAATACTTGAATGTCTCTTTATGTATTACCAATATGAAGCTGATAAAAGCAGCAGTTATGACAATTTTGAACATTCCAAACCAGAACAAAGTGGTTTTCTTAGAAGAAATATAGAAGCAATATTCATTTGTTCTTGGTGTTTAGTACTCGATCACATGAAGCCATAGATTTTGAAAATGATAGCTGATAGAGACAAAGACAGGTGTCATCATTGCTAATGAGAAATCAGCTGTGAAGTATTCGAAATTGCTTTTAGCAACGAAGGCTTGTGGAAAATTGAATAATAAGTTTGAACAAAACTTTGTGTGACATGAAACAATCCTATAATATAATTTTATGTGGTGTAACACACAGTGACACAGTATTATTTATTTACTGATGACCTTTAGGGGATAATTTATTGTCATAGTGGTGTAAAGTAACTCACATAACTTCCATATTTCCTGTATTAATATCACTTCAACCCTATGGCAAGTGTTAGGTATTTGTTCAATTGATAAAACTTTCATGATCAGCATATCCCGCCACTTAGCTATACAGTCTATGCGTATTGATCAAAGCTTTTTGTTTACGAGTCAGTTGAATACCAGTTTCCTGAATATTGTCATTTTATACTTTGAAAAAAATTACACAAATTATCATAGATTTTCTTCATGAGACAGACTCACAAAGCTGTCTTAATTAATGTTTCAATGAATTCATAGATCAGTTTAAGTAATTTCTTCAAATGGGATATAAATTGTTTTAATAATTAAGTGGAAAGTGACAAATTAGTTTAGTTAACAAACATACAACAGCACGGTAATATGATATATAGCAGTCTGCCTTATGCTTGTTAAATAAGTTATAGGTTTACACAATCTATGATCGATTAAATAATGAGCATAATTTGAATTATTAGTGATCTATGCAGTTACTGTTTTCGTATGCCATTTACTGACACTTTATAAACATTTCATCATAAAGACTTAAAATTTTTGGCTGAAGTATACAAAATGGACTTTAGTAGTAGACCAGAATCGTATCATTTTCATTCAATGTCACGTTCTTTATCAATAATTCAAATGAAAAGAAGAAGCACATTGTCATTTTACAGGAATTCACGTTCTGCAAGCTTACCTCCAGACTTTCGAATAAATATTAACTATCAAGAACTTTTAGAAGCATTTAACCATTATTATACTTCATTGCCTATTACAATTCATCCAGAAAACAGTTTAATTATTATGAAAGATATGTATAAATCAAGAAAAGATATGCCAACTAAGGTAATTGCACCTGACGGTGAGTTATTTCTCTTAGAATTATTTTATTTCATATGTGTTAACACATTAGAAGGAAATGTTTATATTCACTAATGAAATACCATAAAATCAAAAACAAAAAAACGATTAGCTTGCACTTACGATCATATTTAAACAGTAAAGTGTAATATTTCCAAAAAATGATAAATTAGAAATGAAAGTAATCAATAACCTGTGTGATAATCATCTTTAAACTTGCTTATTTAAGGTCATCAGTGTATTTAAACCTAGAGGTTAAGAGAGTTCACCCCAAACAGTTCGCATATAGACAGGGTAGGAGCACTTTAGACGCTGCAACCGCCTAACACAACAGTATCGTCTCATCATTAGATAAGGGCGCCAAATACGTCCGCTGCACGTTTCTCGACTTCACTTCTGCTTTCGACTCTGTACCTAGATGTCTCCTGCTAAATAAGCTCTCGATGACACAAACTGAGTCCTGGGTCACTAACTGGTTGCATTCCTACTTCTCAAACAGAATGCAGTACACTGTATACAAAAGTGAATCCTCCTCTGCTGTGCTCACTGAACCTGGTGTCCCCCAAGGTGCTGTACTCTCCAGACTTCTCTTTTCTTCCTTTCTACATGACTTACCATCTTCAAATGACATTAATTTTGTCAAATATGCTGACGACCTGACAGTATCTTTGCCTGTTAAATGTCAAAGCGACTGCTCTAAACTTAATGGCTTTCTGTCAGAAATCAGCCAGTGGTCCAAGGAAAATGGTCTTACCCTAAACCCCTCCAAATTCCAAACAGTCAATTTCACCTTAAGGGATAAATCCGACCTAAACAAACTGGTTAGCTCTCACGAGGTGTGCAACACAGATGGCACTGAAATAGAAACCAAGTCGGAAATCAAATACCTAGGCATCATTCTATCTGCTGATCTTTCCTGGTCGTCTCATGTCTTGATGATTTCTAAGAAAATATTCCGTCTTACCTTCTACATCAAGAAGTTAAAACATTCTGGATTAATCCAACCCTTACTCCTACAATTCGTTAACTCTCGCATTTTGCCTATTATTCTCTATTGTCCCCCCTTAGTTTTTCCCGGGCTACTGAAGAAAGACTATAACATATTACGCAGGATGTTAAAGGTTGTCAGCAGGGTAAGCAACGTGCCACTTAACCAGCTTGTTAATATTCTGGTCGACAGGCACATGGACTCATGTGAAAAATGGGCTAAATCCATTTTATCTAACTCACACAACCCTCTTCATTCACAACTCTCCCCTTGCATCTCATCAGGCAAAACCAGAAGCCTATATAGAAAACCATATGCTCGCACTAGCAAGTACAAAAACTCAACCATACCCTACTTAGCTCGTGTTCTGTGCGATAAAGAAAGCATTAGGCGTGATACCTATAACTTATTAAATAGTCAGCAGAACGACTGGATCTCGTCTTTCCAACTCATATCATTTATAGGTACAGCGTTTTCTTTCTTTCTTTTCCTTTTCTCTCTTTTTTTCTTTTCTGTTATGTGCTGTTTCGTTTCTTTCTTCCTTTCAAACTCTACTTAAAACATTCTTCTTCGTTCTCTCACACTCTGTATATTTCGACCTTTTGTTACCACTTACGCCAGTAAATATGATAGCACCTACTTTTCTGACACCTTCAGCCACTGTTCAATTTTGGCTTTGCTACCGACATGCTAATATGTTGTTGTCAAAACTAACTGAGATTGCCCTTAATCTATGTTGAATTTTATTTATTGTTAATGTACTAACTGGATGCAATACTGTAGTGAAATGCTGAGAATTCCATTCTGTATCACAAGTACTGTTTTGGAATAAAGCAAATAATAATTATTATTATAGTATTAAAGAGAAACCAGCCAGTCCCCATTGTAGGTGTAAATGATTTCTGAGAGATTTCTGTATTGTTTTATCATTCTTCCAAAACACTAGCCTTCATGATACATACCGGATGTATAGACGTTAATCACTTCTCACTGACAGGTGAACAACATACGAAGTGAATCAGAGGGTCTTCATTCAAGTTGGACAGATTATAAAATTATGTCTAGACTTTTAAATGTTAAACATACCCCCTAACATAATTAAATGGAACGAATTTGTTGAAAGAATACCCAGTTTAGTCAGAGTGGGTAACAGTGTCTTAAAATTACTTATTTCTGAAATGAACCACATAGGGTTAGTGAGGCGGTCAGAGACACATACCAAAGTAGGAGTTTTTTAAACAAAGTGTATCAGTTTAAATTCTCACACTTCATAAAAGTTCAAAAAGAGAAGGGATGCGAAGATAAAATTACATTAAAGCCAACGAAATATGATTTGAAATTAGACAAAACGGTTTTCGGAAGGGTGATGAAGTATACTGTTTGCCAATCTCTAAAACAATAGCATATCTAATCCAAGCCATATATACTTGTATTTCTTGGTATATTTCTTCATTCGCTGAACAGGACTGCTCTCTGAGACAGATGTCCTTGAAATGTTCTTCACTATTCTGAAAGTCTTCCAATGAATGTTCTGACCTCTGAAAACCGGTTACAATTGATAGTCCAGTGTTTGCAAATGCTTGAGCAGGCCAAAAGAAATAAAGAGGTGGGCAAACTATTGATCGACGTTAAGGAGTAAAAGATAGCTGTATTCGTTAAACATTTGTCGAGTTTATTTAAAGTGAGAAGGCTAATGGAAATATATTCATGCACAATGTTGGATGGCACTGGCAAATTCTGCAATAAACGGAAGCCTCACTTCTAAGCCAGTGGCTGAATTTCAATGTGGTTTCCCTCATAATCTGGAAGTTCTACATCCAACTCCTGATGATACTATAGATCTGTACTACAGAAGAAGAATCAGCTTTCCAGTGCTCCCAGATTTTTAATGCTTCCCATTGAGAAGTTAACTGGTTACGAAATGTTCACGGGCACTAATAATTACTGACAACCACACCAAAATCATCCACCTACACAACTCTCTTTTATTAAAACACTGGAATTTGTTTGACTAGTTTTCTGTTTCATGTCAAGGTGAATGATGAGGTTTCCAGATGTCCATTAAGTTCGCGCATTTAAATATAACAAGCTTTCAAAATACAGTATTATAAAGATATTAAAATTTTTTTGGCTGTATTGAGTAAAGTGAACATTTGGGTAGAGCCAGTGGCTTCCTGCTGCTGGGTATTCTGCAGACTGAGCAGTGATACCTAGCTAAGGACGTGGTTTTACTGTGAATTGTGAGTTTTTATCAAATTCACTTTTAACTGATATGGGATTGGTTCATTAAACAACTCACTAACTTTAAGCCTATTAATTACTAAGGAAAATTGTTACACAACAATTTTGGTTCTGAGCTTAGTGCATAAACCAACCTGAGTTGTATGTACTCGTTATTGTGTACCACTGAGTTTGCCTGTATGGTTCTCTTACTTTTCTTAGGAAATTCAACAGTTAGAGTGGATTGGATTCTATGTCACATTGTCTGATTATCTATAGAACAAGAATTTTCTAAACATACACTTGCAGAGTTCCTATAGGATATTTGCATTATTAATGACAACACGAAAAACATGTATTAATGTACTGAAACAGGGGCTATTGGATAAGCTTATGTATGATCATCAGAGATGGTTAAACAAAACTAAGAGTAACCATTCTGGGTGGCTCGCCATCACCTTGAACTTTGAACTGTTGATATTTTTAGATGGTTGGAGGCAATCGGCCACAGGAAGCCCTGCTTCGACCCACGTTTCGTGCTAGTTGCCACTCACCAGTCAGTCAGCAAGACGTATGTGCAACCTCGAAAGAACTCATATCCCTTCTGAGATTCGAACATGCGTCACTCAGTGCTGCAATCAGAGACGTTACCACTGAGCTATTCGAGCTAGCGATTGACCTCCTGTAGGACTGTATTGGATACTGTGATTGAACACTAGTTAGTAACTAGTGTAATGTGTCTAGTTCTTTGTTTGGTGTAAACATGAGTTCCTTCAAGGTTGCAGATACGCCTTGCTGACTGGTGAGTGCCAATTAGCGCGAAACGTGGGTCCAAGCAAGGCTTCCTGCCGATTGCCTCCAACCATCTGATATCAATAACCCTATTCTATCAAATTAGTTATGTAGGTTTCCCTCTAAACGATCATACTGATTGTATTCCTGTTATTAAAACAATCAGTTTTTCACATTTTTGAAACTTAGCGTTTACTTTTATTATCGGCGAAGCATGAGAATACTTACTAATACTGTAAACTGACACTAATAGTTGGAAGCAATTTACTAACAGCGTTTTCTTATTTTATAACTGAATTCTATTGATATGCATTTTTTTGTATTTACGCTGATTACCGTGTAAGCATAGAATCTTTAAACACTTTTTTTCAAATCAGGTTATATACCAAATTCAAAAGTTCGTCTCCAATTAAAACCTGCAAAGCAAATTAAGTCTGTAAGTCCATTCGTTTATGCCATAAACATTTACATATCTGATCTCTATTCTCGTCTTTCTTCTATTATATTATTGCCCAAATCATTTTATTTTGTCTTCTCATAAGTTTGACAACCTGAATTGATGAACTTTTAGGTTAAGTTCTAGATTTATCTATCTGTCATATACATACATTTTAATGCTTGATATATATTTCATTCATAACTTGTCGAAACTTAAGCTGCTTACGATGTTTAATGTTGGCAATTATTATTATTGTTTCTTTCAATTCCTAGAGGAACATAGGGCTTCAGCCGTGCGTCTCCATTGCGTTCGGTTCTCTACCAGAGTCTTCACCTGGTTCCAAATCTGCCCACATGCTTTCATCTCCTCTTCACATGACCTCCTCCAAGTCACCCTCGCACTGACGACCAACTCGCCGCTTCCCTTTCGGCCGGGTTCCACTCGAGCAATAGCCTGCCGTGTGTTGTCACTTGATGGATTGTTTCCTCAGAGTATGGCCAATCCATCTCCATTTCTTCCTGCCTATTTGTTTCAGAATCGGTTCCTGCTGGGTTGGTTCGCTCCCAGAGATCCATCCCTGTTGCTGATCTTTTCTGGCCGGCCATCTGATCTTGAGTATTGAGCGAAGACAACTGTTAATGAAGGTCTGTAGTTTGTTTGAGATGCTCTTTATGACGCGCAGTGCAAGTCTCTGATCCGTATAGTAGCCGTGACTGACTTCACATTGGAGTTGAAAATCCGGGTCTTATTTTTGATGCTGTGTGCTGTTGACCTCCACACAGACTTGAGAGTAGTGAAGGCTTGTCTTGCTTTTCCGATTCTTGCTTTGATATCCTCGTCAGTTCCGCCTGTATTTGAAACGATGCTTCCCAGGTAGGTAGATGAAGGAGGTTGTTTCTTTCAAGTTCCTCCCATTTATGCTGATCGTTGTCTGTTTTTGTCGTTGTTCTTGTTCAGCAATCTTCATCACCTCTGTTTTCTCTATGGTCACCTGAAGTCCTATCTTTGATGCCACCTCTGCCAACTTGTTGCTTTTCGCTTACATATCTTCCAGTTTGTGGGAAGTCAGACATATATCATCGGCGAAGTCTAGATCCTACAGGTTTTTTGTATGAGTCCATTTTATGCCTGTTTCCTCATTGCCCGCTGTTTGTCGCACTATCCAATCTACTGCAATCAGGAAAATCATTGTCGATAGTAGGTAGCCAGCCTTGTCTTACTCCTGTCCTCACTTCGAAGGATTCCGTAAGTTTCCCGTTGTGGATTGCTTGGCATGCAGCATTATCGTACAGCTGTTGGATGAGATGTACAATTGTCAGTGGCACCCCGTAATAGCGAAGTAGTTTCCAAATCACCTCTCGATCGACGCTGTCGAAGGCCTTTTCAAAGTCGATGAAGTTGAGATAGAGAGGTGACAATGTTGGGAATATATAGACAGAAATTGAAAGCGTAAACGCTGTTTTTAATTCAAATGAAATCTTAGAAGAAAAATATGATATTTAGCTGTCAGCTGGTAAACTGTACTAAAATAGTTGAGCCTTAATGTAAGTGTAAGACTTGAGCATTGTGTTATCTTGAAATTCTATACTACTCTGTTTATTACATATATATCACACATTGAAACAACAGTAATTACTTGATGACGTTCCATAAAAGCATCAAATATGACTACAAATTCTGAAACTTGGTTCTTATAGTCCTAATTTATTTTCTTTGGAACTGTGAAAACAAAATTCCAGTGTTGTGGATGGATTATGAACAAGTTTTGTTTGAAACAGCATCCAGTAATTAATAATCTTCCAATATGTGATATATCTAATAAACAAAGTAATATGGAACTGATTCTAAGTTAATTTCACACATTAAATAACGATTATTTACAGGATGATTGACAATAAAAAGAAACTAGACAAAGTTGATATTATTATGTATTCCCTTGGGTTTTCATTGGAACATAGGGCTTCAACAACACATCTCCACTTTCTTCTAATGTCCTCTTCAACTGAGTCCATGACTACCCATGGCCTCTGTCATCGCCTCTTCATAAGATCTCCTCCATGTGACTCTAGGATGAACTACTCGTCGCTTTCCATTTGGATTCGACTCGAGGGTTTGGCGTGCAATGACAAAGTTGGTGTAACATGTCAAAAATACACTACCTTAAATGCGTTCATATCGTCAGACAAATTCAGTATTTTTAAATGACAACTATAACCACTGACTTGAAGTTATTGCTATTATTTTTATTCAAGTGTTGGTTTGTAGGGATTTGACAGACTGGTTACAGGATTTCATCATGAGGTGACATTAGTTAGAGAACCATTGGAAAACCTGCAGGGAGTACTGGACAGCCGTTTCGTCCTAGTTTGGGACTCTTCATCAGTACACACCCACCACTGCTGTTCGAACCTAGGACCTTCTGGTTACAAGGCGAGCTCGTATACCATTAAGCCACTGGGACCCGATCCAATGGCCCATGAATTCTAACTTCTGCCAGTTCACGACACAGCGCGACCCCTAGCCAATCTTTTCGGCGAGTACTTGTCCTCACACCCGAGCTGCTGCATCCTACTGGTCACGACTTCCCACTGTAAATGCTACCGTTTAAGTGCAGAAGCACCTTTTGAAATCCTGCTAATTACAGCACTAAACTACAAAATGAAAAATAAAGAAGACTTCTTATAAAATTTATAGCTTATTTGAAAGTGATAAAAGTTAGACATGAACTTTCCCACCATTGCATTACATACATGTAATATATTCTGTTGATATTTCGTCACTTGTTCAGACCAATGGGAATGGATTTAATCAAAAACCATTAAAAAATAACACAAAGTTGTCTATTCAACAGAACCATTGCTGTGACCTAGAAAAAGAAATACAATGAGACTTATGGAATTTCGGTGACATCAGCAACGGTAAAGTTAGTGGTGTTTATGCCTGCAAGAATGTTCCAAAGGTAACTTATCAAAACGTACAAGAATCCAATACATTTCGGAAATGCAAACTCACATGACGTCAGCATTGTATACTAAATTATTATTTAGATTCAAAAGACACTATCACTTCATTCACACACTCAAGTCTGTATGGAGGTCAACAGCACTCAGCATCGAAAATAAGACCCGGATTTTCAACTCCAATGTGAAGTCAGTCACGGCTACTATACGGATCAGAGACTTGCACTGCGCGTCATAAAGAGCATCTCAAACAAACTACAGACCTTCATTAACAGTTGTCTTCGCTCAATACTCAAGATCAGATGGCCGGCCAGAAAAGATCAGCAACAGGGATGGATCTCTGGGAGCGAACCAACCCAGCAGGAACCGATTCTGAAACAAATAGGCAGGAAGAAATGGAGATGGATTGGCCATACTCTGAGGAAACAATCCATCAAGTGACATCACACGACAGGCCATTGCTCGAGTGGAACCCGGCCGAAAGGGAAGCGGCGAGTTGTTCGTCAGTGCGAGGGTGACTTGGAGGAGGTCATGTGAAGAGGAGATGAAAGCATGTGGGCAGACTTGGAACCAGGTGAAGACTCTGGTAGAGAACCGAACGCAATGGAGACGCACGGCTGAAGTCCTATATTCCTCTAGGAATTAAAGGAAATAATAATATTTGGTTTGATTTCCATAAGTAAAACATTGCAAAAAATATTTTACATTTATTGGAAACATGTATTGAGGAAGATTTATTTTAACACAATCATACTGTGAAAAGAACAAATTTGTAATTTGTTGCAATAAGTATCCAACAGTGACGTCACATATCTGAGGATCCCAACACAGTTTGAGATTTAAATAGCTGTTAATTCTATTATCATTTTGAGATTTAACCTTGATCAAAGTCATCTAGTAACTGACATTTATAGACATAATAGTTGTTATTATGACTTCGAGTAACTTATAATAATGATGATCACCTGTAACTCTGTTTGTAGATCAAATTACCTGTCTATAAAAAATCTTATATACTGATGGATGATGACTAGCAGTGGAACCCAGGATGCGTAGCCCAGGTGGTCTAGTGGATAACGATTTGGCGTTTGAAACTATGGGCAATGGGTTTGATCCCCAGTGGGGACACCATTACTTACTGGGAAATGACGAGTCCCTAGTAGGACGAAATGCGCATCCTGGATTCCACTGCTAGTCACCATCAATCAGACATCGTCGTAGCATCTGCACTAGGAGCCGACATGTCAACCCTAAGACCGAGCACTTTGATTCAAACAATCGACGGGAAAATCTAAATTGCATTAAATAATCTTATATATGTGATCTTGAAAGTAATCGAAATTTTTTTCTTTCATTTTGTCATTTATACACTTTAACTACTAAAGATTTCAGAAAGTGTGTCATCTGATTCTGTATCGCATAGATTTCATCTTCATCAGTTGGTTAAAAGATATTTGGTGAGTATAATTTTATACGAATTTCATTATTATCTCTGATGTGAATTTATGTATATGAACATAAATAATGTGCCGAAAGTATAATTTTTTTTCACATAATGCATTTCCTTTATTAAAAAATTATCACTGTTGAAGAAGGGTATATAGTTGTGCAGAGAGTTTACGTTGCATTAATCTGCTTTCTAGAGACCAAAAGATGTTTAAATTGTGAAGCGCAGAAATGTATCTATTCTGTTGACCGCAAATGATGCATGCTTTCCTACATAAATAAGCAACCTAATAGCTAATCACCCTTTTTCATTGTGTAATTCTACAAAAGAATATAGATAAATGCGATTACTAGTACTGTTATTAATACTATTATAATTAGCGAACTGCTGTCACATTAAGATTTCCTCCTAAATATATGCCAATCAACTGTTAATTCTTATTTTAACGATAAATTTGAATAGAATATTTCAATCAAAAGGTCTTGTTTTCATCACAGTATTTATGTATTAGGAAAAAAGAAATAAATGTTGTTCAAAGCACCGTATATATATATTACCGTAGGATTTCCCCTTACAAATGAATCAGTTTTTATTTCACTAATATTTTATGCAATTAGTTTACCGGAGTATTCATTATCCCATACAATGTTGCATATTAGATCCACTAATTATTTAGGTGATCATTAGTAGGATTGAAGCTTAACTAACAAACGAACTGATTTATTCCCAAATATGATAAAATCAGAAAGCAAAAGTTAGACTGATATCGGTCAACAACAAAATTAAGAATGATGCAGCTGTAAAGAAGACAAGACTGAGGAGGCTGAAAACGTATGGTACATAGCTAAATTTGGTATACCATATTCTCAACCGGCCATTTGCACATCATTTACCACATCCTTGACGAATTGGTGGAATATCATCTCCTTCGATAGCTTCTTGGATTCTGCATCATATGGCAACATTCTTCTCATGGTTCTCTTCTTTGATTGCTCTTTCCAGTGTGCCAAACATATTGTTACTTCGTTTCTGATATACTACTTATATCGGATTATAAGTAGCACTCACCACACAGCTTCTCAAGAAATTAAACCATTGAAAATAATAAATAACTTTAATATATGTGTAAAACTTGGGCACTGTGGTAGTAAGTAATTCCATATTAGTTTGATATTAGTTTGATATGATTATGAACAATAAATTTTGTTCGAAACGTCATCCAGTAAATAATACTGTTTCACTGTGTGATATACCTAATAAACAAACTAATATGGAATAAATAACTTTGTCTATAGCTTTTCGGGTCAAGACCAACTCTTCAAAATAATGCACCACTAAAGCGGTGAAAATTATCTTCATCTTGTTGTCTTTACACTATTGGTTAGTTATAGAATGTGCAAAAGAATATCTTTCTGAGAACTTGAAGAGATATAGCCTGACCTTTATGACTAAGCCAGCGACAAAGTTAGGGTAAAAAGTGAAAATCTTCAGCGTATGTTTTTCAGTAGGATCACTGCAAACAAAAGTTTAGTAGATGTTCTGCCATATCTCAATTGCAGTCAAAAGCCTATAACACTAAGTTATATCTTCTATGGACTCACTTTACTGAATCACTATAGCTTTTTCTGCCAAGATGTATGCATATGCACCTGCAAAGTGATTGACTAACAAATCGAAGTAGAACTTTGAGTAAACGTGCATTAAATCAAACTGCTTCATCTACATCTGAAAGACCAATGCAATTAATTACTGAAACTTCAGGTACTGAAGGAGAATATGCCAAATTACTAGACTGACTAAGTAAACTTTATGAATTCGCATGATATTTTGTGTGCACTGAAAAGATAGATCGTTTTAATGACTGAGGATCAACAGTGAAGCTTCAAATGTATATGACCTAGAAGTAACATCTTCCTATGATGATTACGTATTTCTCTAAGAAGTAGTACGATTTCATCTTAGGCTTTGCAATACAACTCTGACTGCATATATTTTTGTTATTATCATCATTCTATATCTCGCCTATATGAATTCGGAATGCCTGAAATAAAAGTTGTACTTAGAAGCGAAGCTAAAAGTGATTCATTCTATAAACTAAATCTAACTACATGGACTGAAAATTAACCTTTAAACTAATGCAAAAAACATTTTCCACTTAATTACACATACACACACACACGACAGATGAAGACATTTACGAAGTTACGGAGTTATCTTATCAAATCATCATCTAATGAACTTAATCAATGAAGATATAGTTGTAAACATTTACTCTAACTTATAGAACACCCCAACTGGATGGAACTATTAGTTGACTGATTGTGAGTGCCTGGTTCAGTGGTAGAATGCATACCAGTCACACAAATGGTCATGGCTCGATTTCCGGCTGACCCACTACTCCTGATCATCGTCTAGCTGGTAGTAAGCCCAGAAAAGAGGGGAGTTTTGGCATGAGGCAAGAGACCCTTCTCCTTAAAACTCATCGCTATTACTGAAAATTCAAAGTTTTATGTCCCACTCGGAATGAAAAAGGATGGAAAAACGTTAACTGGTTAGTGCTACTCATTCGACATCTTAGAACAGATAGCTGAAAATGATTTTATGAAATCCGTATTCGAGAGCAATTCGAAGAACGTTCTTTGCTGCATCTCTGAGCGTTAGCTTCTCCACATATGCTCTTATTCACCAAAACGTCAAAAACAGGATCCACTGTTGGTGACTTCAAGGTGTATTTACCGATTCACCTGCTCCTGCGGAGTTAAGTACATAGGCTGTACTAACAGGACATTGTCTAGACGTGCCGATGAACAGTTACCAGCATGGTTGTCAAAAGGAGAACGTAGAGCAGTGAACAGCTCATTTCTGGAGCATACTGTTAGTTCTGGTCATGCAGCGTCAGCAGAGACCAAGTTGTTCAAAAAGCTTACGTCTATATTTTCTTCGTGTAGCTGAAACCCTAGCAATCCTTAAGAAATAAACCTGGACTTTGTGTTCAAGTACTATTTTTTTCCCTTTTTCTCTTCCTTCTTCGTCTTCCTGAATCAATGTATAATAAGCTCTATGTAGACAGTTTTATGTTTTTAGCAACTCAAATTTCCGATCTTTTGTTCCCTTGTCTCATATCAACTATTTCCAAATGATTATTCATCACTCAGCTAATTAGTTATCAACTCTTATGATTACTCAAGACTATCCTTAGATTTTTCAAACATAGTTATTACTCATGCACTTTTATTTGCTTGCACTACTTTCAATAACCTTTGACCTCTACCATCAAGCTATATTGCATATATAAACGCCTAAATGAACTGTACAGCTTTGAAATGAAGTTAGAAAAAGAGATCTCTTTGCTGACTCATGTGTTCCTAAATTTTATATTTTTTAAAAATATTTTTGATTACAGCTTGATGCCACACCGTATTTTCAGTACAAGTATGGAATTTTCAGCATGGATATCGGTGGCCTAAATTTTGCAGGCTGACCATAGATATCAGGTGTGCGTCGGCAGGGGATTGAACCCCGGACCATGTGCATGGTCGGCGAGAGTCCTAACCACTGTGCTACCGACGCATGAAGAAATTCATTAATTCCATCTCTTTAATTTAGACAGACGTACTACATATATGTACTTAAATAAGCATGCAAATGCTTTTTATTCTTTTTTTTCTATTAGTCTGATGAAAAAATCATGGGGACATTATCATCTATAACCTCAATGAAAGATGTTTGTCTATTAAAAGCTATCATGTCGAATAAATTACCTCTTGCAATAGAAAAAGTACGAGCTGAATTGGTTACTAGTGCAGCGATAGAAGTTGAAGCCTTGGTAGAACAGCCTTGTGTTAATATTTATGAAGAAGACATTTTAGAAGAGGATGAAACTGCACGAATTGTAAAAACAGCTAAAATGCAACAGATTGCAAAACAACTTACCAAGCAAACAATTCAACAACTTTTTGAAAAGAAAAGTAAGCATTCTAAGATGTTTTGGACCTAAATTTTAAAAAAAATAGATTTTTTAAAATTTGAAAAATGTAGACAAGAAACTCAGAAGAATCAAAGTGCATTTAGACTAGATTCGAAAATGTCATTTTATAGATGTTTTTTCGCATAACCATGGAAAATTCCCATTGTAACATATAGAAAATCAAAACAAGTGATTCAGCGAAGGGACTCTTTCCAACGAATTTATCATCAAGCTGTACAATCGTATATATATGGTTTTTAAGAAGTTATATCCGGTGAGGGAATTGAATCATAGGTGTGAATGCATAAAATAATAATAATAAATGATCAACTCGTAAAACATAACTAACCCTTACAAACCAAACTATAGAAAATATGAAATGCAATTAAAACTAAAATGTTTGTGATTATAATCATAGTTAAATGTCAAGTGGCAAAGCAAATTGATGTCATATATAGAATAATTCATAGGATGGATAGAACTTGAAAAAGGGTGTGCAATTATAAGATTAGTAGACAAATCGAATAAAATAAAAACGTTAGTCAATATTGTGTGAAATTTAATAGCATAGAATTTAACGTTGTAAAAAAAGAAGAATTGATTTAGAGTGACAAGTGGAACAAGTGAAATAATACCGGGGACAGTTAAAAGTGAGAGTAGTAATAGTAACAATTGACGTAATAAGGAAGAGTATGCAAATTGAATAGACAAAAATGAAAAAGTGAAAAATTGGTAGAGCTAAAATATGATTGGGGATTACCATACTTTAGCATAGAGGGATTAAGACCATGAAAGTTGGAGGGGTTGAACGAACTTTTTCTGTTCACAGAGATCTGGCTTTTCTATTTCGATAGCCAAAGCTTCAGCAATACAGATGAGTCGGGTACGTAGGGATTTGGGTAAATTACTCTTTGCCTTGTAGATGACTTTAAAGGCGGAGGCTATAGAGACAAAGGGATCATTATTGACCAGATGTTCAACGATCGCGCGTCTTATATATATATATATAGTATCATTCAAAGTTATTACAAGAATGACCACATCGAAACTATTTTCTCTGATAAGACTTTATGTTTTGCCATAACATTATATCACATAGTGCACTGTAAATACCATCACGTGTCCAGTCTGATCACAGATCCATATCAGCAAGCGAACCATCGAAAACTGAGGAGTACTGGATAGCTGTTTTATCCTAATTTTAAAATTTTCAGTAGTACGCACCCATGACTCCACCGTGGACTGAAAACATAACATTCAGGTTACAAGGCAACTGAGAAGGGACTCAGTGACTCATTACTGCTAACTTTTGCCAGTTGGTAAATTTTAGCGTGACCTCCAGCTAATATCATCGGTGAGTATTTATCCTCACTCCTAACCTAGTGGAGTCCGTTCGTCATGACTTCTTACCAGAACTCCAAACAGCTTAGACCTGTACTCTATCACTAGTGAACACTGAGCGTACTGTCACTACTGTGCAGACAATAGAAAATAGGAATAAAAGCCATTTCCTAGTCTTTGAGTAAGACCAAAAACTTCAAAAGATATATAATCGGTGAGCAATACATTCACACCTCGGTACTAGGTTTAAGCCACATTGAAACTAATGTAATATCGAACCTACCAGTTGAATAAAACTAGAATGCTCATTTTTACCTGTCATTTTTCAAAACATCTTAACTCATTTTATCGTTTTTATTTTATATTCACATAAATTCCTCGTTTTCTAAAGTACAAGAAAACTTGGAAAGAATTGAAGCTGAAAAACAAGCATTATTTGAATATAGACAAGAAAAAGAACATGCTCTAGGTGAACAGGTGCAACAAAAAGAAGAAGATTCTATAGATCGCTTTGGTCTAGGTGTTGAAAAGACAATTGAAAGAAAAAAAGAAGAAGAGAGAAGTCGAACTTTGCCAGATGATATGGTTGAGAAGTATCTACAAGAAATGACTGAACAATGGGGTTCACTAAGCAAAGTTATGGATTTATTTTATGATGCAGTTAAAAAGGATGCCTCGAGTATTGAATCACTTGACAAATATTTTCGATCTAGAAATATTCGGGTTGGTATGATTAACAGTATTCTTAGTCCTACATGGTTGTTTCGTTACTTAACTAATGTATTCGGTGGTCCACGAACACTACTCGAGCATATTGAGACAATATTAGATCCAAATACGACTATAGGCGTTATACACAGTGTAAGAACACAGTTTGCAGAATTTCTTGGTGATAAACAACGTCTCGAGGTATTTTTGCATTCATTCCTTGAAACAAGGAATATACTACAAAATTATTTGACAAAGGAAGGACTAAGCAAAGAAGAAGCCATTACTATAATTAATGAAGCTATTTGTGACAGTTTGGATGCAAAAAATAAAATAAGACAGGCTCTACGTGTAACAGATATTCAAGAATTGATTGAATCTGTTAAAATGTGTGACAGTGAGAAAGTGACTAGGTTAGTTGAGGAGTCAATGAATGTATCGAAATCACTACCACGCATATCTGCAGCTAGCACAGACGCAGCTGAACGACATTCAAAACGTAGATCACAAGGTATCACAGATGCGAGACCTTCTACCACTCAAAAGCCTATTGGAGCTGTTGATGATACCAAGCATACACAAAAGAAAAAGTTACCAACTATCCCTGCTCGCTTAGTGCATGATCGTATTAAACAAGTGAAAATAAAAACAACACCTATTACTACACCAATTCCAAGTGAAAAAGATGTGCGTGAAGAAAGAAAAAGTATCCGAAAATCACTTGTAACTACTGAGAAAAAAGAAGTGAGTTAATTAGTTTGCATTGATTTTTTATTAGATTCATAGGTTTTTTTTCTGGGACTGAATCTTGTTGTTAATTAAACTTTCACTGAGTTGTTGCTGTTCAGACGATCCATTTATCAAATAAACGAGTTGTCAAACAATATACTATCTGGTTGCATTTAATTTGAAGGGTTATTTGCTTAAAACTGGATTTAGGTGTAACGGAATGAATCAAAGTCTGTTCTTTTCTGAACGCAGGTGCTTTTCGTTCAGCAGAACTCTATATTACTGACTGACTTAGATGAGTAGTTGTATACCACACACACATCTTTCAGTAGTGGTTTGATTACTTCGATTTGGCTGACAAGCACAACTAGCTGATGTGAGTGGTATACACCTACTTATCTCACTCAATCAGTAGTATTTTGATTGGATACTAGTCAGTAACTAGTGTAATGTATCTAATCCCATCTTTGGTGCAGACTGAATTCAATCAGTCAAGTTTTTCAATGTGACCACCATTCTAGGTGGCTCGGTGCACTTTGAATTGTTGACATTTTTTAGATGGTTGGAGGCAATCGACAGGAAGCCCTGCTTCGACTCACGTTTCGTGCTATTTGGCACTCACCAGTCAGTCAGCAAGACGTATGTGCAACCTCGAAAGAACTCATGTCCCTTCTGAGATTCGAACATGCGTCACTCAATGCTGCAATCAGAGGCGTTACCATTGAGCTATACAAGCTAGCGATTGACCTCCTGTAGGATTGTATTGGATACTGTGATTGAACACTAGTGGAATGTGTCTAGTCCTTTGTTTTGGCGCAGGTATAAGGCCTCCCACCCTCCAACCATCTAGTATCAACAATCAGTAGTATGTAGTTTTTGTAAATATGCTCACCTTCTTGATTACCATTTATAGCACCAACCAGATGAAATATTTTCATCCGTATAATTTCGATTCACAAAAGGATCTATGATGGAATTACACTTTGAACTGCATAAATTAAAAATTAATTTGTAGATTGCGAATTTGATTTTCGGTTCAGTAGTTTGAAACAACATGAAAAAGTCATATGGTCCGCTGTAGTGTTAGGCAAGGAGAAACATTCAGTCGATGGCTTGGTGATTGCTTCCACTATTGAAATGGCTAGATTATGTGCTTCATATGCCAAACCATTGCTTTCCTAAACAAACATTGCAACCAGAAGTAGGACCTAGTTGAAAAGAGTTAGGGACGGTGTGACCCATATAGACAAATGCAGTATATCTGGTCTAGTCATTACAAGTCGTTGGCTGGAAATTGGTGGTGGTATAGGTCAAAATCGTTTACTGTAGTACAGGTATATTTCCCCTTTGTCATATTCCAGGACCTTAGAAATTGCGCTAATATAATATCCCGTAATACGGTTTCACCACATTTATTTTTTCTACTTTCTGTTTTTTCATGTAATGTAGCACCATAAATAGATGTAATCCTGTGCTAAAATATCTACTCGATCACCAGTCAATCGGTCTCCGCGTGTCTACGGAAATAATCAGCTTTGACTTGAATCCAATAAGTCTATAAATCCCTTACCTGTGTGTGAAGTATGGGCAAGGTGCGGTGAATACATAATACTATTAGCATTCAAATGAAATCCACAGACCTAGTGTGAAATAACTGTGGTCAAGTAATGCTAAATAATCTAACAAGAAAACAAAAAAATTTGTTGAATACTTTGCGTCCTTAACATCTGTGTTAAGCTGATAATAAATGTGTCTAGATTTCAGTTAAAAATCTCTTCTTTTTTTCATTAATAAGCACCAGTCTTCTACTCTTCACTAAACAAACTTAGATTTAACGTAGAAAAATAACTATGTAATGTAGATTGGAAAGACAGAGCTCCGGGAAAAAATACTTTTTTTCAGCTTGTCTTCAAAACTTTACAACTACATGATGTTCTGAAAGGTCATGAAAACGCCTATAAGGGTTAGTCAGTAATATCACTTGGTAAATGAACATATGAAACTACAAATTAGGAAGAGAAAATGGACGAATTGTGATCCAAAAACATTAAGTGATGATTAGCGTTCAATTAAAGCTAATGCGCTGGGGAACAGGAGTACTGTCCATATAAGTAAAAGTATCAGAATATGTATGAAATACATTTTAAATTCTGGAGTTTGAAAAGAAAGGGCAAAGTTAAACTTTGAGCACCACTAACTACCAATCAGCGAACGACCTTCAACGAACCAATCACATGAAAGAGGGAATTTTGATTAAGGAAAACGTATATTTATGAAAAAAAAGCATAAAAGCTGCATGTAACTGTTACATAGGGTATCTTTCTCTAACATTTGACAGAAGCATCTCCCATTTTAGCATAGGAGTGTCAGCAGAAATGTTATACCACATTCTGTACACATATTCATCCAAATGACTATAAATGACATTTTTTGAGATCCATTTATAACCCTAATCCTACTTTTCAATCTTCCCCAAAATCCTTCTATGGAATTCGTGTGTGTCTCTGTAATTGAATCCATAAAATCACTAGAATGGTTCATTCTGTGATGAACATATATCCAAAGGATGACAGAGAGTTAAAACCTTTCCACTCATCAGTATGTATTATAGATCCCTGTTTCACCAGTCGAGTGACAATAGGCACTAGGGTAGTAGACTTTCTGTCTGGTATTCTCTCCATGAATCCTTTCCACATGGAGGTGTCATATAAACCGATAACCCAAACATTGTTGGCTCGCTCACCACCACGATTGTATTTTTTCTTCAATGAAACAGTTTCGTCCATGTGTACGACGACACCTCCACGTGACAACGAAATAGTTCTCTCCATTTTCCATCAGGCGATGTCCCTGCAGTGCTGGTACCACTAAGTGTTGATACGACACTGTTTTCAGTTTCAGCAGCTGCGCCTCTCACAGGCTTTTTTAAAACCCAGTAGTTACAAATATACAAAACCTAGGTTAGGGAGAGATGTGACCTAGCAAAAAATGTTCCTACGAAATATTAAAATCATCAGCTCACCTTCCCTAATACTAACTCGTCTAAAGCAAATTGCACAACGATGAACATATCCATCAATCGACTTGCTAAAGCTTTTTAAACTCATTACATCTTCACATGAACAAATCTTCTCCTTCCTAAGCAACCCCAAATCCAAGCAATACTGCAAAACTTTATCCTCATCGAACTGCAAGCGTAACTTAGTTAAAGCAGGCGTTTGATACGAATCAAGCGGAATACAACCTTGAACTCACCTGCATGATCTTCATTGGTCCATTCGAGGTCATTCGCTGATTGGTAGTTAGTGGTGCTTAAAGTTTAACTTGGCCAAGAAAGAAGCAAACACAAATAGAATGAAGGTGAATGGCATACCAACTTATTGTACAGGTCATAAAGAGGATCTAAGGCCACGGTAGCGAAAGAGATTGAACAAATCAGTGTTTTCCTTGCGCATATCAACAGTTCCCTGTGTGGACAGATTTAGCACGAAACGCTTTGACTGATATCACCCTAGTCTATATATATCACTTCTAAAGATTCTTTGACAGTATAAAGAAAGGAAAACTCGTTTTCTTTATGACGAAGTGAGAACTGATGCGAAAACACAAGGTACTAGTGACATTCATAGGAATAAAGTGCTTTTAAATTAAATTACACATGTCGTTCCTGAGAATAAGGTCGATAAAAATTACTAAACAAAGAACAAGGGTAAGGAGAATTCTAATAAATGAGACAAGAGCAAAAATATATTTTAAATCAAAAGAAAAAAATGAACTGGTAATAAACAGACAAGACGTCAGAGAGAAATTCCCCAAACATTCAAAATTATAGGGAATCTAAGTTGGTTAAATTTCCTGCTATCGTACACTATTAAATTATACTTCTTATAATGAAAAAGAATTCTTTGTTTAAAATTATCAAGTAACAAAAATTAAATGAAAACATATTTCGTTATATGTGTCTGTTGAGTGTTCAGCTCTAGTTTTCGTGTGAAAGAGTAAAGCTGAAATAATGCTCAGGGGTATTTTAAAGTAAGGTTAACGTCCTCGACGTTTACAAGTGAAACAAATAACACTTCTTGTGTAAAGCAGATCACGGTGAACTTCATGGTAAATGGCTCTACATCTAAGTGTCATTAAAAAAAATCCATCAGCAGAAAAATGCTAAAATTGGAAATACGTGTATTACAGATATTTACTGGTGCGTTGGCGGTTCAGCTGTAGGATACTCGCCAACCACACATGTGGTTCGGGGTCCAAACCCCAGCTGACGTACTGCCAAATCTCTCTAAGCCGGTAGTAAGACTGGTGAAAGGGAAGATTGGGTACGGGGCTAGCAACCCTACCTCGTAAAAATAAACACCACTGTTACTGAAACTTCAAAGCTCTAGCTTGGAGCACTATGTTCCACTTGGAATGTGAAAGAATAAACAAAACAGATATTTACTACTCATATAATGATATTTAAATTAATCATTAATGAGGAATGATAAGGTCAAGCTGCTCTTCATTGTTTTTTCCCTATTAAATTCTGTTTTTAAATATTTTGAAACGATACATGAACTCGGCGACGTGTCTCAGAACAAGGCAATACTAATTATATTCCATCATTGGAATTATTATTTGTTATATTTAAAGCAGTTGTATGTAACTTTCAGAAGACTGGCTAAATCTGTTAATAATATTTATATCTAATTTTTAGACTACAAACTTAATTTTTTTTCTTTGAAATTTTTCTTTCATTTTTATCAACATTATCACCTGATTTCACAATCCTACTGTTTTAAATATAAAAAAAACAGGAAGTGCCTGTTCCAAAAGAAGATCATATAGTACAGGAAGCTAGTAAAAAGCCAACTACAAAACTGAAACAACCACACAAAGAGGATCACGTGAGAAGTTCGACTATCAGACATCATGAAAAACCAGCAGAAATATCTAAAATAAGTGAAGCAATGGTAAAATCTAAGAAAAAACTAGGCAAGTCTAAAACAATACCAGAAATAACGATTCATGAGGTGGAAGAAGAGAAATTTGAGCAAGAATTACACTCGAAACACTCAGAAGAGGAAACAAAAGTAATGAAGGATGAAGAAGAAACATACCTTTCCACTACATTTGATGATATTTTTGAAGATATTTTTGAAACAGAAGAGGAAGAAGAAGAGAGTGGTGATTTTGTTGCTTCCGGTGAGGAGGCACGAGAGAAAATAAAAGAGAAAGAAGAAGAAGAGGCAAAAACAGAGGAGGACGAGCTTTTTAAATTCAATGGCTTGCGGTTCGAAGCTGATTTTGAAGATCCAGGTATCTTTCTTGAATGTTATTTTTTTTGAAGTTATCTATTTAGTACTATATGCTGAAAGCTTTCCACTGACCAACTAAAATGCTAAGCAGTGTTGTATTATTCAGTTGTCCCCGGTTCGATCCTGGGTTCCGGCAAGTGGGTACACCCTTTGTGAGTCGGTGGCACAGCGGTTAGGACGCTCGCCAACCATGCACATGGTCTGGGGTTCGATCCCCGGCCGACGCACTCCTTTACCTCGCTAAGTCAGAAATAATTCTGGAAAGAGGAAAGGTTGTGCATGGGGCTAGCAACCCCATTCTGTAAAATAAACACTGCTACAGAAAATTCAAGCCACTAGCTTGAAGCCCTATGTTCCACTGGGAACGTGAAGGAAAAAAAATAATAAAAAAATGAATAAACAAAAAGTGTACAAACGTCTATGCTATGATCTTACAGATATTACGCATATGCGTGTTAGCCGAAATAAAATAAGGCTGTAAAAGAATTTGAGTTGGTCAAACAGAAATGTTACAAATACCTGAAATCTATGATACTTAGTCTGGCCTACTTTGCGTGGTATAGATTACCTTGCTGAGGTCCTCCTGATTCTAGAAATCATTGGTTAGCGACTATTAGTGACATGGCGCAGACGTAATCACTCTGTGCGATCTTTCATATTTCTTTATATGAGGTTGGACGATTTTCAGTGAAATTTCTTGCTAGGAATTTAGTGAACAACGAGAAGATAAACTAATCCATTGCTTCAACTGATAGAATTCAGTCTGCACTAAACAAAGGACTGGACACATTATACCAGTTACTAACTAGTGTCCAATCAAAGTATCCAATACAGTCCTTCAGAAGGTCAATCAGTAGCCCGAATAGCTCAGTGGTAACGTCAGTGACCGTAGCACTGCCCGACATGGGTTCAAATCTCAGAAGGGACATGAGTTCTTTCGAGGTTGCAGATGCGCCTTGCTGACTGACTGGTGAGTGCCAACTAGCACGAAACGTGGGTCGAAGCAGAGCTTCCTGCCAATTGCCTCCAACCATCTAACATCAACAGAAGAAATATTTATTTGTTTAATGATATTTTTGTATTATGACGGTTATGTCAAACAAACAGTGCATTATAATGCTTTTTTATCATATGTAAACATGATTTTATTTTTGGTTTTCAAAAACAAAATGTTTAGAGGATATTATCAAAATAGAAGAAATCCCACTAATAGTAAGTTTCCATATTATTATTGATAATAAATTCTTAATATATTTATTTATTTTCAAAATAGCTTTATTTTTTAAAGTTCCATGGTGCAATATGCCTCTTCTTTTTCCACAAACTACTGAAATATTGTAAGTATCCCGTTGCACTAAAGACATTGAATGAGTACCTGAAGTATAGTGCAAACAGCTTACTGAAATTTAGAAAAAACAAATTGAGCAAAGAATATCCTTTTCGATAATTCCCTCTTCTGGCTCAACGATTATATATATATATATGGTTTTTTAAGAAATTATATCCGGTGAGGGAATTAGGTCAAAGGTGTGAATACATGAAATAATAATAGTACGAAATGCAATTAAAATATTTGTGATTATAATCATAGTTATATGTCAAGTGGCAAAATAATTAATGTCATATATAGAATAGTACATAAGGTGTATAGATTTTGGAAAGGGGTACATAATTATAGGATTAATAGACGAATATAAAATGTTACATAATATGGTGTGAAATTTGATAAGATAGAATTCAATATTGTAAAAAGGTCTGGCTTACAGTCATGAATTGCCAAGGCCTCAGCTGTCTTTAGAAGTCTATAACGAAGAAAACGCGGGAAGTTAGCATGGATTCTATATATGATCTTGAAATCATGGTCAGGGTTGACAGAGTGACAGAAGTCGATCAGATGTTCCAGAATAGAGCTTCACACACACTTCCTTTCTCCCATTCTGGAATATGTTCTCGTATCCGTGTGGAAAGCGTCCTCTGACTACAGCCAATGTACCTTGCTCCACAAGAGCAGGTGAACTGATAGATGCACATAGAGGCAGCCAGACGGGGTAGCTTATCTTTTACAGAGGTAGAGAACAACTTGCGGCTAGTGTACGTCATATGTAATTTTGCTGCAAAGAACGTCTTACTGACTGATTTAGAGAGACGATTTTTGAGCATATCTGAAGCTTGATCACCTTTGAATTCCAAGTTCATGAATAAGGTTTTCTTTGGAACTGAGTCGGTGACCAGTTTAGACTGCTTATCTTTCATGTTGCTGTCAATAAATCGGTTAGGGTAACCGTTTTCTGCCAGCGTGGCTTTTAAGAAGTCAAGTTCTGAGTCAACGCAATCAGAACTACAAATTTTCCTTATCCTAAAGCAGAGCGAATGAATAAGGTTTCTTTTCCTGGAAATAGACACCCAACTGTAAAAATTAGTTGTCCGTTCCATGTACGTTTCTGGTGGATAGATCTTTTGAGAGATCCGTCATTACGTCTGCTAAGGCACACATCAAGAAACGGAATACTTAGTTTGGATTCCTTTTCTATGGTGAATTGTAAAGAAGGATGGCAGTTGTTGAAAGCAAACAAGACATCATCAAGAATTACGTTATTATCGCAGATAACGAAAGTGTCGTCTACGTATCTTTTATAAATGTCAAAATGACTGATGGTTTGACTAAGTTGAGAATTTTCAAGCTTTGCCATTCACACCTTTGACCTAATTCCCTCACCGGATATAATTTCTTAAAAACCATATATATATATATATATACGATTGTACAGCTTGATAATAAATTCGTTGAAAAGAGTCTCTTCGCTGAATATCGTGTTCTTAATGCTACAATGGGAATTATTAGATTATATATATATATATATATAATATTCTAGAATAGTTGCCATTCACAATATTGGTGTTTTTTAAATACTATCGAATTGTTGATTAAGGTCAATGGAATTACAGTCCACCAAAGATGCATAAATTATAATAAGCAAATAGAATATCAAATTAAATTAAGGAAATTTCCACAACAAATTAAGGATAGTTAAAATCTTGATGGCCAGGAGAGTAAGGACATTGTCTGAACCAATTTCTTTCGCATACAAAAGTTAGGCTTCTTAATGTGAATCCCAACGGCCTCAGCAATATGTAGTAGATGAATTCTTAAGGTAAAGTTAAGACTAGTTGGTATGCGGCAGATGACTTTGGAGGCCTCGTTAACAACAATCTTATATTCTGTATCCACAGGATTAGATAGAATAGAGCCATGAGTGGATTTTGTTTGTCCTTTACTTAACCACACACAGGATGATGTTCGGGGATCCGACGATGAACACACCTAATTGTACGGCCTGTATAACTGACTCCACAGGAGCAGTCAAAGTGGTAGATACACACATAGAAACAAAAATAAATATGGACTGCTCAAAAATGCTGTTATTCTAAATTGCTTTTGTTATCGTAATAATGAATGGGAGTACTGGACAGCTGTTTCGTCCTAGTCCAGTACTTCGAGGTTTCCCAGTGGTTCTCTAACTGATGTCAGCTCATGATGAAAACCTGTATGCAATCAAACAAAAATCCCTACAAAACCAATACCTGAAAATAATAGTGAATACTTGATTTAGACTATGTTAAATAAAAAAATTGTTCAACGAATTCATATTTCTATGTGAAAGAACCAAGTTTCCTGTGGATAACAAATTCTCAGGATATTCTTGTATTTTTCTATTCAAGAATACTACATATTTGAATTTAGTTATAAGCACACACTAGAATTCTGTATGTGCTTCAGTAGCACAGCGGTAGAGTGCTCACCGACCACACATGTGGTTCGGAGTTCGATACCCCGCCACCGACGCATTCCTTAACCTCGCTAAGCCGGTAATAAGAATGGTAAAGAGGGAGGCTAGCAACCCCATACTGTAAAAATAATCACCACTACTACAGAAACTTCAAGTCTCTAGCTTGAAGTCCTATATTCCACTGGGAACGTAAAGGAATAAAAACAAGAATTGTGTACGTATGCAGCTTACAAATAAATATTTTAATGAATGAAAACCATAAATTATCACAGTTAAAGTTTTAATAATTTGAAAAAAATAAAATAAAATACAAAAAAATTGTCAGTGTGTATAAAGTAAGTGATACAGAAAGAAAACTTGGATGAATATAACTCCTGAAAGGTATTTGAAGGCATTTTTGAAACATTTAGGTATACATTAAACTCCCCTCAAAACGTGTACACACACAGTGACTGTATGACTGATAGATAATTGATCCGTTCTGTATTCGAAACAGTGAATCCATTTTTATGCATCTGATGTTTAATAGATATATTGATTAGTAATTAGAAATGAATGATTCCTTATGGATTTTTTTTTTTATTCCTTCACGTTCCCAGTGGAACACACGGCTTCAAGCTAATGGCTTGAAGTTTCTGTAGCAGTGTTGATTTTTACAGGATGGGGTTGCTAGCCTCATGCCCAACCTTTCCTCTTCACCAGCTTTTGGTTCTGGCTCAGCGAGGTAAAGGAGTGCGCCGGCCGGGGATCGAACCCCGAACCATGTGCATGGTCGGCGAGCGTCCTAACCGCTATGCCACCGACGCATCCCTACATGATACACCAAACAGAATTGAATCGACTAACCCTGTTTAAGGTTGTGTTTATTTTAGCCTTCAAACTGACTGTCTGTTTTATTTACTTTGATTATTTGCTGCATATTTGATATTATCAATAAACGAATGTATAAAATTAATTTCCTAGGATTAACTTACTACTATAAAATGACTACTAAAATCAGATATTAGATATTTCTTAAAGTGCATCGGTGGCATAGCGGTTAGGACACTCGCCGACCATGCACATGGTCCGGAATTCGATCTTCGGCCAACGCACTCCTTTACCTCGCTAAGCCAGAAATAAAGCTGGTAAAGGGGAAAGGTTGGGCATGAGGCTAGCAACCTCACCCTGTAAACAAACACTGCTAAAGAAACTTCAAGCCTCTAGCTTGAAGCCATATGTTCCACTAAGAACGTGAAGGAATAAAAAAAGAGATATTCTTTTAAAAGGTTCAACAAAAATGTCTTTTCAACAAACACATTCTCAAAAGCTTCACCCTACCAATTTACACATTCATACACACTCACATACATAGTTTCGCATACTTACAGTCATAATTTCACTCAACATAGAAACAAAGGTGAGATTGAAGAAGAAGAGAATAGCTTTCAACTTGATATGAAAGTTTTCAGGTTTGATGAGAGATGAATATAAATCACAGGGGACATGGATGGCGAAATAATGCAGGATGGAGATAAAAGAGTTACGTTATCTGTAAGAAAACAGTTTCTAATGTAGACAATAGTAAAAAGGATAGTGTATAGAAACAAACTAGGTAACCAAACATTACTAGACCCTGGCTGATTTTGCATACCTGGCATGATTTGTGAATAATCAAACCAAATCTAGAAAAAGAAGATCCCAGTCCACTGCCTGGATTATGAAGAATCTCTAGTTCCGCAAAGACCATCTTCTCTGTAGCATACAACCCACTGCTTCTAAGCAGTTTGAATGTGAAACTCCGAAGAATGATCATTCAAAGTTGAATATATCAGTTCTCCTGCTCGTGTGGAGCTGAGTATGTAGATCATACTTTTAGCGTTCTTTCAACATAACATAAATAAGAGAGAATATAAGTCATCTACAGTTATACCATGTAAAGAGGGGACATCTGAGACCCTACGTAGGATTCTAAATAAAGCAGGAATTAGGGTGGCATTTAAACCTACAAACTCACTCAGGGACAAGCTCTGTAGGTTAAAGGACCCAGCTGACCCAATTAGACAAAATAGTGTAATTTACAAAATAGCCTGCAATGACTATGAGGTCAACTACATAGGTCAAACTAGTAGGTCAGGGGTATTCAGACTGTCAGAACAGAAGAATGGTTGACCCAGAGAAGATAAGTAATTTAGAAAAAAGCACAGTAATTGCAATGCATGCATTAGCATACAACCCCACAGTAGGGTGGGAGAGGGTTAAAACTCTAAGAAGTAAAGTAGGTAGGTGGAGAGCGAGAGAGGTTGATTACTGAATCCTTGTTCATCGAGTCTACACCCAACACATGCAATAGAAGTGATTCATCAGTCATACCCGAAATATAGAAAATACTACTACCAGTCAAATCAAATGAAAAACAATGGAACTATATAAATGAATTTAGGAAGTCATGTGATTAACATGATATGATTATGAGCAATAATTTGTGCTCGAAACTGTGAGACTTTATCAAAACAAAATTTACCCATAATGGAATTGCATTCTACCACAGTGCACAAGTTTTATTCTTATATCAGTAGACTGGGATCTTCTTTTTCTAGATTTGGTTTGATTATTCACAAATCATGCCAGGTATGCAAAATCAGCCAGGGTCTAGTAATGTTTGGTTACCTAGTTTGTTTCTATACACTATCCTTTTTACTATTGTCTACATTAGAAACTGTTTTCTTACAGATAACGTAACTCTTTTATCTCCATCCTGTATTATTTCGCCATCCATGTCCCCTGTGATTTATATTCATCTCTCATCAAACCTGAAAACTTTCATATCAAGTTGAAAGCTATTCTCTTCTTCTTCAATCTCACCTTTGTTTCTATGTTGAGTGAAATTATGACTGTAAGTATGCGAAACTATGTATGTGAGTGTGTATGAATGTGTAAATTGGTAGGGTGAAGCTTTTGAGAATGTGTTTGTTGAAAAGACATTTTTGCAGAGTTTCTTGTTTCCTTTCCTACGTCCTGATGGGTATTTTATTGCGTAAAATACTAATAATAATATAATGCTATTATCTTTATTTTACACAGGAGAGTAGTCAGAATGATTTTCTGCAAGAGATTACTGAGTGCAAATGGTTTTCAAGTCAGTCAAAGAATATGAAAAAAGAAGCTATTGCAAGGAATATTTTCAAACAGCTATGTCATATTAAAGATGTAGATGAGCTGCGTGAAGCCGAAATAGCACTAGTTATTTTAAAAAGTTAAGTAAAAATAACCTTATAAAAATACTTTGTTTTCATTACACAAATTATCATTTTTTTTATTCCTTCATGTTCCCAGTGGAACACAGGGCTTCAAGCTAGAGGCTTGAAGTTGCTGTAGCAGAGTTTATTTTACAGGATGGGGTTGCTAGCCTCATGCCCAACCTTTCCTCTTCACCAGCATTATTTCTGGCTTAGCGAGGTAAAGGAGTGCGTCTGTGGCCGGGGATCGAACCCCGGACCATGTGCATAGTCAGCGAGCGTTCTAATCGCTGCGCCTCCGACGCTAATGCTCCTCCTATCTCAGATGCCCAAAGAAGAAACCAACTTCCATACTGTGGGCGGCGAGGAAGCAATAACCGCCCACACACTTCCATAAGCAAACAAAACTTTTCTGACCATCTCCCACATTTAACTCCATCACTTTTATTATCTTGTTTTCCTCCTACTGCCAATATTATCTCATAGACAGGGCTCTAATCTTCTGTATGAGACCACAAATAGAGACGAGATACGGGATAACATAACTGATAGTCTCTTAAAACTACTCTGCAAACTTCATATTAGAACATTTAAAGGCAGAATCCTTTGCCAAATTACACAACGAGGTTTCACTAGCTAGAACTCTGGCATCTGAAGTCATGGATGTATGTTGTATTTGCAAGACACTCACCAGACCAACAGGGTGGGTCTGCGAAACCCACTCTGCGGGTATTATGAGGTTCTTCGGCTAGTTCGTGAGGACTTTCAGGTGAAGGGTTAGAGTGGATCCCTGTGGATAGCCGTATTTATGCTGTATAGCTGAACGGATCCATTAGAATAAGAGAATAGTAACACATGGGACTGGAAAAAATGATCCACTTTGTTTCACCAGTATCTCGTACACTATTTACCGCCTGAGCAACAAAAGTGAATATGCTTAACATATTTAAGTTCGTTAAGAAGACAAATGTCGAACGGTAGTTAAGATATTCATAGCTTGATGATGAACCGTAATGGAAATTTGGTAAAAAGGATAAGCTTACGTTACAAAACAGAGTAATATCTTTTAGCCAACTTTGTCCGTTTTTCGAGAAACTTCAATCATATTATTTATATGACTGTAGCAATTCCTTATACTTTGCTAACTTTTTATTACATCTAATCAACAAGCTAAGAATATGCTTAATTGCTCTTCGACGTTTTGTTTCTGTAACGAATTTAAATATGACACAATTGTGTCATTTCAAAGTAACCAATGACACATCAAGATTTCTAATTCAAAGTGAAATACACAAATTATCAATAATATCATAAAAATTTAGACTATTATATGACAGTGTAACTGGCGTCATATTTCTTTACTGTCTAATCGCAAACACTTTACTGAGTATAAATAATGAGGTCACACTTGAAAATTGTGTAGATAGGATAATGTGGATAAATGACAAGGTCCTCCTGTTAGATAAGATTATCCCTTGAAGAATCTATCTTGATTTCATGACGCCATATACTATTGAGTGACTGATCTTGGTAACTGGAAACCACTCACGTAAACCAGCTAAAGTGAAGTGAACTGGACACCGGATGGCCGTTTCGCTCGTTTGAGGTCCAGCTCAGCAGTGTTGTATTCAGTTCGACTCAGCTTAGACAGTGGTGTCCGTTCTAATCACCTGAATTCTGTCTAGATACTTGGGTGAACTGGTAGTACATAGAAACAGATCTGCAGTTTGTAAATAAGCAATCGGAGGCGGACTTTCGTCACCAATTAGTCAAGAAGGTAGCCAGAATTCAGATGGTTTGGCCTGATTCAACCCTCTGAAATGAGTCAAACCGGAGATCGGCTCCAAACGAATGAAACAGATCATTTTGATCTGGTTGATAAACAACACTGGACAATGCAAGTGGTTGCCAACTACTTAAATGAATCAGTAGTACACACCATCGTGTAATTATGCTTGCTTTCTAGATCTTCATTTATGGTATCAAGTAAGTAGTATGCTGTTATTTGAATATTCTGGGTTTTTATTTCACAAATTGAATTTTCACCATGAACTGTGTGAAGATAGCGAATATAATTCATCTTGGAGATCAGTCTCTTCATTGGTCATTTTCAACTGTGCTACTTGTTACGGTCCTATTCACTGAAGTATTTGGTTTGAACTATAAGAAGATGTAACTCTGGAGTGTGCTAAAGATAGTAGGTGGCTTTGTTTGATTGTATGGAGGATTTCATCATGAGCTGACAAAATCCCTACAAAACCAATACATGAAAATTAATCTGATGCTCACTAGTGACTGGCCCTATTCAGGTGGTTAACCTGGGGTTCTGTTGGGAAGCCGTGACCAGTAGGGTACAGCAGGTTGAAGATGAGGCAGTAACTCATATAAGAAGTCATTGCGAAATGGTCGCGCTATGTCGTGAATTGGCAGAAGTTAGAATTCATGGGCTGGCCATTGGATCGGGTCCCAGTGGCTCAATGGTCTACGAGTTCACCTTGTAACCAGAAGGTCCTGGGTTCGAATCCCGGTGAGTGCGTACTGCTGAAGAGTTTCAAACTAGGACGAAACAGCTGTCCAGTACTCCCAGGTTTTCCAATGGTTCTCTAACTGATGTCAGCTCATGATGAAATCCTCTATATATCATAATTATCTAACTTTATGCTTGAAAAGTATCTCTAACTTACTAACAAAAAAGTGACAGAATATATCAATAAAGCATGGTCGAGAGACACTACATTATTTATGTGTACTTTCTGAGCATTTTGGATCAATAAAATATTGTTCACCTCAAGTAATACGTGCATAATGCGGCCCGGTTATTCTGAATAGACAGTTTTTTGAGCTGAAGAGTGAACCATATCTATTGCATCAGGAATTAAGGTACTATTAGGCCAATGAAGACGAATATACGGTTTAAAATCAAGCCACTGGCTAATAATAATGAGGCAAGTGAACCATTGAGATTCATTTTGATAGTGTGGACGATTAGAGTGTCAAAGAGTACAACTCATGAAAGGCATTTAAGTTGTAAATGTACCACTGACTAAATATATAGTCACCAACATATTATTCCTCTTGGTTAAAGTGAAATGAGGTCAAAGTATTTAGTCTAATCGGCTAGAAGAAGATCCATTCATTCAACAAGATATTTCGGTATTTCTGACGTGAATAACTCTTGATCAGTTGTCTTTAATTATTACTCTAATTTCTCTAATCTCTCTACTTTAATTTTCAAAAAATTAAATGTATTTCTTTCATTTACCACAATTACAGGCAGTTTGGATTAAACAAGGCATGCATAGAACAAATTATAGGTTATGCTGAAAAGCTTTTTGCAAAGTGTTATCAGATTATAAAAGAATCTATAAATGCCAAACAAAAAGCCAGGGAAAATGCATTTGTTTATGGACTTTCTGCGCTAACAATCTTGCATAACTTTGGTATTGTCGTAAATGATCATCTGGAATTAATTGAGGTAGGTAAAGAGTACTCTTAGATTAGATGAGACTATATATATATATATATAGGCAATCGGCCACAGGAAGCCCTGGACCTAGGTTTCATGCTAGTTGGCACTCGTCAGCAAGGCGTATCTGCAACCTTGAAGGAACTCATCTCACTTCTGGGATTCGAACCCTTGCTGACAAATCAAAGACTATATATATATACAAAAATATATATGTATATATGTAACGACAGAAGACAAGGGCCAAGCAACAGACCCTACATTGAGAAAGTCAAGAGGTATTTATAGAATTTTATCTGCATTATTATCAGCGTTATTGTTAACGGAGAAGCAACCTCTTCTGATTGGTTGTTTTCTTGCTGAAGGTTATTCTGTTATCTCCTTGTGGCCGTTTCTCAGAAAATCAAGCCATATATCTGTGAATCATATTACCACACTTTAACTCCGCTGTGATTGGCTGGTGATTTACTGAAGGTAAAGCTATGTTATTGTTTTCCTCATGACCCTGATTCGGAACGTGAAGATTGACATAAATTGTTGTCTAGCATTTTGGCTTGCAGACAGCTCTCGCCACATATATAGTAGTGATTAAACTGTTTCGCAAACAGTATTAGATACTGGCCGTATTTTGGTTATCATAAAATAAACAACTTATCCCTATTACCATAATAATAATAATATCGATAATAATAATAAATATTTTTATTTGACACAGATCAGTACAACCCAACCTTCAGTTTTCATCATTTCATGGTATATAGATTATTGGATTGTAGGAAGAAACAGTTTACTTCTAATCTTAAAGTTCTCAGACCAACATTAAGGAACAATAGTTCCAGCTATATTATATGGTCTAAGCGAAATGAAATCACTAAACCAAGAAATCAGCTGCAGTCTGAGGAATCACTTTATTTTGATAATAACAGAACGCACCATTGTTTGACTTGTATTGCTTTTTTTTCTTGTCTTTACGCTTTTCTCATCACCGTTGTTTACAACGCCTCCCTGAGCTGAACTGGAAGCTTACAATGCATAATGTTTTCTAAAGTAATTCCAATTTTTTTCTCGAAGTAGAGTTCATAATAAGAACTTGAAATTTCCGTAAGCTTCAATAATCCCTACTCAATATCCTGAAAGAAGCTAAACCATTTAGATTATTCTTTGCTAATTTATTGCAGATTTATATCTTAATCAAATCACGATATGGCTTTGCAAGATGATCACTAAAGATTTCATTATTTATAAGTTGCATATGGTCATGCATAATTAATGGTAGTTGTGTTTTATTACAACTAGTGGAAGACGAGATGAATGCTGTAATATGAAACTTGATAATATTACAGTTATCGTCAAATTAAATCTCACCCTAGTCAGTAATAGTACTGTGGTGAGTGCTACTTGTAATCAGATATAAGTAGTATATCAGTGAACGAGTTCAGAAAAGCAACAATATGTTTCCGACACTGGAAAAACCAATCGAAAAACAGAACTGTGAAAATAACATTAGAAACACTGTGCAGAACTCAGTAAGCTGTCGAATGTGGTGATATTAGACCAATTTCCAAAAGATGTGCGAATAAAGCATTGGAGATACCAAATTTATGTACCTACAATCAGTTTCTCCTTTTAAAGATTCCTTCGAGCCCCATCGGTCTTTTCTTCTTTACAGCACCACTAAAATTTAATTTCTAAGCCATTAGATTGGTAAATATAGTGAGTAATATTGAGGTTAGGCAAAGAAGGAAAGCCTGTCGATAAGACTATGAAGCTGCCTTGACTGAGGCAGTTGGGACACAGGTCATACTAGTCAGGCTTTCCTGGCCCAGGAATTTTAGGCTTATCTAATTGAAAACACGAAATCATGGCTAGAAATTGTTATCAGTGGCCCAAATACATTTAGCTCCCATGAACTCCCAAATCGACTATTTTCCCCCTTACATTTTCCTTCAGTACAGTTCTTAATTCAAAAGTATCCAAGTTTGTATAACTCACTCACCATGCTTCACATCAGTGGATTTATACGCCATAATTTGTATATGCATATAAACAGGCGAGTGAACTAATAAATTTCATATATTTATTCTCCTTTATGAACCTCAGTAGAGCAAGAACAACAGTTTGTACAAGATAATATGGCACCATCATTACGCAATCATTTGGTTACGCAATCTTTGGCTTTAACCCCACTCCCCTTGATATAAAGTAATTGTGCTTGTCTCTATGACCTGAGTTGAACTCAGCACACTGTTACCCAATTTATTAGTTACGCATCATCTTACGCATCTCTCGTCCTTATTACCTAACTCCTTTACCATTGTATGCATGGACTGATTTCATTTAAACTTGAACTCCCTGTGTAAAAACTATATAAAAGTTTAATTCTCTGAGCACTGCTCACTAAGTTTGGAACCTCCTGCCAGCTGACATCATGTAAAATTTGCAAGTTTGTTAAAACTTTTCTTTACATAAACTTAATAATGTATTTAGGCTGTAAGCAGCTGATGAGAAGCCAACGAAATAAGCAATGATGGTACCATCTTATTCTACACAAACTGTCTTCTTGCTCTATTCAAATACTTAAATTTCTTTTATCTTATCTCATAAAATTTATATTGCATTCTTTTTTTTATGTACAGGAAGCATTTCTTTCATTTGAGGCAGTAGAAGTAAGTTTAATGTTTCTTTTAATAAGTCTTTAGTTGACTTTATTTAACATGATATTTGATGTTTTAATAACCAAAATAACCAAACTTTATGTGGAATTTAAATAATGTTTATAACTGGACCAGACGAATTAAACAAACATCTAATTAAGCAGCATTATGATAAGTGGAACTAGATACAAAAGAATACTTTTTTATTATTATTCCCATGGGTCCCGAGGGGAACAACTCCACTTCACTCTGTTCTTCACAACCTCTTTCAGCTGGCTCTACGATTCTTCATAAGCTCTCATTTCATCTTCACACGATCTCCTTCGTGTTACATCTGGACGACCAAGTCATTCTTTCTCACTCAGGTTCCACTATATGGTATTCTCAGTATATGTCCGATCCTTCTCCAATTCCTTCGGAATATTTGGTGGGCGATAAGTTTTTGATTTGTTCATTGTCCGGGTTCCCTGTTACTTCTCCTTTCTAGCTAGCAATCTGATCTTCAGTATGGCTGGGAGGCGAGTGTTAATAAAAGGCAATAAATAGCCTGATAGAAATGCTTTTTGTGGCGCTCTAAGTTTCTGGACCATATATATAGAAGAACTGACTTAACATTTGTGTTGAAAAACTGGATCTTACTCTTTATGCTGAGTGAAGCAGATTTCCAAACTGATTTTAGACTAATAAAGATCCATATGGCCTTTCCGATCCTGGCTAGCTTAAACATCTTTATCGTTGTCACCTGTAGTTCGAACAGTACTGCCTAGATAAGTGAAAAACATGAGTTCCTTTAAATTTCTCCCGTTGATAGTGATGGGTTCCTGTTGTTGTTGTTGGTAAGATATCTTCATCCCCTCTGTCCTCTTAACGTTCACTCAGAATCCTTCTGACAACTTGTTTGTTTCCACCTGTAGATCTTCAAGTTTATTTGACTGTAGAAATAAATCGTCTGCAAAGTTCAAATCTTGCATAGTCTTTATGTCAGCCCAACGTATTCCTATCTTCTCGCTTCCTACTGTCTGCCGCCTGATGTAGTTCACCAAAATCAGAAATATCATCGGTGATAGCAGGCAGTCTTGTTTTACCCTTGTCTTCACTTCAGAGGCTTACTGAGTTGCGCGTTGTGAACTACTTGACATGTGTCATTGTCACATAGCTGTTGAATGAGGATAATGAAGGTTCGAGATACTCCATAGTATTGAAGCAGTTTTCAAATCACTTCGTGGTCAACACTACTGAAGGTCTTTTTAAAGCCAATGAAGTTGAGGTAGAGAATTGACTGTCATCCTATGCTCTGCTGCATAATGATGTGTAGAGCTGCAGTTTGATCCGTACATGATTTGCTCCTCCTCAATGCGGCTTCTTCGATGACGGGATTCTGTATCCAATGCATTTTTTAGTCTCTCCAGGATGACGCGACTTAATATTCTGCTTAGCATGGACAAGAGCGTGTTTCAGCACTAGTTTTCGAGAAGGACTAAGTCGCTATTTTGATATTGTGACAAGATACCCACTCTCCCAATCGACATGTGCCCTTCCTTCCGCCTAATCTTCTGCAATAGTTATGTGAGCATATCTGCCTAGATCTCAGTGTTTGTTTACAGTGCTGCTGGTGAAATTCCACTTTGGTTTTGCTGCTTTCAGTAACCTTATGACATTCAAGATTGCTGCTTTTGTCGTAGGCAGTTCTGGCAATGTCGGTGGTATTTCTGAACAAATTGTTAGTGGTGGTCGATTCAAAAGTCAATTAAAGTGATTAGCCCGCTATTTTCTTTGTTTCTTCTCTTTGACAATTAGGTTTCCTTCAGTGATGCCACACAGTGTCTCCGACTTTTCCCTGATGGCTGCAGTGAAATGTTCTTTTGTAGTTCCCTCCTTCGGTTTCTGAGCGTTGAACTTGATCCATGGTCTATCTCCAGCTGCTTTGAAGTCTTAGGCATCGACATACTGGGACAGATATACACTCCCACTTCTTTACGTCTTAATAAAATATATTCGTGTGAAATAAATATTCATTTTCAAGCATTCACTTTTAAGAGTTTGACTGGTTTCAACTTAGATTTCATCACGAATTGACATCATTTAATTATTTTCTATTTTAATTATAGCTTGATTCCACACAGTATTTTGGTATAAGTATGAAAGTTTCAGCATGTGATATCGGTAGATCAAATTTTGCAGGCCGACCATTGATATCAGGTGTGCGTCAGCCGGGGATCGATCCCCGGACTATGTGCATGATCGGTGGGCCACCGACGCACATCGAATACCAAGAAGCATTAAACAGCTGTTCCCACCTAAGTCGCTTACTCCTCAAGAGTGAAAAAAATTACTTTTGTGATATATATATATATGTATATGGTAAACCTAAGTGTCTTGAAATCGTCAGCTGTAGGTTTCTTCGTTGAAATGTCATCGCACAAATCATTTCTTCTAACAGTTCAGAGTAAGGTTTTTCAAGGGCTTTCTCCAAATGAATATTCATATTTCTGAGCATATATACAGACATTTTAATGACTAGAAAAAACTTAATACACATTAATATTACCGCTAGTAAGGAAACACAAATAAACAACACTATAAAATCCTAAATGGATATCAATGAGATGCTCACTAGCGACTTGCTCTATTCAGATAGGCAGCCACCTGGGGTTCTAGTGAGAAGTCGTGACCAGTAGGGTGCAGCAGGTCGGGTGTGAGGACAAATACTCGCCGAAGACATTGGCTAGGGTTCGCTCTATGTCGTGAATTGGCAGAAGTTAGAATTCATGGGCCATTGAATCGGGTCCCAGTGGCTTAATGGTAAACGAGCTAGCCTTGTAACCAGAAGGTCCTGGGTTCGAATCCCGGTGGGTGCGTACTGTTGAAGAGTCCGTAACTAAGACGAAACAGTTATCCAGTACTCTGGTGCTGGTTTTCATTGGTTCTCTAACTGATGTCAGCTCATGATGAAATCCTGTAAACACTACTTATATTTTAATCAGATTCTGCATATTATTTCTATCATAAATGAAATCAAAACTGAACAGTTTTTATGAGTTGCCTATTTCTTACTTTTATCGTCTTAATTTCACTCACCTACATTGATAACAGGAATTTATAATATAGACTGTCATCTTATAAAACTTTTTTAGAAAAATGCGGGGATTTAAAATTTAATTTCCTAATTTTAATTAGTTAAATAAATCTAATTACCACATTTTTTAGGAGGAACGTATAGAAAAGAAACATAAACCTGGAAAGAAGCACAAAAAAGAGTTAGATTCATCTGCAACCGATGAAACAATTGATTCACAGTTAGAGTTTGAAGATTTCTTAGAAACGGAGACAGATGCAAAGACTATAGAGTCTAAAAGACGTGTGAAACGTCCTCATAAAGAAAAACCACCCGGTACACCTAAAACAAAGAAAGTAAAACGCAGGAAATCACCTACAGAATTATCCCAATCAGAAGATACATCATCATTAAAGCGACAAGCAATTGAACCTTACAAGCGTACACGAAAAGCTGAAGAGATGGAAGAAGGTATTGAAAGTGAAAGTTTAGAGAAAGATACGGTTTCAAAAGCGCATAAGTTAACAAGCTTGAAAGCAGCAGTCAGAAAACACATTGTACGTGATCAGGAAAAAAGAGCCAAAGTAGAAAGAGATGCTGTTACAGGACAGCTAAAAGTGCCTGCTATACAACGAAAGTTAACACCTAAAGAGGAAAAAGAAAGAATCCTATCAAAACTAAAACAATTTTTGAATCAGCAAACCGATGAGTTACACGCAACACCTGCTCCATCTTTAAGCCTTGAAAATCTTATGTCAGTCCTGGAAGATTCAAGTAAATCAGTAATGGCTGAGGAAATTCTTTTATTGTTGGCAAAGTAGGTGCATTAACTTTATTGATTTATAAAATGTTCACTTAGTGAAATGTTTGTGCAGATTGGCAGTTCACTTAGACTAGTATTTATGTATCTTTGAAAGTGGGATACGACCTAAAAAGGTCTTATTCATAAGTGTAGATTCTGTCAAGTTTTTTATAAAATAATGGAGGCAAAAAGGATTCATCTGTCAAATAAAAAAGACTGCATACAATTAATCCTCACTTCTGCGTCGGTCGCATAGCGGTTAGGGCGCTCGCCAACCACGCACATGGTCCGGAATTCGATATCCGGCCACAGACTCACTCCTTTACCTCTCTAAACCAGAAATAATGCTGGTGAAGAGGAAAGGTTGGTCATGAGGCTAGCAACCCCATCCTGTAAAATAAACACTGCTACAGAAACTTCAAGCCACAAGCTTGAAGCCCTATGTTCCACTGGGGAACATGAAGGAAAAAAATCCTCACTTAAATGTTTTAATGGCACTGTTGTAAAAATAGATTGACTAGAAGACTGGCTGTCATTGTGAAAATGCAATCGAAATCCCAACCCACCTACATTTGTATACCAAGTTGAAAGTAAATTGGATGGTGACAAAATTAATCAGAATTCAAAGAACTTCACAAATAAAAATAAAATGGGATAAACCATAGTGAAAAATAGTTATCTCGGTATTGAAAAATAGTTTCACAATATTAAAGGTGTTCAGATGTTTAGATAAATCTCTCTATAAATTGTAGGACTACTTTCTGGAAATAGAAGAAGAATAAAACAGTCCATTGTATCATAAAATAGGACCACATCGTTTTCACATTTGGGTTCTGTTGTGCCTGTGATAACTTAATAATAATGCTGATTTATGTGTTCGGTACTAAAAAGCAATGGGTGAATCAATCGAAAAAAACAGATGTCAATTATTAATTAATCAGTAAAACACCCCACCTCCCTTAGCCCACACAAACAAAAACAGACGACAGATTGTTCAATGCTGGAGAGATGAATTCGATTTTGTGATACAAAAGTACATTATATGCAAAAATATTACGTACTTCAGAATGTTAAGCTAACAAACCACCAAGTATATATATTGATTGCATATGGTAGCGCTTCTAGGTTGTTCAATCACACTGTAGTGAATATCCTGCCTTTATTAAATGGTTGGAGGCAGTCGGCCACAGGAAGCCTTGGACCTAGGTTTCGTGTTAGTTGGCACTTTTCAGCAAGGCGTATCTGCAACGCGGAAGGAACTCATGTCCCTTCTGAGATTCGAACCCACGTCACCCAGTGCTGCAGTCAGAGACGATACCAGTGACTTCGCCCAGCGGTTTAATTTGTCTACTCTAGTTTATTTGTATTTAAGCCTGTTCTAGTTAGAGTACGGGTTTGTTTGATCTGGTTTTTGACCGCTTCTAGATTTTATGAATGTAATGACCAGTAAATGCATTTTGTTCATCTATCGTGAAGGACTTTCGGGGTGGAATTTCAACAAACACATACTAACTTTTTATTATAATAAATCAGTATGTCAAAAGACAGAGAAACTATATTCATGCAGTTTTCAAGCTAATTAATGTGTAAGTGTTGGTTTGTAGGGATTTGATTGATTGGTTTCAGGATTTTCATCATGAGCTTACAATAGTTAGAGAACCATTGGAAAACCTGGGAGTACTGGACAGCTGTTTTGTCCTAGTTTGGGACTCTTCATCAGTACGCACCCACCGGCTATACGAGCTCGCCTTGTAACCAGAAGGTCCTGGGTTCGAATCCCGGTGGGTGCGTACTGATGAAAAGTCCCAAACTAGGACAAAACAGCTGTCCAGTACTCCCAGGTTTTCCAATGGTTCTCTAACTAATGTCAGCTCATGATGAAAATCCTGTAATGTATAAATGATTTTCAAAAGCTGTCATTTATTAGCTACTTAAAGGTTGTGTGACTATTGCAAAACTGGTAAGCTGTTAGGTGTCACGTGTTACTTTTTTATACAAAATTGTCTGAGACTTAAGTATCAAGTTGATTAGCAACAAGGTTAGTGATGAAGCACTTACGGTAAATGAATATTTCATCGACTTAACCCTTACTGTTTAAACAATATAAACTGTCTTAACTAGTCGTGTAATTGGTACTTAATATAATTTACTGGTAACATACTCATGTCAACCGCAGTATTATTAAATGTATCAAAGTAGGCTACCTGGCAAAAAGCACCTTCTTTTGGGTAACATAAGTGCCCATAGTTTCAGAAGCAAATTATCCAGGTAAATAGAACATATAGGAAACGAAGTGAAATGCTTACAATCTAGATATACTTTGTTCGGTAACAGGTGTCTACCTTGACTTCAAAAGACTAGAAGTATTGACATTCACTAAGAGTTGATCCCAATGTGCAAAAGTGGATTTTATCCCTCCATATATTTTCAAATTATGATTATTATTATAGATAGAAAATCTAAAGAGACTTTAGTTATTCAACCGTCAGTGTCATTCTGACGTTATCAGTGTTTGATAAAGCCACAAAATGAGCAGTACAGTCTTTTAATTGATTTTAAGCAAATCAGTAGACGCTGTGATGTTATGTTGTATATGCCATCTTGTTTCCCCCCTGAAACTCTAATTTTGGTGGGATTAGAAGTAGGCGAGTATGAAGTGGAAGGGTCGTAGACCAACACACCACACTAATTCATAAAATCACTGGTAGTTTTGCCAAACGGTGCAAGGAATTGTCAGTTTTCTTGACTGGTGTCTAAAACTATATACTACTGTTGACTGAAATGAGTAGTTGTATACCACTTATATCAACCAGTAGTGTTTGATAGCCAGAACGAAGTGGTCTAAACACCGAACGGCCGTCTCGATCTGGTTATCAAACACTACTGGTTGATTTGACTACTTTGCGGCTACTCATCTCAATTAAGTAGTATTGTATAATGTCATGCATTTACACTTGGTCTCTTGATTACCATTTATGGCATTAATCAGACCAAAGTTTTATAATCTGAATAATCTCTACTTCCAAAGGATTATGAGATAATCACCTCGAACTGTGTGAATTGGGGACTAGTTTGTGTGTGTCGATGGCTTAGCGGCTATGACTCTCGACGACCATGCATATGGTCTGGGTTCGATCCCCTGTCGACGCACACCTGATATCTATCATGGGCCTGCAAAATTTGGGCTACCGATATCACATGCTGTAAATTCCATACCTGTACCAAAAAACAAATACGGTGTGGAATGAAGCTGTAATAAAAAATTTGATTTTCTGGCTGAGATCTACATGACCACTGTGACCCATTGTTACAGAAGGACGCTAATATGGCCCAGTACCAAATGCAGTGGTGCAGCTAAATGCATGCTTTATCTTCGTCTATATAGTAATATTTCCCTCATTTTTACCGCAGCATTCTGCAGTTTACGATCAAATAATTTAGTAGCCTTCACTTTTATCACATTCTACCAGATGTGCATATATAATTTGTAGCAATCGTGACCATCATTGAGTAATGCTAGTGTATTGGCTAAACACAAAAGTATTTGGCAACGTTAATGCCTATCAGCAACTCGAAGTACAGATATAGCTAAGGTATCCTATATCAGAAACACAATTTACACATGTCCTCCATATTGTGCTTCTTTTGTCTGTGTTGTTTCACAAAAATCCTTCCGTTCTCCTCTTCGCCATTAAATCTGTGGTGAGAGCTGTCTGCTAGCCAAAATTGATAGACAGCAATTTACGTCAATGTTTTCGTCCCAAATCTTGGTCATGAGAAAAAAAAACAAAAACAAAGACTAACTCAACAACCAATCACAGCAGACTTAGCGTGGGCGGATACGATTCGTAGATATATCAACGGACTGTCTAAGAAACGGCAACAATGAGGATGACAGAATAACCTTCAACAGGAAAACAACCAATCAGAAGACGTTACCTCTCTGCTAACAATAACGAATAATAATGTACATAAAAATCTATAAATATCTGTTGATTTCCTCTGTAAACGATCTGTTGCCTGGCCCTTGTCTTCTGTCGTTACAAATCTATACCCCAGCCGTTTAATATTCTTTTATTACTCCATTATGGATAAGATTTTATTTTGATAAATCATACAGTGTTGTACAGTTATATTAACTGATGACGTTTCGAGCACAAACTATTGCTCATAATCATATCAAAGTTGTGTGAGTAACTTGATATAATTATGAGCAATAATTTGTGCTCGAAACGTCATCAGTTAATATTACTGTGTAACACTGTGTGATTTATCAAAATAAAATCTTATGCATAATGGAGTTCTACTCTACCACAGTGTCCAAGTTTTATACTTATATTCTTTTATAATTCTTAAAACTTGTCTTTTTGTTGTTAAGGGAATTTAACATTGATGCAAATAATCCAGATGAATTAATAAATCGAATTAAAGAGCAAATGGATTCTGGAAAACATACTGACAAAGTTACTCCAATCAATAAACTATTCAATTTGTTGAGTGTTTTGACTGGTGTTGACAATTTTGATGATGATAAAAGTACAGATATTGAGAACTTTTCACAGGTAAATAAAAGCATCACTAATTATGTTAATTAAAATTGTCTTATTTCATTTTCTTCACTTACCAAAAAAATCATGTATTTTAACACTGATCATCTTCTAGGTTTCTGAATGGTTCATATTAGAAATCTAAATCTTATAACACCGCATAAGTCAGCATCATTTTGGAAAGACAGATATTTTTATGTAATGTTTTTTTCTTGTATAGTATTTGCTCTACGGTGACTGGTAAACAAGTCTAGCACTTCTGTTTCACACTGTTTATATCACATCAACTGTAAAGTATTTGCATCACAGTAAGTAGAATTACCGATTATCATTGAACAAAGCTTGGAATGGCAGTCACCTCTCTATCTCAACTTCATCGACTTTGAAAAGGCCTTCGACAGCGTCGATCGAGAGGTGATTTGGAAACTACTTCGCTATTACGGGGTGCCACTGACAATTGTACATCTCATCCAACAGCTGTACGATAATGCTGCATGCCAAGCAATCCACAACGGGAAACTTACGGAATCCTTCGAAGTGAGGACAGGAGTAAGACAAGGCTGGCTACCTACTATCGACAATGATTTTCCTGATTGCAGTAGATTGGATAATGCGACAGACAGTGGGCAACGCGAGAAGACAAGCATAAAATGGAACCACACAAAAACTTGGAGGATCTGGACTTCGGCGATGATATATGTCTGATTTCCCACAAACTCGAAGATATGCAAGCGAAAAGCAACAAGTTGGCAGAAGAAGCATCTAGAGAAGATAGGACTTCAGGTGAACATAGAGAAAACAGAAGTGATGAAGATTCCTGGACAAGAACAACAACAGCAACAACAACAACTGACAACAATCAGCATAATTGGAAGGAACCTGAAAGGAACGACCTCATTTACCCACTTGGGAAGCATCGTTTCAACTACAGACGGACGGGACTGACGAGGATATCAAAGCAAGAATCGGAAAAGCAAGACAAGCTTTCACTACTCTCAAGTCTGTGTGAAGGTCAACAGCACTCACCATGAAAAACAAGATCCGGATTTTCAACTCCGATGTGAAGTCAGTGCTACTATACGGTTGATCAGAGACTTGGCCAGCACGTCATAAAGAGCATCTCAAACAAAATGCAAACCCTCATTAACAGTTGTCTTCGCTCAATACCACTCAAGATCAGATGGTTGGCTAGAAAAGATCAGCAACAGGGATCTCTGGCAATGAGCGAACCAACCAGGAACCGATTGTGAGATAAATAGGCAAGAAGAAATGGAGATGGATTGGCTGGCCATACTCTAAGGAAACCATCAAGTGACATCACTAGACAAGCCATTGCTCGAGTGGAACTCGAAAGGGAAGCGGCGGCGAGTTGGTCGTCAGTGCAAGGGTGACTTGGAGGAGGTCATGTGAAGAGGAGATGAAAACGTGTGGGCAGACTTGGAGCGAGGTGAAGACTCTAGCAGAGAACAGAACGCAATGGAGACGCACGGCTGAAGCCCTATGTTCCTCTAGGAATTAAAGGAAACAATAATAATAAGTAAAATAACTGTTATTGAGAATGAAAGCACGTAGATTATGTTAAATAATTAGAAGCACTGAATAAGGACTACCAACACTTATGCAAAATAAGTCATTTTTATGTGTTGATATGTGCAGTTTGCTGTTGCTTTTTTTCTTAATTGACTCAACTAATCTCTTTTGAAAAGTTTGAAGAATCTTTCAGTAAATTTCTGAGATGTATTTTATATATGTTAGGGTGATTTTCTTTGTGCTTTCCTTGGGGGACTCATTGCAGCAATTAACAGACATCTAGTCACGTGATCAAAGGGTCAATATCTACTCAACAAAAAGATCAGTGTGAGTACAAATGAATAGATTTCTAAGAAAATCCTTACACATAACCCAGGAATTAATATTTCATTTGTAGAGAGTTCCAAAGGCCCATTTTATAACGAAATCACTACCCAGAAATTTGTCTAGAAAGAAAATGAAAACAATGAAGAGGAAAAGTATATAGAAAATCAACTCACACAGACCAAATACTCAATTGAAACAGCAACAACCCAATAACACACAAAAGGAGTTGTATACAAGCACTATTCAAGCGGGCCAAGACTCATTACAGCACTCTCACCTTAAGGAAAATTGAACAAAGATATCTCATGGAGGTCTTCCAAAAGAATGGATATCCATGGAACTCCATAAAAAGACATCTACCTCCAAGCTAACCTACCAAAATGAAAGACCCCCGAAGAAAATTATCCTCCCATATATAAAAGAAATCTCAGGAATCACTGCAAGACTTTTCAAACCTTTAGGAATTGATGTCGCAAATGAACCAATAAAATCACTTAACTCACCCCTGTGTCAACCAAAGGACTCAACAGTGAAAGAAAATAAAACCAACATCATCTACAAGATAAATTGTTACAACTAGCCAAAACCACTACATTGGCCAAAGTGGACGTCCCCTTCTTCTTCGTATCCCTGACCATAAGCTAGCCGTCAAAAGATATGACATCCACCAGCTCATATCGCTGCATAGAGACAACCACGGACATCAATTTGACTGGGACAACGTTCAAATATTAGACAGAGAAAACACCAAGAATGCTAGAGAATTTTTAGAAGCCTGGTATTTCAGTGAATCGTCAATTAATAGACACGTTGTGACAGACAAACTTTACCAATCAATAAGAAGGAAATCTCATGCACAGAGAATCGAACTTCAGGTGAAGGAAGCAATCAGTACCAATGCAAGTAGCCTAGAGGGTGTGAAAACACACAAAAAAAACAACCAATCACGTTCAAGGTGACCCATCAGGAGAGATGACTTATAAGCTCATGGCGAAATGTAAAAGCTCACTTCAAATTGAAGTATGCGCTGAAGATGTTGCCTAGTATGGCAATGAAAGCTTCTCAAATAAACCATCCAGCTCATAGAACACAACTACATCTAAATCATCCGCCTGAGCTACAAATCTTCTCCATCATATCTACATTTGTTAACAGTACATAGATAGAGATGTAAATATGTTTTGATTTAACACTAGTAACTAATGTGATGCGTCTAGTCCTCTCTTTGGTGCAGACTGAATTCTGTCAGTCAGGTTGTAATAGAATTCAGTCTGCACCAAAGAGAGGACTAGACGTATCACACTAGTTACTAGTGTCAAATCAAAATATCCACTACAGTCCTACATGAGGTCAATCGCGAGCCAGCCCGAATAGCTCAGTGGTAACGTCTCTGACTGCAGCACTGTGTGACGCGGGTTCGAATCTCAGAGGGGACATGAGTTCCTTCAAGGTTGCAGATACGCCTTGCTGACGAGTGCCAACTAGCACGAAACCTAGGTCCAAGGCTTCCTGCCGATTGCCTCCAACCATCTAATGTAAATATGTATGCCACTTGCAAGAATATGCATAGCGAAGAGAAGAAATGAACGACACTGGTGAGACAACATGTAGCACATGATTTTGACGCAGCCAATAAATAATCCCGTCGCCAAATACTCTTGTGTTCTGGCGTTACAATAGTAGTAGTAGTATCAGTGCATTTAAACTAAATTTCACAATAGTTTGTGTGAGAAGCTCATGAAGATTATTTCATAGAATTCAAGTCCATTAACTACCTGAATTCATTTATGATAAAATGACATATTCAGCACACATGGTCTGCGAAACTTTAATCTGTGAATTTAAAAAAAAGTGTTTCTTACCTTATTAACGAACAGACATTTTCATTTCACACATTATCGAATGATAGATGAATATTCTTGAAAAAGCTGAATTTTTACGTCAAAAAAAGAAAATGATCAAAGGACTATGCGATGATATTGAAGCTCAGTTAAAATATAATCGAACAAAAATAAGCGAAATGTCAGCGTCATCTAGAGCGATTTGGTTTACAATAGAGTCACAAGCTCAATCAAACAAAGAAATGTGTGAGAAAATTGTATTTTTATATGAGTAAGTAAAACGAACTCTTCGTGTGCTAAACTTTTTTTTTCTTCTTTTAAGCATTCAAAGTCATAGATTTTAAAAGTATTTTTTACAGTTGGGTTTTTTTTAAAACAAGTAATAAAGGTTAATAAAGCAGGATTTAATGAATTCATCAAATTTCCGTAGAACTCGTCAGCTGAATACTCTACATACACGGTGGCACGTCGGTGGCACAGTGGTTAGGACTCTCGCCGACCATGCACATGGTCCGGGGTTCGATCCCCTGCCGGCGCACACCCGATATCTATGGTCGGCCTGTATATTTGGGCTACCGATATCCATGCTGAAAATTCCATACTTGTACTGACAATACGGTGCGGCATCAAGCTGTAATCAAAATAAAATAAATAAATAAATATATATACTTTTAAAATTACATTGGGAGATATAAGACTGATAAGTAAACAAACTACATTGAATTAGTCATGCAGAAAGACAGGTGCGAATGTTTTTCCAGGTCATGTTCAATTAGATAAGGGGAGAGAGAGAGTATGAGAGATCAAAATTAAGATAAATTGCATTACGCTTCAATTACATCACTTAGATAAACAATCAGACATTAGGGAATATAACAAGAATTGTAAACAGAGTGATGTCAGTAGTAATAGTTATAATAATAATAGTGCTGAATTGAGTTAAGATAATCCTACTGATAAAGGATAGTTTTAAAGGAATCAAGAATAATAATAATGAGAATAATAATAAGAGGTAGAATTATAAGTAAAACGTATTACTATGGTAGATTCAGAGTCACGACCATCTCCTTTTGTACACAGAGACCTGGTTTGTAAACTCGAATTGCACAAGCCTCTGCAATTCAGACGAAGACATGGTATCTCTACATAGCCAAATTATGTACACTTTATACACAACGCACAATTTTCACAGATCTACCATGGTTTATCACTTATAGTCTTCACTATTGCGTGAGTTTCCTTGTGTTGTTTTCACATCTTCAAGTGTTTCTCCGCAACATTGTATCATTTGCCTTCTCTGACATCAAATCTTATCACAGTAGCACACGCACGATATTGAAATTATTCTGTAAATACTGGTCGATCAAGAATTGTCAAGGTTGGTTAATCAGATAATATCAGATTCTATCTGATAAAACTTAAAAATCGGTAATAAGTGTATTTCCATTCATACAAATAGAAAATAAATAAAAGTATAGGCAATTTATACACTTTGATTTCATAAAATGAAAGTTACGGGTTCTCAGGGAAATTGTTTCATTTGTGATCATTTTTTCTTATCCAATCACGGGAGAAACAAAAATATGAGAATAAGCCCGTTTGTTATTTTAGAAAATTTCTTGTATATTTAGTCAGTGACCTTTTTGTATTATGCTCCTTATTTTTTATTTAGATTACACTTTGATTCCACACAGTATATTGGTACAAGTATGAAATTTTCAGCATGTGATATCAGTAGCCCAAATTTTGCAGGCCAACCATAGATATCAGGTGTGCGTCGGCAGGGGTTCGAACCCCGGACCATATGCATGGTCGGCGAGACTCCTAACCACTGTGCCACCGACGCGCAACAACAACTTTTATCTCCATCAAATTACTACACTACATGATTACACTGTCAAAATAGGTGACGACCACCCACATCAAGCCAACACGAGATAGAAATAGTTTTGTTATGGAAGAAGTTCAGTGAAACACTCCCCATGTGGCGAGAGATGTTCATCGACATAAAAACATCAATTATCAAGGAGATACATTTGATGTCAAAGAAGGCAAATGGTACAGCGTTGTGGAGAAACACTTGGAGACGTGAAAGCAACACAAAGAAACACAAGCAATAGTGAAGACCAAAAGTGGTAAACCACGGCAGATCTGTGCAAATTGTGCGTTGTTTATAAGGTGTACATAATTTGGCCATGTAGAGATACCGATTTCGTAAGTCTTTTTAGATCCTCAATATGCGTTTGGTTTTGTGCTCGTTACTCAGTTAGTATAGGAAATAATGAATTACGATGTCCTTACATCTCCAGTCTTTCATTAATAGGTACACTCATTCTTAAAAAGACTGACACTTTTTCACCGGGAATGCTTCATATTTTTATGGTGATGAATTAATGCAGAGAATAACTGTGGTACTCTCATGCGGAGAGATAGTTAAAATAAATCCATTTTTGATAAGCGATCACTGAATATCACAGTTCCTAAGTTAGGAAAGGAATTTTCGTGATTAATATAATATCCATGGTATCAGAATCAATTAACGCACAAAGACTTCAAGAAAGACAAACATGAAAAAATCAATGACATTTACACTCATTTGCGGAGACTGGTTTATGGTAGATAAACATACTCATCAAGAATGACACTTGTCACATATCTGGACTTAAAGACTATATTTGACTACATTGGTGAACATGTGTTGCGTCAATGTTCATCTGTGAACCAAGTTCTAAGAAAGTGGATTTTACCAATCAACATACACTACTCAAATTCATGTAGTTACTAAACAGTATATCGATGGTTGTCTTCAGAAGTAACAAGTAGTGGTATCTATCAATGACTCCCACTATCACCATTTTCATTTGATTTCCTTTTAGATGTATGGGGCTTTTGTTAACTTTCATGTCTCAGAAAGTGACTTTCTGCTAAAAGATACACACATGACATTGTCCTTTTAGTTTCCTGAACACTCCTGTTTTGGCATTTGTATACTGTGTAGCAGATCAGTCTGTTCTTTTTGTATTTTGAAGCTGTGAAACATGACACCCAAAACAAGTAGATACGAAAAGATTAGGCGTTATGATCATAAAAGTCCTTGTTCATTTACTCACTTTAGGTGAAGTAACATGGTAAATAGTATTGGACTGTGGATCTTCAGTGAATGAGGTAACTATAACTCGAACTATACACGGTAGGATACATTCTGCCTAGGTGCCCGATGTTAGCCAATATGGGATTAGGTTGGAAAAGAATTATCAATTAGTAGATTCATTCACTGTTGATCAGAACCATACACATATTCTTAAAAGTGACTCCAAAATGTCCTTAGGCAGTGCGTTTCCTTCATTATTTTAAACTATTATTATTCTAGGACGTGAAGAACCTAGAAGACCTAGATTTCACACGTGGATGATTTATGTTTGAAGTCACACAAAATTGAAGACTTACAAGCGAAAAAGAACAAACTGGTCGAAGAAGCAGCAAAGACAGCACTCCAGGTGAACACAGACAAGACGGAGGTTATGAAAATAACCAACCAACAACAACAACATCAGCAACAGCAACGGAAAGGATTTCAAAGAGGTTACTTCATTCACTTATCTAGCTAGGGAGCATTGTCTCAACTACAGGAGGAACGGACGAGGATGTCAAATCGAGAATCGGGAAGGCGAGAAACACATTCATCAACCTGAAACCAATCTGGAAATCTTCGTCACTCAACTCACCATCAACAACAAAATTCGGATTTTCAATACAAGCGTCAAGTCAGTCAGTTCTTCTATACGGATCAGAAACTTGGCCAGTGTGTCACAAAGAATATTTCCAACAGCCTGTTGCAGACCTTGATCAACAACTGTCTTCGTTCTATACTGAAGATCAGATGGCCGGAAAGAATCACCAACATGAAACTATGGGAACAAACAAAACAAGAACCAATCGCCCAACAAATATGCAGGAGAAAGTGGAGATGGATTGGACACTCGCTGAGGAGGCCGCTGGGTGACATCGCGCGTCAGGCCATAGCTCGAGTGGAACCCGAAAGGTAAGCGGCGAGTGGGACGTCCAAGGAAGACATGGAGGAAATCGTGTGAAGAAGAGTTGAAACAGTATGGATGGATGGATGCAAGTGAAAAGTACAGCACAAGACAGAAACAAGTGGAGACGTGTAGTTGAAGCCCTATGTTCCACTAGGAACCCAAGGGAACAATAATAATAATAAAATTATTATACTTGATTCTAGAGATCAATATAGCCATATAGCGAAATGTATGTACGCAATACAGTTATCTGTGTCACCGACAAATATGAGTAACCAGCCTTAAAAGACTACTAACCGAGTATAAGTTCTCATAACAGCTTGATTACCTCGATAACTGGATGGCTTACTGCTGATTATCCCAAACTGAGACGAAGTAGCTGTTAACTGCTCCCTTATTTTCAGTGACGCTCTAAATGATGTCTGCTGTATAGTGAATTGAGCCAACCTTAAAAAAATACATTTAATTACAATGTGGTGATATTTCCAATAGATTTTGTGGGCTATTTAAAAATCATTTGAAAATCTATTTTATGGCATGTAAAACTGTGCATTATGTTTCATCTGAAAGCTACAAAACATTTTGTAAGCATATTAGTATAATAACCCCATTTAATCGTTTATTCTTTCAGGCAAAATGCTATCAGTTCACAATTAGCTTCTGTTATAGTTGAGGATTTCATACTAGATATCTTAGACGGAATAGCAATTCTAGAAAACGAAGAACTGCTTTTAGATGACGAAGAGAAAATATTATACGAAGAAATTAATGATAAGCTTGATATATTGAGTTTATTCGGTCTTAAATCAGATGATCTGATGAAAAGATTCGAGGTAGGTTAAAAATTACAAAGTTTTAAATTACTATTTGTGCACATTGGAAAATCAGTACTGAAAATATTAACCAGTATTCAGTGCAAAGATTTTAAACAAATCGAATGTGGCATATGCCAAACTATACAGGAAATTTTTTGTTGATTACTGAATAAGGTGTAAAATATAGGCAAGTGTAAATTTTATACTTATGGCAAAAGACTGAAGAGGTACAATGCTAGAGGGACAGGTGAAATAGATCAAAGAAAAAAAGATATGGCGTCATGTTTTAGTCTTTTGTTCATAAAAGGAATATAAAATATACAGCTTACATGAGATGACATATGTTTATATATATTTCACTGTAAAAGGTATTTTTTTCAAGGAACACAGAACTGTTTTAAATGGAAACACTACATAATGATGAAGTGCGTCGGTGGCACAGAAGTAAAATGCTCTCCAACCACGCATGTGGTTCGGGGTTCGAACCCCGGCCGACTCACTCCTTTACCTTTCTAAGACATTATTAAGACTGGTAAACAGGGAAGGTTGGGCATGTAACTAGCAACCCCATCCCGTAAAAATAAACACCACTGCTACCGGAACTTCAAGCCTCTAGCTTGAAGTCCTATGTTCCACTGGGAACGTAAAGGAATAAACAAAACATAACGATGAAATGAATGCCTGTGCAGAGTTGTGTGGTATTAAATCATACAGTAATCACTATAATACACAGAAGTGTCCTGTAAAATATTTATTCATTATAGCATTCCATATAAGTGTGAAACAGTTCACAACTAAATCCCAGGTACGGAGTTTCACCTTACTAGTCTATTTATATACTTAGTCACCTTTTTCCTTCAGGACAATGTAAGCAATTTCGAGTTTTTGCGTTACCTTAGTTTTTCGAAGCTTACTTAGTAATAAAACCATTTGAAATCATAAATATCATGAATCAACTAAATACTTATAACCTATAACCTTGGAAACTGAATGAATAAGATCTACAATAATACCAAAGCCCTCTGGGTCAAAGCTCCAACAGTGAGTAATAAAAATAGAAGGGAAAAACTGAAGCTATAAAATACTGTACAAAATACAACTTTTTATTTTAAAGTATGTAAAAGAAACCGATGTAACATAATTCAAAAAGACCAAAGTCAGCAAGGAATATTCTTTTCATAGCTTCACTTCACACCTGTACAGTTATATAGTGTCGTAAAGGGTCAGGGTATTGCCAATTAGGTCAGTTAGTTACACCATTTGCTAACAAAACATTTAAAATTTACATATCAAGCAAAATAATGAAGTTACGTAATCTAAAAAAAACAATAAGTGATGAGTATCGTTCAGAAATGGTTACCATTGAAAAATCAAATATTAGAAATGACAAGATCTTGGAAACAAGAACATTTTTCAAAATGGTAAGTAATTCAGAATACTTATAAAGTAAACTTTAAAGTCAGGAGTTTGATGAGGGGGAAATAAGACGACGATAAAAAGACCAAATGAATATGAATTAGGTACCAAGTTACTGTACGAGTTAAATAAAGGAAGGTTTAGAGTCACAGTAATAAAAGGGATTAGATAAACAGCTCCTGTATACATAGTCCAGGGTTTTCCTGTGGATAGAAGATATGGCTGAAAACCCTTTGAACGACTTGGTCTTATTTTATATAACACTTTAAAAGACTCTTCTATTGATGCGGAATGATTTGTAAGAGCAATATGCTCAAGAAATGAATTTTACTTATTGAAAGTAAGACTAAAATTTCATTTTCTAAAGCCAATTAGACTGGGAATATGTTTTTGGTGCTTATCAAATCTTACTGTCTTTTGCACACATTGATATCTTCTACATCTAAACCAAATATTGTGCACTGCCATAGTAAAACACCCTAATTCTAGGCCGTTTAGTCTACATTTGATTCCAAATAAAGCTGAAAAATCAATATAATTCGGAAATTCAACAGTTATTCAGATCGCAACTGTTAAAGAATATTGGAATTAAATAAAGTTCTTAGGCCTGATAAAAGAAGTCCTTTGGCATCCTTCTATGGGATCGAATACTGAGAAGATATGAGTTTTAGATTCAAAAAACCTTCTTTTAGTCTAATCAATGAACTAATACAATTCACTGAACTATAGATTCAATTCATAACGGCTGATGAAAAATAAGTATGTTTTTTCACTAGCAGATGTTAATCAACTTTGAAAACTCATAAACAGTCTGAAATTTCAAGTTACCGAGAGGTTTTATAACCATTATGGATGTAAGTATTGGGTGAAATTATTTAAAAAAAGCCCTATCCCCATTTGGTGATTATCGGCAGGGATCCCTGAACGTAGATCTCATGTTTATTGACACATAATAATATCGTTATTCTGGAAAGTATTTATAAAATGAACAGAATTTTCAGTTTTACTGTATGATATTTTCCCTTCGTACAATATCTTCAAGTAAAATATTAACTGACAGTATATCCTGTGGCACAATGGTCTCTAACCTGAAGCACAAACCATTCTATTATGATATATCTGCTTTATCTCCTTTAAGAAATCCACGATATATGGTTGGTAGCCAATTGTAAGATGTTCAGAAGTACATTTTGAGACCCAAGGACATAACTGAAGAACAGTTATCATATTTATTAGAACATATTACCACCCACAATCAGGCCTTTCCCCAAGTTTAGTAGGAACTTGAGAAGCAGAAGCTTGTAAACATTTTAAATACACACAAGAGTAGATAATACCATCAGAGGTCATATCTTAAACGATTAAAACAAACCGAACGAAAGATAATATATGCAATAGAGAGATGGAAGTTTTTGGTAACCCAAGTTCTTAGCATGCAGTCGTGAATTTCCGACAAGGTTTATCTACTGACTACCTCTAACCCCCTAACATTAATTCAAAATGCACTGCGATGGCAAGTCAACCACCTTGGTGACCATATTTAAGACTCATCTAACGGAATTCGTTTAGCTCTAAAGCTCCGCTAATAGTTTTATATTATACTAATTGTCTTTCACTTTTGAAATCTCATGTGTTCATCGGGATAAAATGTTTCGTGATTTGGATTTATTAGTGTAGAATATTAAATTAACATTTGTAAATGTAAATATTTTTCCTCTTCTTTTAATAATTCCAGCAATTTCTATATCTTAAAGAAAATAAAGTAAGTATCGTATTTTCAAATCTACTTTGTGTGTAACATTATATGAACGCTTAACCAAAATCTTATAATTAACACTATTAAACCTGTTTTAAATAAAAAAAGATTAGCGTTTTCAAGACACCTAATTGTATGACGATTATAATTAGATGTTTAACTGAATATTTAATTAGAATTAAACTTCAATACTAAAAGAATAACTAAAATTTAAAGTGTTAAAATTCACTAAATTTAAACAAATGAATTACAAGCACTGTGATGATTGAGAATAATAATACTTTGATTTCTTCAATGGATGTGCCAAAGGAAAAAAGCATTTTAAAATGAGCATATACAAAAACTGAGTATCTGCTTAGCAGAACGTTATTTACTAGACTGTAAATAAGTGTGTTGAGCAGTTTTTATTACTTCTATTTCAAACCGCCACATATACAGGATTATTATTATTATTATTTGTTCCCTTGGGTTCCTAGTGGAACATAGGGCTTCAACTGCACGTCTCCACTTGCTTCTGTCTTCTGCTGTACTTTTCACCTGCATCCATGTTAGTCCATACTGTTTCAATTCCTCTTCACATGATCTCCTCCATGTCACCCTTGCACACATGACCCACTCGCCGCTTCCCTTTCGGGTTCCACTCGAGCGTTGGCCTGACGCGCGATGTCACCAAGCGGCCTTCTCAGCGAGTGTCCAATCCATCTCCACTTTCTCCTGCATATTTGTTGAGCGATTGGTTCTTGTTTTGTTTGTTCCCATAGTTTCTTGTTGGTGATTCTTTCTAGCCGGCCATCTGATCTTCAGTATAGAACGAAGACAGTTGTTGATAAAGGTGTGCAACAGGCTGTTGGAAATATTCTTTGTGACCCGTCAAGTTTCTGATCCGTATAGAAGAACTGACTGACTTCACGTTTGTATTGAAAATCCGAATTTTTTTGTTGATGCAGGCTGAGTGACGAAGATTTCCAAATTGGTTTCAGTTTGATGAATGTGTTTCTCGCCTTCTCGATTCTCGATTTGACATCCTCGTCCGTTCCTCCTGTAGTTGAGACAATGCTCCCTAGATAAGTGAAAGAAGTAACCTCTTTCAAATCCCTCCCGTTGATGGTGATTGGCGATGGATGTTGCTGTTGCTGATGTTGTTGTTGTTGGTTGGTTATTTTCATAACCTCCGTCTTGTCTATGTTCACCTGGAGTCCTGTCTTTGCTGCTTCTTCGACGAGTTTGTCGGTTTTCGCTTGTGAGTCTTCGATTTTGTGTGACATCAAACATAAATCATCCACGCGCGAAATCCAGGTCTTCTAGGTTCTTCACGTCGGTCCAGGATATCCCTGTCTTCTCGTTTCCCACTGTCTGACGCATAATCCAGTCCACCACAATTAGGAATATCATTGGTGATAATAAGCACCCTTTTCTGACTCCTGTGTTTACTCCGAACGCCTCGCTGAGTTTTCTGTTGTGGATCACTTGACATGTGCCGTTGTCCTACAGCTGTTGAATAAGGTTGATGAATATTTACAGGATACCGGTATAAAAATAATAAGTTCGTAAGATCTGCATTCATACTTTATTTCTACATAAAAATCATCAGCACTAAGACAATTACTGATGTATATATATCTGTGAATATAAATTTCCTTTAACTGTAAAGTAATCAGTTTCCGAACAAATTTTAAGACATTTATTATTCCATTCGTGTTCACCTAACATCTTTCCGATAATGCTAAGTCTGGTTCGAGTAAATCGAAAATCATATCAAGACTTAAAGTCATAGGAATGCTATTATATATATATATATGTATATATATATATAGAGAGAGAGAGTTAATATCATAGCTTACCTAATTGTTGTGTTCCTCAACTTCCTGGTTTTCTTTCGTGGATTCGAAATCGAGTAGGTCCTGCATAATATGTTAAGTGTAATTTTGAAGAGGTCGTGCGTCGGTGGCATAGCGGTTAGGACGTTCGCCAACCATGCACATGGTACGGGGTTCGATCCCTGGCCGACGCACTCCTTTACCTCGCTAAACCAGAAATAATGCTAGTAATCAAGGAAGGCTGGAAATGAGGCTAGCAACCCCATCGTGTAAAATAAACACTGCTACAGAAACTTCAGGCCACTCGCTTGAAGCCCTATGTTCCACTGGGGAACGTGTAGGAAAAAAAATTTTTGAAGAGGTATCCACAGGTATCGAGCATAGGTATTTGGAGAGATCGTATATTAGTGAATTCGTAAAATCCACTACTGATTTGAGTTCCTCTGACCGAAAGTAGAATCATGCAGGCAAGTTCGGTTTAAGTTGAAAACGAAATGATTTTCTTAACTCTGGGTTTTAGTTCTTGAAGTAGTCTCCTTCATTTTGTTTATTTTGGCGGGCTTCATCTCAATAAACAAGTATGGGGCATGAGACATATTTAAATATCTTGTTTTTAGTATTAAGTTCATCATCACTGGTGGATTTCCTTTATTTGCTTCTGTTACTACAGTGTCTGCCTTTTCTCAAATTCTTTAGAGTTTCATATTCTTGTTTAGTGAGACTGGAGGATATCTTTCGTCTCTGTGTCATTAGAATATGCAATATTTTTTTGGTGTACACGTTTTACCTCTTCATTGCTGATTATTTCTACAGCAGGTTGGAAAATGATTTCTATTTCTTTAATTAATAATGGATTTCTAGTAATAACAAAATTCTAACCTTTTTGTTATAATAAAACTTCATTCCTGGTGAGTATCCTGTCTGACGTGTTGTGTATAGTTTAAATATTCTTTGTATCATTCTTTGAGTTCATCTGCGGATGTTTTCTACCCTTTTAGTTTCAAGAACTTTGTTTGCCTTATCCTTTACGTCGGTGGCACAGTGGTAGAATGCTCGCCAACTAAGCATTTGGTTCGGGGTTCGATCCCCGGCCGACGCACTCCTTTACCTTTCTAAGCTACTAGCAAGACTGGTAAACAGGGAAGGTTGGGCATGAGGCTAGCTACCCCACCCAGTAAAAATAAACACCACTGCTACCGAAACTTCAAAGTTCTGGCTTGAAGCCCTATGTTCCTCTGAGAACGTAAAGGAATAAAAATAATGAAAAAATTATATACACAACGGCCAAATATCTTTTCGAGACTAATAAATCTCAAATTCGATTAGACATTTACATAAACTGACAATTTAGCTTGACTTAAAGATTGATAATTTCTTTAGAAACCTGAAAGAAATCTTAGTAAATAGTTTTTTTCCCACTACTTCTATATCTCATTGGTCGATAAATAATTCATGTTTTTGAGGAAAATATATTTCTGTTTTTTTAAACGGTAAATAATATATAATAAGATATTATATCTCTCTGATTTACTATTTTACTACAGCCAACATTATTATCAGGAGTTCAAATTGATGCAAGACGTTATGGTAAGCAGTTCTTTTCTAACTTTAAGAGAAACAAATATATGAATGATACATAAAGTGTATTTTTATGATACACAGTTTCTAGAAAAAAATAGGAGTAATTATACTTTCCAGGACTCGTACCTTTGGATGTAATATTATCTAAAAATATTTTACTTCCTTCATTCCTTTACGTCGCGATTCAATAAATTAATTACTCCCCAGTGAGCAATGTTAACTGCTATAGGATTGGTTAACTGGAATTAATTTGGTGATGGTGCGTCGGTGGCACAGCGGTTAGGACACTCGCCGACCATGCACATGGTCCGGGGTTCGATTACCAGCCGACACACTCCTTTACCTCGCTGAGCCAGTAATAAAACTGGTAAAGAGGAAAGGTTGGGCATGAGGCTAGCAACTCCATCCTGTAAAAATAAACACTGCTGCAGAAACTTCAAGCCTCTAACTTGAAGCCCTGTGTTCCACTGGGAACGTAAAGGAATAAAAAAATTGGTGATGCCACGAAGGGCGGTGTAGACTGCTTAGATGAGGGTCCTCAAAGCTCTAAGGACTCCATAGTCGGAAACTATTGTCTACATGGTCAAAAATCACCCTCAGTAATACAGATTCATTCATTCCTTCTAAAAATTTCTAGATTTATTAGGTTTTACATGATTGTCCACACAATTTTTCTTTCTCATGTACATTCCTGTTTATCATAGTTTATTTTAATTTTTTTCTTATTTTCCGTCTTTCCTACCCGTTATATATTCTTCTATGGAATGTAACATTTTGAAGTGCTGCACCTTTTTTTTTGTAAAAGCCTACGCTGAAAATTCAGTTCATTGTACTGATAAGCCTTTTCAACTCTTTCATTTTTCTTACTTTTCTTTCTTTAGTTATGTTCAAATAGCGCATTTTAACATTTGTGCTTCTTCACGTGTTGGTAAAAAGTCTGATGAAAAAGAACGTCACACTTTTGCGAATAGAGAAAAATTAGACAAAAGAACATAAGTGAAAGACTGGATAAGAAATAAGTGGATCCAAAGTAGTAGTAGTAGTGATAATAATAATTTTCAATAGTTTGTTTGTGGGGATTTGATTTGTTTCCAGTTTGATCACTGATCGATATCAGTTACAGAACCACTGAAAACCAGGGACTTTCCGTTTACTAGTGTAACGACACAAGACAACAGCCAGGCAACAAATCCTACATTGAGAAAATCAAGAGGTATTTATAGAATTTTTTCTGCATTATTATCAGCGTTATCGCTAGCGGAGAAGCAGCCAATTCTGATTGGTTGTTTTCTTGCTGAAGGTTATTCTGTTGTGTCCTTGTGGCCGTTTCTCAGAAAATCAAGCCATATATCTGTGAATCATATTACCACACTTTAACTTCTCTGTGATTGGCTGGTGATTTTCTCAAGGTTAAGCTTTGTTATTGTTCTCTTCACGACCTTGATTCGGGACGTGAAGATTGATGTAAATTGTTATCTACAATTTTTCGCCTGCAGTCCGCTTTCACCACAATATTATCAAGCGTAATTGCACTAAAACGATCTGCAATTAAATTAAATGATATCTAGGCGGCTTATATAAATAGTTAGAAAAACATGCTTCAATCTATGTTTCAAATATTTCGAAAAGATACATATTACTTAGGAGACTTTACGCTGAAATATCTGTCTGTAGTCGTTATCTTTCTCAAATAATCATTGAAGTTTGCTAGAAGAGGAAAATGAACTCGAAAACCCCCTTACAAGCTAAACATTGAAGTAAAGTTCCATCGAACATAAGTAGACACAGGGAATTCGTCTGTTATTCTGTGTATTTCACTTCGAATAAAGTTCTGTGAATTTTTTTTTTGTTAAAGCGCGCTGTAGAGGTAGAAGACGAAGACTTGGTGAAGAAATATTTTTTTGAGGGAATACGGTATCTCTATATAGCCAAATTATGTACATCTTATCTTCAACAGACCGTTTGGACAGATCTCCCGTGTTGTACTACTTCTGGTCCTCATATTGTGTTTCTTTGTTTTCATTTCACTTCTCCCATGTTTCTCAACAACGCTGTATTATTTGTCTTCCTTGATATCAAATCTATCTCCCTGCTATTTGATATTTTTATGCCGATGAATATCTCTTCATATATATGTATACTACTGATAAATCTTATCAGTAGCACACACCACAACGCCAGTAGGTTTAAGTAGCTCATTTTAGTCTTCAAACCTTCATCTCAGCTATTTGTTAACTAAACATGTAAACGAATTTCATTTCTGCCCTTTAGAAACATTAAATACATATGGAAGTCTACTGTTCCCTTTAAGATGATTTATACTGTCTATTCTTGATTGAACACTAGTCAGTAACTAGTTTAATGTGTCTAGTCCTATCGTCGGTGCAGACTGAATTCTATCAGTCATGTTTGCAATGTGGCCACCATGCTAGGTGGCTCACCATTACGGTGCACTGTGAATTGTTGGTACTAGATGGTTGGAAGCAATCGGCAGGAAGCCTTGGACCTAGGTTTCGTGCTAGTTGGCACTCATCAGCAAGGTCAGTCGCGAGCCTGAATAGCTCAGTGGTAACGTCTCTGACTGCAGCACTGGGTGATGCGGGTTCGAATCTCAGAAGGGACACCAGTTCCTTCAAGGTTGCAGATACGCCTTGTTGATGAGTGCCAACTAGCACGAAACGTAGGTCCAAGGCTTCCTGCCGATTGCCTCCAACCACCTAGTACCAACAATTTATACAGTCTACTTGTAATAGATACTCTAGGACTCCGCCTATCGAGAATGACATAGAAGAAAAAGTTTTGTTGAAATCTTTAATCATATTCATTCAGGAGTTTTCATCTAAAATTCACAAATATGACTGTTCAACTATTACTGTGTCTTAAAGTATTGATTTTTGCAGGGATTTTGTTTGATTCGTTGGAGGGTATTACCATGAGCTGACATCATTTAGAGAATCATTGGAAAACCTGGGGGTTACTAGACAGATGTTTCGACCCGCACCGCGGGTTCGAACCCAGGACCTTCTGGTTACAAGGCTAGGGGGCTCGTAGACCATTGAGCCACTTGGACCCGATCCAATGGCCAGTCCATTAATTCTAACTTCTTCCAATTCATGACGTAGCGCCACCACTGTGTCTATTTCAACAATTTTCAGATATCAACACTACTTCTCAAGTAAATTGACGTACTTTTCAATACTGTTATTGTTTAACTTAGAAATGAATATTCCTGAAAGTATACAAGTTATACATTGTAAAATATTACAGAATAAATAAATGCCTTCAATCCACTGAAAATCAATTTGGTAATTAGTTATTAGCTTAACTTTTTTCAAAACTCACAATTTACCTTTAAAATCTAACTTTATTTACTTGAATGTCTCAACAAGTAATTTACTTTTATTAACTTTCGACTATCACAATCTATTCTCATATTACTTTCAAAGCCCTGCCAGTTAAAAACAATGTATCATACAACAATGATAATATTCGAGTGTTAGTTTGTAAGGATTTTACTGTTTTCAAGTTGGATCACAAGAATAACTGTAAGACAGGAAGTACTCAATAGCTGTTTCGTCTTAGCTAGGGACTCTTCAGAAGTATGCACCTAAGACCCTAGCATTAGCTGAATGCAGGCAATTGGAGTTAGGAGGCAAGCTCGTTGACTATTCACCCAGTGATAAAAAGTTCAATAACCTATGAATTTTAACTTTTGCGGATTCACGATATGAAGAGCCGCAGCAAACCAGTAATAATAAGATGATAGGTGTAAGCTATTTGAATACCTCTTTATGACTGATTACTAAGTTACTTTGAAAAATTTTAACCATAATCTTAGCTTTATTTAATTGGTGGATGGTGACTAGCAGTGGAATCCAGAATGCGCATTTCGTCCTGTTCCGGACTCGTCATATGGATATACCTGCATTCCTCAGCGAGTGATGATGGTCCCACCGAGGCTCGAACTCAGTGCCTATAGTTTCAAACGCCAAAGCGTTATCCACTAGACCAATTGAGCCACCTCTTGTGCAACGGGTCATATTAATCTAAAGTTCAATTAAATTAATAAACATCCTGGATTCCACTGCTAGTCACCATCCACCAATTAAATACTAATTAAATGCCCAGAAATCGCCGAAGCATTTGCACAAGAAGCCGACATGTCAACCTGAGACCGAGTACTTCGGTCCAATCAATCGACGGGAAGTCTAAAATTCAATTAAAATATAATCTTAGCTGTCTGCAGAAAAACATGCCAGTATATTACTTATATGTATTGAAAAGCATTATAAATATTGTCTTACCATTTATATATGCATTCCATTTTATTAATGCAAAATTCTCTTTATCTAACAAATGATAGGCTTACACGTGAAACTGCCGTCATCTTATGCCGATTTAATTGAAAGGATATTCTTAGCAAACTTTGTAACATCACAATTTCTTGAAGATATACCAAGACAACCATTGGAAAAGATGTATGCAGGAATATACGCTGGACTCCACGAAGTAATGAAAGGTTATTTTTTTCTTTCCGCTTATCTTTTTATGATGTCCAAAATAATATATATTGCCTATGGTGTTTTATACTCTTACAAATCAAGTAATCCACGATATCACTTCATCGAATGATGTACTAAAGAAAACGAATGATTTCATTTTTACTGATAATTTTTTAATTTCATCAACATTTCCTCCAAATAGTTGATAAGAAAGCCTAAATGAAACTGGTAAGACGGACGATAAATCAACTGGATTATAAGACGTGGCTACTAGCCAGGTTATCACGTCACTGCAACTATCAGGAATTATGTCCAGCCGCGGCGTGAATAAGTAGTTCATAACAGATGACAATAGTTGTCCAGCTAGTAATCCAGGAGCCATTTGTTCCACGCACGTATTTATTTCAGTTTCAGTCATGACCCATTATATCATTATCTATCAATAAAAGGTTATAACTAGGTAGTCACATTAACAGCTTTCCTGAAATTAGTTTCTTTCAACATCACAAGCTACTAGGCTCCAGTTACTTAGGTCAGTGCGATGTTGTATCCTTAAGTCTTCTGATGAAAGTTTTATTCTCCAACAATAAGTTTATATAATGTTCAATATGTTTATTAAAAGCTGATTTTTAACTATAATCAACATTTATTTTTAATTAAAACAATTAGTCCCTTTGATAAATTTGAATAAGGCATTTAGAAGACAAATTTCGCGAGATGATATCATTTCGTAGTTTCTTTACAACGGCTTTACTACTAACATGGTTAATAATAATATTTCAATTATTTCATATAATTTTCAAGTATTGGTTTTGTAGGGATTTTGTTTGATTGCATGGAGGATTTCATCATGAGCTGACATCAGTTAGAGAACCACTGGAAAACCTGGGAGTACTGGATAGCTGTTTCGTCCTAGTTTGGGACTCCTCATCGGTACGCACCCACCGGGATTCGAACCCAGGACCTTCTGGTTAAGAGGCGAGTTCGTAGACCATTGAGCCACTGGGATCCGATCCAATGGTCTTTGAATTCTAACTTCTTCCAACTCACGATATAGTGCGACTATTTCGCAATGTCTTCTTCGGTGAGTTACTGCCTCATATAACTCTAATTCAAGGTTACTGAAGGTGATGGAAGCCTTTTGGATTGATCAAATTCAGCCTAAACTGTGTGTACAAAAAACAGTAGACTTCAACCTTCGCCTACCATGAACTACTTGACCTATTTAAATATGATTGGTCATTAGTATGTACTTTTGTTTTTTATATAACTGAGTCATGAACTTTATTTTATTTTAATATTGTTAACCATGTTAGTTGTAAAGCGGTTGTAAAGAAACTACGAAATGATATCATCTCGGGAAATTTGTCTTCTAAGTGCCTTATTCAAATTTATTTTTAACACTAATTGGTGAATAGGTTGCAATAATTGTGAAATTAAACTCTAATCTTAAGGGAGACCACTCAACAGAACAAAAACGGTTGTCCTGTATTTGTTACCAATAAGACATAAGCTTTCTATTGCACACGAGAAAACTATAATTATACATACTTAAATTATTACTATTATTATTATTATTTGGTAAAGATATGTTAGAGAAAATTTAAAGCAATAACTCAGTTAAGGCTTAATGATGAATGCTTGCGATCGAACCACTTTCCTTTACAGCATTCTAAGCCACTATACTAGTGCAAACTAGCATCAGAAGAAAGTAGTCAAACAGTGACAGTGATTAACTCCATTTCACGTTGAATTAAATCAATGAATAAATGCAAACTACCTTCCAATAGAACCAACTCAGCTAATTGACGGAAAGAACCCTTACCATGAGTATAGAAGAATCAGTCAAACAATAGTTCATTTAAGTAATGAAAGATAGTCTTTAACTGTAAAAGACTTTATCATACTGCACTGAAGCAACATATTTGATTGAAAGCTTACCTGTAGAATTTCAACTGGCATTAATCAGTAGGATTGCATATACTCTTTCAGATATACCGGCAAATTAGGATCGATATGGGTAGTGTGGTGGATGGATACCTTAAGGCCTTTAAACTATCTCTTTACGCAATGCTAATCATGATAATGGGATATTCTTTTACCTCTAAATTCAGCTCAGAGAAAAACTCACAATGAACAAACTTGAACAAATCACACTCATAATAGCAACAGTAAAATAAAACTAGCAACCAAAATGGCACATTTGTGTGCAAGTTTCTACGTTCAGTAGCCCATCAGTTAAATAAAAAACTCAAATTAGACAAGAAGACTAAAGAATTATATAGCGTCGAATCGAGATATGGCGAATACTTGCGTATTTTGAAGTTAATTGGTGGATGATGATTAACAGTGGAATCCAGGATGCGCGTTTCGTCCTGTTCGGAATTCGTCATCTGGATGTACTTGCATTCCCCAGTGAGTGATGATGTTCCCGCCGAGGTTCGAACCCAGTGCCCATAGTTCCAAATGCCAAATCGTTATCCCCTAGACCACTTGGGCCACGAGAGCCACCTCTTGTGCAACGGGTCATATTAATTTAGTGAATTGCAGGTACATCCAGATGACCAGCCCCAAATAGGACGAAACGTGCATCATGGATTCTACTGCCAGTCATCATCTACCAGTTAACTTCTAATGACATGCCCAGGCATTGTCAAAGCATCTGCTTGCGTATTTTGTTCTGACGTTTCTATTATTGTTCAAATATATGTGGCTTATCTAGGCAATATAAACTGTCCCCCAAAAAAGTCAAGTCAAGTGATCAACGAAACTGCTAACCTACGCTTCAAATATTCCACTTCATAACAAACTCTTTTTTTTCTACTAATCTCTAGGAAATCAGCTGGGAAGAAAAGATCATTAGAAAGAGTCATTTGGAACAAGAAGCAAAAAAGTCTGTAATGACTCAAGACTTGTCGCTTATCAAACAGACTTTTCAAGAACCATGGAAAGTAAGTGCTGAAATCTATACAAATCTCAGAATTTAACAGATAAGCAAGTTAGTGTAGATTTCTTCTAAGAAATCCAGAGCGATAATCCTATGGATTAATGAAACCACACACGTTGAGTGACGCGTAAAATAACAAAACACAGGATTTGTCTAGATATGATACTCTATTGTATATAAATTCGCGAAATATAATATAAAAACCCAAAAATGTGAGGTGTTTGTAGCTGAATGCCGTCAAATGCATAGCTACTGTGTGTTAGTTTAGAAAAACAACAAAGCGTGGTCAGATTAAACGGCGCGCGAATGCCATACAAAGAATAAAAGGATTTGAATAAACAATGTTCGACAAAGAGGGGTATATGAACAAAGCATACACAGTGGATAATATCTATAAGAAAATAATTACTACATACCAAATAGAGTATTAACACATTAAGTAGGTTAAAGTTAAATAGCAAACAAGTCATGAATATGAAATAACAAATAAAACTCATACTTCATATGAACTGTGGTCAAGATTTGCCCGGATAGTTGCAGAATTTCCTTCAAGAAGTTCGGACCAGATTGCCGAACGAAACGTTGGAATTAATCATTTCACTTTCGCTGAGATTTTACAAATATAATTTTATAAAATCTCATACTACTTACTATAGGTAAGTAGTATGAAGTTGAACACAGAGGAAAGAAAAACAAAGAACGCGTTGGAAAGGAATTACCAACTGGTGTACAGACCAAGGGATAATTTCAGTCTTGAGGAAATTAATCCTCACTTAGTAACGGAGACTGAAAACTTTCCTGTAACTTTAACTGTCATAAAATAATGGTATAGCTGTGGCGTGTGCTACTGAAAAGACTCATAAGTAGTACATAGATGTAGATATAAATATGTTTATCAGAGTCAAGAATATCGATTGACGGATTTAATGAACGATGCTTGGGAAACAACATGGAAAACATTACATGCAGACAAAGCAGCATAATACCGAAAATATATGCAAATTATGAGCTTACTGGTATTTGGACACATATATTCTAATGCATTTGGATAGCCTGGCAACATGTTAGTTGATTTCAGTCCCTAACGACTTGTATCCTTTATACTCTTCCTTTTCTTTAAAAGATCAATCTTTTTGGTGTGGTTGTGTTCTCTGAGCTGGATGGTTTGGTTGCGAAGCTTTCATTGCTCTACTGAGCAACATCTTCAGCGCATACTTCGATGTGAAGTGAGCTTTTAGAATTCTCTATGAGTTTATTAGTCATCTCTTCTAGTAACCTTGAACGTGATTGGTTGTTTTCGTGTGACATTTCATCCCCTAGTTTGCTTGTCTCGGTGCTGGCTGCTTCTTTGGTCTGAATGTCGTTAGTCATTCCTTCTGCTAACCAATCACGTTCAAGGTTAGCAGAAGGAATGACTAACGACATTCAGACCAAAGAAGCAGCCAGCACCGAGACAAGCAAACTAAGGGATGAAATGTCACACGAAAACAACCAATCACGTTCAAGGTTACTAGAAGAGATGACTAATAAACTCATAGAGAATTCTAAAAGCTCACTTCACATCGAAGTATGCGCTGAAGATGTTGCTCAGTAGAGCAATGAAAGCTTCGCAACCAAACCATCCAGCTCAGAGAACACAACCACACCAAAATCATCCACCTGAGCCACAAATCTTCTCTATTATATCTAAAAGACCAATCTGTATTATAAAGGCTTATAATAGTATTCTATTACAGTGATCCTCAATAAGTTTTTGATTTATCGTAATTTGTATTCTACGCCATACAGTATACTCATTTAAACATGTATAATGTTCTCAGTATATTATTTATAATACGTAGGGATATCAGAAAATTAAACATTAATAGCTTGATTTATACAGAATGTGCATCCCTTTTTCAAATGTTTAGTGTTTACTTCAGATTTTCATATGTACTATGTTTCTTTTCATTCCTTGCCTTGCGAATTGGACAGTAAGGCATCTAGATATTGAAGTTTCCGTAGAAGGGTCACCAGCCAGCCTCACGGTCGGTCGGTCGGTTTTCGACATAGAACTTTGCACATATGTGCGGCAGTTCAAGTCGCCACACTCCATTTAACACACAAAGCAAGAGAAGGAAGTAGAAGAAATGCATAGTATAGACAGTAAACAGAGGTGTGAGACAAAGGAATAGTAATAACGGAGAACAAAACAGTTTAATTGGAAATCATGAGTCACAAGGAGTGGATGCATCTGCGCCACTGAGAACGATTTTGAGCCATGTCACCGATTGTTTCCAACCATTGGTTTTTACCGTCCCGAGGGCCCCAACCAGGAAGTCTACACCTTCCTACGTGGCTTAGACTAACTGTTGTGGATTTCATTGACTGGTGCCATGTTTTGGTTTGACCGCCGCTAGCTCTTTTCCAGCCTGGCCCTATATCAGCTAACATTGCCCGTTGAGGAAGGCGATGACTAGGTATACGTAGCACATGTTCTAACCATCTCAGTCGAAGTAATTTCACCGTTTCGTCGATTGATTTCCCCGCCTTACCTAGCACTCGACGCCTGACCTCAATATTGCTCAATATTGCCCGACCGAAAGCTGCTACCTTGACGTGGTGGTCGGGCTTGAACACCGCAATCACCCAACAAGCTATACTGGCTGGAACTTATGTTCCTGCAGGTCCTACCATGCCAGAAAGGTTGTTTGGATAGCAGTTAGACTAAAAGCAGTTACCCAATCCAATCCTATGACTTCAAATAAATCACAAAATATCATGCCGGATCGGTCGGGGCCCGGATTAACAACGACCGCGCTTTCTGCTGCCGTGTCACAGGGCAGAAGTGATAAATACGCTACTGAGACACACCAAATAAAAAAAGAACAAACAAAAACAGGCCGTGTGTGACCGGCCTCAAGCAGTTGTCCCCTGGGCTCTGCGGTCACGCAACCAACTTCCACGGTGTGGGCAGCCGGGAAGTAACAATCGCCCTCACAATCCGAAGTGCACGCGAAACCCCTCTAATCCTCGCTCATCTTTGTCTTCATCTTCATCTCTATTATCTTGCCTTCCTTCTACCACTGCAACTCCTCTACTTGTTGGCTCTTCACTTCCTCTTCACTCTGTGTGCACTGATAACGATGGAAGCCAAAAAGCCACCACCGATGGTCTCCTAAAACCACGCCACCAATTTTATATAGGAGCATTTAACGTTAGGACACTTTGCCAAATAGGACAACAAGCATCACTAGCCAAGACTCTGGCATCCCGAGCCATTGATGTATGTTGTGTTTCAGAAACACGCATACAAGACCCAAGTGTGGTTATTCACCTAACCCCACCTGGCCAACAGGATGAATCTGCAAAATTCACCTTGAGGGTGTCAGGAGATGCGACGGCTAGCTCACGAGGATTAGCTGGTGTTGGGATAGCTTTAAGTACTAGAGCAGAAAAGACATTACTTGACTGGATCCCGGTAGATAGCCGAATGTGTGGTGTCCGTCTGAATGGATCAGTGAAAAGGAGAAAGGACTGCACTACTCGCCGATGCCTTTTCGTAATCTCCGCCTACGCCCCCACTGACTGCAGTTCGGATGAAACGAAGGATGAGTTCTACTAAAAGCTGTCTAGTTTGCTGCGAAAGGCTAAACGCTCAGATATAGTCGTTTTAGCTGGTGACTTTAATGCTCAAGTAGGGAAATTGTGTCAATCTGAGAAGAATGTCGGTGGCACATACGGAATTCCGTGCCAGCGAACCGACAACGGTGACCGTCTCCTACAGTTCTGTTCAGATAATCATTTGTATCTTGTAAGCACTAACTTCAAACACAAGGAGAGACACTGTTTGACCTGGCGACCCCCATCATCAAATCAACGCTGGACACAAATAGACCACATAGCAATAAGCTATCGTTGGCGCGGGTCGGTAGGAGATTGTCGCTCCTTCTGGAACAAGTGTGTAGATACCGATCACGCACTGGTCCGCGCTCGTGTGTGCTTACGACTGAACGGACGTAGGAAACAGCTGACGGTAAACCCATCACGTCCCCAGCTCGACCAGGGAACTAAGTCCCTATTTGAGGAAGAACTAGCTAAACACATATCTGAGTTCGACAGCTGCGCTCACCCTGAAGAAGCCTGGAAGAATATTCAGTCAGCCATAGATACAGCTGTAAAAGCTGTGAATAAGGTAAATCCAAAGGTGAGTAAAAACCATTGGATTTCGACTGCCTCATCCGAACTGATAGATGCTAGAAGACTTATTCCGGCGAGCTCCGAATTCGATGAGGAGAGAAAGCTGCACAAAAAGAAACTTACGAAAAGTCTCCGCAAGGACCGTGAACAGTGGTGGTTGACAAAGGCGAAAGAGATGGAAAAAGCATCGGCGATAGGCAACACCAGACAACTATTCAGGCTTATCAGGGAAACAGGTGGTAAAAGGCAAATGATAAGCGAAACAATCTCCGAGAAAAATGGCACCATAATTAGCTCCCAGGATAGACGTCTGGAGCGCTGGAAAGAACACTATGAGGAGCAGTTTAATTGGCCCACAGCCACACTTAACCTGCCGGACATCCAACACCTCCCTGAATGGGAGATAGACACAGATCCTCCGTCCTTAACTGAGGTTACTAAAGTTGTCACCAATCTGAAGCTAGGCAAAGCAGCGGGACCTGATGGATTGACTCCAGAGGTATTTAAGTACGGAGGAGACAGTTTACTGTCTGCGTTAATGGAGGTTCTAGGCAGCGTCTGGGAATCAGAGGAAGTCCCATCGGGTTGGTGTAAGTCACTGATCATCCCGATATACAAGAAGGGGGACAAGTCGTCTTGTGATAATCACAGAGGCATTAGCTTGACTAATATAGTATCTAAAATCCTAGGCTCAATAATACTGCGTAGATTAAGTGGGGCTCGGGAGGCACAAACACGAGAAAACCAGGCAGGTTTTACGCCAGGAAGAGGGTGTATTGATCACATCTTCACCCTTCGACAGATTCTAGAACATAGGCATTCCTACCGGCGTCCGACAATCATTATATTTCTTGACCTAAAGGCGGCATTCGATTCTGTCGACCGGGAGGTTCTCTGGCGATGCTTGGCTGTAAAGGGAATGCCAAGAAAATACATTGCACTGATTAAGGCACTCTACTCGTACTCATGCAGCCAGGTGAGGGCTTATGGCGAGTTGTCATCTGAAGTGGTGACGACTAGTGGCGTCCGTCAAGGATGCCCATTATCCCCATTCCTATTCAATTTCATCATAGACGTACTAATGGACTTAACCCTAACACACTTCAGCGACTCAGGGATTGACTTGCTACCAGGGAATAATCTCGTTGACTTAGAATATGCGGACGATATATTCCTTCTAGGTGAGGACTCCGACAAAATACAGAGTCTACTGAACACCCTGAGCAACAATCTTCGTATGTTTGGCATGCGATTCGCCCCTGTAAAATGTAAGATGATGCTGCAGGATTGGATTTCACCGACCCCTAGATTAGAAATAGGAAGTGAAGTGGTAGAACACGTTGACCGCTTCAATTACTTGGGAAGTACCATCAGCCCCAATGGGTTGATCTCTGACGAAATTTCAGCACGAATACAGAGGGCCAGTTTCGCATATGCCAGTTTACGCCGTCTCTGACGTAGACGTGATATCCGGCTGGTTATCGACCAAAAGGTGGGTGCACTGCTCATCTCTTCGCTCCGTCCTCCTTTATGGCTGTAAGACCTGGCCATTAAGAATGGAAAACATGAAAATATTAGCTGTCTTTGATCATAGGTGCCTGCGTTCTACCTCCCGTGTGAAGTGGTATAATAAGGTGAGCAACAAAGAGGTTAGGCATCCAGTTCTAGGTAAGGAGCGGAAATCAATCGACGAGGCTGTGAAATTACATCGACTGAGATGGTTAGAACATGTGTTAAGTATGCCTAGTCATCGCCTTCCTCAACGGGCAATGTTAGCTGATATAGGGCCAGGCTGGAAAAGAGCTAGCGGCGGTCAAACCAAAACATGGCACCAGTCAATGAAATCCACAACAGTTAGTCTAAGCCACGTAGGAAGGTGTAGACTTCCTGGTTGGGGTCCGCGGGACGGTAAAAACCAATGGTTGGAAACAATCGGTGACATGGCTCAAAATCGCTCTCAATGGTGCAGATGCATCCACTCCTTGTGACTCATGATTTCCAATTAAACTGTTTTGTTCTCCGTTATTACTATTCCTTTGTCTCACACCTCTGTTTACTGTCTATACTATGCATTTCTTCTACTTCCTTCTCTTGCTTTGTGTGCTACATGGAGTGTGGCGACTTGAACTGCCGCACATATGTGCAAAGTTCTATGTCGAATACAGACAGACACTTAGTGCTATAGAAAGCTGAATAAGCAAAAAGCAAATACATTGTGAGAAATGCTATAAGAAATATCGAAGATTATCTCAAAAACTGTTTGGCAAATATACACTTTTATCTCCAACGCTGGTAGATTTCGAAAAATATAATCTCATAATAATATACATTTTTTACTGTCAACTTTTAATTATGTTGCTTATTTAATATTTTTCTTGACTGATATTCAATTGTTTAGTATTTGGATATGAATTCACCACTTATTCAAATCAGTAAACAGCTGTCAAGAGGAATAAGACAAGCGGCAGATCGACTAGATCATAGAGCTAGTCTTAAGGAAACGGAAAGGTAAGCTTTGCATGACAGTTTACTGAAACTAGAACACAAAAGTGAGTCTTGACAAAAAAACCGATTAGCACAATCAGTTGGTAATCAGTAGTCAATATTTAGGTTATAGTTGTGATCACTATCGAATGTGACACATAATAATAATAATAATAATAATAAAGTCTTGCGAGACTGCAATATACTATTTTTATAGTTTGATTTCTCTAGCTTATTGACAGATTGACACTTTTGTGCTATTTACTATCCGTAGAGTATATATATATATATATCATTATTATTAATATCCTTGTGTACCACAAAAATCACTTAAATGTGCAGACACTTAGCAAAGGAGCCACAATTACAATAAGAGAGAGAGAGCTGGTTATATACTACATAGCTGCTCAAACCTTGAAGCTTAATCTTTCATTGTTATAGTGTCAATATTATTATTATTATTACTATTGTTTCCTTTAATTCCTAGAGGAACATAGGGCTTCAGCCGTGCGTCTCCATTGCATTCGGTTCTCTGCTAGAGTTTTCACCTGGCTCCATGTCTGCCCACACGTTTTCATCTCCTCTTCACATGACCTCCTCCAAGTCACCCTTGCACTGACGACCAACTCGCCGCTTCCCTTCCGGGTTCCACTCGAGCAATGGCTTGTCTAGTGATGTCACTTGATGATTTCCTCAGAGTATGGCCAAATCCATCTCCATTTCCTCCTGCCTATTTGTTTCACAATCGGTTCCTGGTTGGTTCGCTCCCAAAGATCTCTGTTGCTGATCTTTTCTGGCTGGCCATCTGATCTTGAGTATTGAGCGAAGACAGCTGTTAATGAAGGTCTGTAGTTTGTTTGAGATGCTCTTTATGACGCGCAGTGCAAGTCTGTGATCCGTATAGTAGCACTGTGACTTCACATTGGAGTTGAAAATCCGGATCTTATTTTTGATGCTGAGTGCTCTTGACCTCCACACAGACTTGAGAGTAGTGAAAGCTTGTCTTGCTTTTCCGATTCTTGCTTTGATATCCTTGTCCATTCCGCCTGTAGTTGAAATGATGCTTCCCAGGTAGGTAAAGGAGGTTGTTTCTTTCAGGTTTCTCCCATTTATGCTTATTGTTGTCTGTTGTTGTTCTTGCCCAGGAATCTTCATCACCTCTGTTTTCTCTATGTTCACCTGAAGTCCTTCCTATCTTCCCTGGATGCTTCTTCTGCTAACTTGTTGCTTTTGGCTTGCATATCTTCCAGTTTGTGGGAAATCACATATATATCATCGGCGGAGTCTAGATCTTCCAAGTTTTTTGTGTTATAGTGTCAAGCAAAAACTAAATTTTCTAGGAAAATAGTCATCCAACTTACTGTTAAGTAGAAACTATCCATGAGGTATTATCTATTCAACAATCTTTTATTCTAGTAGAAGTATAATGACAATTAAATGTCAAGCTCTACATACCTATAACAAATAAAATGAAAAGAACACAGTTTCGAGCAATACGTAATCACATTATTCTTCCTCAGCCTTACTTTTACACGTACATCAAGAGATATGGAGTGAGTAAAAGCATTTAAAGGCTGACAATTATGTGTGCGTCGGTGGCACAGTGGTTAGGACCCTCACCGACCATGCACATGGTCCGGGGTTCGATCCCCTGCTGACGCACACCTGATATCAATGATCGGCCTGCAAAATTTGGGCTACCGATATCACATGCTGAAAATTCCATACTTGCACCAAAAATACGGTGTGGAATCAAGCTATAATCAAAAAATAAATAAATAAAAATATATTTACTTGATATTCTATTAAAGATCACATAATTAATATACATTATACAAGATTAGAAATAATTAGTAAACAAAATGGATTATTGTCAAACCAAGTTCACTTTTAACAGTGAAAAAATTTGGGCATTGGGTATTTGATATTCATTATAATAAAGGTTTTTGTATTTCCCAATGAATGAAAAACAAAACGACATTGTTTTTACTGACGCTTCGCTATTTAATGCTAATAGCTTTATAAAAGTATTATTAAACCGGAATTTACAAAATCTCAGCATATATATAACAAACAGTTAGGGTGAGAAAATAGACTTAGGTCAAGTTAAAGGACATATTGAAATAAAATACATGAAGATAACTAAACCAAATAACAAAGGTAATAGTACGTCTGTTATGATATCAAAATAAAGTTTACTAACTTGATCATCGTTCGTCTGTCTGGGGGCATTTTTCGTTGTCAAGTTGGTCAATTGGTAAAGATAACAAAATCAAGTGTAGATTGTTGGATTTGATCAGTGTGTAAAATTATAAAAGTAGTGTGTGTTTACATAGTGAACTTGCTTATCACATTCGTGTTGATTTTGTCACTTCATGGGGGAGGGAGGTGTTGTAACCAGGACAGATTCTGTTTTAGTTCATCATTCCTATTCAGGCAATTTGGATTCCACTTGATATGAAGTGCTTCTGATATTAGACGTTCTTTATGATTTCTGAAGTTTTTCTGGATTGTTTCAATATTTTCAAAATCAATTTTGTGGCGTGATTCTATAGCATGTAGACCTATGGCTGATGATTTTTCAAGTTTTTCTAGTTCAACGGGATTTCTCGGTGGTCGAACAGATGCTCTACGGTGTTCATTTCTTCCGATTTTGATTTCTCGAGATGTTTGTCCGATGTATATAGCATCACATTCCAAGCATTTTATTTTATAGACACAATTTGATAGAGAATCTTTAGGGATTTGGTCTTTTATATGGATTAACAGGTGTAACGAGTTATCGATTAAAGCTACTAAAATAGCACAAGCCGCCAACACTGTGACATTTAAAGAATACATTGCCATAAAACCTACTGAAAATTATGAAAGTGAAAGATGTGCAAATAAAATCAAGATAATTGAGTCTTTTTCACTTCTTTGTTATTCGAGTGGAACACAGGGCTTCAACCTTCAGCCCTGAATTTTCACTAACGATACTAGTGTTTTACGGGGTGAAGTTGCTAGCCTCACGCCCCCCCCAACCTTTTCTCTTTCTAGGCTTACTAACAACTTGCAAGGTTTAGGAGTGAGAGTGGGGCTGGGAGTCGAACCCCAACCATGTGCACCGTTGTTGTTGTTGAGCATTCTATCCCGTGAACAACAGACGCACTCTTAGTCATTAGAGAACTGAATTATGTGACATTTGAGTGTAAGTGGTGATGGATTGTTGTCTATGCATACACAGCTCACGTTTCATGATTTCGATTGAAATAACTTCATAAGTTTACTTCATAACACACAATCTTAATCCTGCAACAAGTGATTTCGGTATCTTGTTAAATATTGAAGATGTGGATTAAATTTCTACAATAAAACCAGAAAGAAAGAAAAAAAAAACATGATAATTCAATTGATGTTTAAGATGACAGTGTTTATCACACAGGAACAATTCAGAAATATAAGTCGAAATATCATATTCAAATAAAGATAGTAAAATATTAGATTACGTCTACTGGCATTTGCTACACTGACATTCTAGAATGCAGATAATAAATGACTGTATCATACATGAAAAGTTTGTCCTATTTATTTTTTATTTTCAAAGTTGGTAATCATTCCTAGTTAACATTTCGATAACTTTACTTGTTTTTGTGTGGGAATGATAATTTCGGCTGGGAAAAAAACACCAGCCTAAGCTGTGGTAGGATTCAAACTAGCCACCATCGACATCTTGTCGTAGCGTAGCTTAGACTTTCTTCTTTTCAACTTTTCAAACATCACCTCTCCTTTGTATTAATTAATCTGTTAAATTTTGATTGTGTCTCATAAATTTGCATCCATAATTATTGGGTCTTTTCTTTTTTCTTCTTTTCTTTTCCTTTAAAAATAAAAAAAGAGATATAATGGCGTATGAAACGACTAAAATGCAAATCAGTGGGAAACAGACTACACCTAAAGGCCTACAAAAAAAAGAAATTGGTATTATGAAAAGGCCATTATTTCTGTTAGGTAAAGAAAGAGAAGATGACTCTCGAATGCGAATGAAAGGTAAACAATATATTCCAGAAAGTGTAACAGAGAACATATTTCCTGATGATGCAACAATTTTCCCTGTCCGAAGTCATGTAGGTGCGATGATGGAAGCTAGAAGTCAGTTACCTTTAATTATGGCCAAAGCACCTAAACAATCTGGTCCAATACAGCCAACATCATTCGCTGTCCGATTTGCACAGAAACCGCCTAAAAGAAGAATGTTAGGTAAAAGAGCAAAAGTTATTCAGTCTCTATCACCGATAGAATCAAGTCAATATTCTCCTCAGGAAAAATTCACACCAGATACTCATAAACAAGTTGCATTGATGAGTTTAGAAGCCAAATCAAGGAGTGAATCAGCTTCAACACATGAAGTAGAGGAACACACCTATGAAGGATTAAAAAAGGATGGTAGGTATAAAATGGAATTTATTCCCCACAGTATGATTAATCTAGAAGAATCAGAAAGTCAAATGGAACCTCCTTCTACCACTTCATATATTCAAACTAGGACATCTACTCCCACTTTTCAACAAGGACCCCAAGTTGTATCTCCTGAAAGTTATCGTGTTGCTCAACATAAGATTCATGGAATGTATAAAACACTAAGCGATGAGTCAAAGCATACACTTTCCCAAGACATTCGAACCTTGGAGTTAACTTATCAAAGAGATTCTGAAACGAAAACAATCGATGTATGGACATGGTTTGATAAAATACTGGCATCCAAACCTGTCCCACTGTCATCAACAGAAGGAATGATTAAAAAACAAATACGTAAGAAGCGTAAAGCCTTATTATCATCATCAAAAACAAAGTATAAAGAAGATGAACAGTCAGAACAAACAGCATCTGAAATAGAAAAACCAGATAGTGAATCAACAGAAAGTTATGAGAAAATATTCCAGCGTCGGTGTACTGGATCAACTTTTGATTTTACAGGAAAATTCCGAATACCAAAATGGTTGGAACAAAGATTATATGAAGATCTTGGTAGTTCACTTTCTACAGGAATCAAAATTCAAGAGAAGGATATATCTAACTTGCCAATGATTCCCACTAGATCACATGGTTCAAAGACTAAAATGAAAAAGCCAAAAGAACCTTCGCCTGACAAAATGAAGCAATTTCGTAATGATTTGCAAATAGCTGTGAGTCATCTAAAGTACATACTACACCCAGCACAGCTGACTCGCTTACTTATCGATATCAAAAGTGAAATTCCCACACTAGAAACAATTAGACTATTTGAAAAGCTATTGGTACAGGCCGCTCAGAAAGCTCGAGATTCAAAACACATGTGAGTTTTGTTGATAAAAAAAGTTTTCTGTAGACATTTATTTCTGAGTATTGATGAGGTGAAGTATACGATGAAAGTCATATATGCAAATTTATCTTACTATAAATGCGTTTCTGAATAGAGTTAAATTACAATGACTGAAAGCATTAGTTTAACAATCACTCTTTTGCATCACGAAAGCATTCTATACACAAACGACACTGCCAACATAGAAACAAACACTCTTGACTCATGGTTCAACTTATCACACCTCATATTTACACATCAAAACAGAAGACAAAGAAATGAAAACTAGTTCAGAGACTTCATGACTGTCTTCAATAATGCGTACTAACTAGCTCTTTACTCTGAAATCAATCTTTAGTTTAAATAAGAGAAGGAATAAGGAGAACACTGACACCGGCAAAATTGAAAAAATAAACCTGATAAAGACTAAATATGGTGAATGCCTTCAGGAGGTAGAGGCATGGTGCTTTGAAACTCTTTTTTTTATTCCTTCATGTTCCCAGTGGAATCGAAATCCAATGGGGTTTCCCCGCGCAGGTTCGTATCCTGCTCGCGACGTGCTTTGTGCGTCGGTGGCACAGTGTTTAGGACTCTCGCCGACCATGCACATGGTCCGGTGTTCGATCCCCTGCCGGCGCACACCCGATATCTATGGTATGCCTGAATTTGGGCAACCGATATCCATGCTGAAAATTCCATACTTGTACTGAAAATACGGTGTGGAATCAAGCTGTAAATAAAAAAAAGCTAGAGGCTTGAAGTTTCTGTAGTAGTGGTATTCACTTTTACGGGATGGGGTTGCTAGCCTCATGCCCAACCTTTCCTCTTTACCAGATTTTAAGCTCTGGCTTACTGAGGTAAAGGAGTGCGCTGGCCGGGGATCGAACCGCGGACCATGTGCATGGTTGGTGAACGTCCCAACCGCTATGTCACCGACGCAACAACTTTGAAACTCTAGAATACACAAAATCGACAGTATTAATGAAAAGTTGTTCACTTCTTAGGAATCTTCACAGGTTAAACACTATCTTGTTCAATTCCTAATCATTCCTCCTCCTAATTTAAAAAGATCGCTATTTTCCATACAAATATCATAGTAAAACAACAGTTAGGAAAAAATCATCTATTGCCAGTGAAGTTTCGTTCAACTTTATTACGTCACAGAATTATTCACTAGGGTGATGTATACAAACGGTGAACTTCAGAGGATAAGAAAATTGTAATTTTTTAACCTATAATACCCATTGAATCGTGAAGAAAATTTTCTTCAATTCTAAACTTGTTTATTATATGCGCATGGACTTCAGAATTCCCAATGAACAAACGATACATGGAGCTTAATCTCGTTATCAGTAAGCTAAGATACTGTAACTCACACGACTAATGTTCAGTGAGTTGTCAACACAGGGGTACTGCACCCCTCTGCAGTCTCATAATGCTCAAATAAGTAGTCAGTGCCAATAAATTGCCTCCATTGTTTTATATACGATAAATTGATGAATTAATATTTACATTTCCACTACAGTCGACTATTTCTAATTATACTAATGTTCTCATGTAACATTCTGATCGTGTCTTCATAGTTCTACTGTTTTTTCACTTTCCGAGTTTATTTTATGACAGTATTTTTCGTTTATTCATTCATTATAGACATTTTGGTTTATTTTTAGGGTATGTATTGAGTATTCGGTTTATTTCTAGATTAGGAAATTACTCTGGAGAATTAGAAATATTATGCTGGGAAATAAGATGAAGGAAGACAAGATAAGAATGTAAACACTCTGGCGTTTACGAAATACCAAAACACCACAACAGATATTCAGACTTTATACTTTTCCTACCTTATATCAATATAAGGCAGACATATGTGTATTTAAGTAATAGAACGAAAAATTGAATAGCACCACTATTCAGCGCAACTCAGTATCTGTTCGCTAAAACTAACTAAAAGATTTCTAGGAATTTATAATAGTGAAAGTAACAGTATACGAAGAGATTTCAAGCCTTATGTAAATTTTAGTGTTTGAAAGAGGAATATTAGAAGAAATGTGCATCAGTGGTCCAGCGGTAGAATGTTCGCCAACCACGCATGTGGTCCTGGGTTCAATCCTCGGCCGAAGCACTCTTAAACCTTGTTAAGCCGATAGTAAGGTCGGTAAAGAGGGACGGCTGGGAGTGAGGCTATCAATCCCATCCCGTAAAAAATAAAACCACTGCTACTGAAACTTCAAAGCTCAAGAGGCTTGAAGCCCTGTGGTGTTCCACTCGGAACAAAAAGGAATAAAATAATCATACAAATAAAGAAGACATACGGATAATCTATAATAAGACAGTGATTACAATGGCATTCAAATAATCAGGTACTGTGTTATACCGATGAGATCAACTACAGAGACCACATCAATCGAGCTAGGTCAATCACGTTATAAAAGCTAAATTTAATGGACCAGATGAAGAGAGATAATCTTGAGAAAAACTCTACTACTGCTATGTATGCAGTAACTCAACTATATTACAGAGTGGGTAAGAATAATATAGTTAAGTTTTGAGAGATGTTGGTTACTAAACCTTTACTCACTGAATCAACGCCACACCCATGCCATAAGTATGGCAGAGATGTAAAACACTTTTACTAAATAGAAGCAGGAAGGAGTTAGAAAGTTGTATGTAAGCCTTCAATACGTTAAATATAAAAACCATGAAGGTAGCATAGATATACCATGCTGATAAATATCAACATTTCGATGTCAATTGACTCTTCCTTATATTTATCGTCAACTTACAATGCACAACAGTGCAGAAAAATGTTATATTACCCACTTTCACGACTACATTGAACACTTGACTAATAGATCTCAATCAAAGCATTTAAGACTAGATAGCAACATTATCAGGCGAAAACTACTCAGTATATGGTTAAACATTAATGTAAAAAGAATGAGATTTGATGGTTAAAAAAATCAAGATTAGATGTTGATAAAGTCACCTCCAGCAATGACCACGAGCTTTGGTATATTTTTAAAGAAAACACTAGCGACAGAGAATCCGGCGTTAGCGATACAGTCTGCGAGATGAACTGATTGGATACCTTAGACTTCATCCAAGTTGATTACCAAAACAACAGCTTTAACCTCAGCATTGAATTTTACGGGTGATTTACACCGAGTCGGTAAGAGTAAACAATAGACGCCAAAGTCAAATGACCTTGATTTGACCAATCAGATAGCTCAGCGTTACAAATAGTTGCTAGTCATAATCCACGTTGGAAATGTCCCCAACATTTGGTTTTTGATTGCTCTGTGGAAAATTGGTTGATAGGGTGGAATAAAACATGCATATGTGCAGGGATAAGGACTCTGAAAAAGTACTGCTGGGCTACTGATGATGATTATGCATTCGGATGCAACCACTTTATATGAGGAAGTCTGTATAAGTTGGTAAGTCGTACATAATTGATTTTTTAGACACTTTTTTCTCGACATCAAAGCTCTCCAGTAGTAATATATTGAGTGTATGCAACCACTATCTGCTACAGCTGGAGAAATAGAGAATACATTGGTTTGGTGAGTCTATAACTACTTCTATGAGAATCGGACCAGTTTTCGCAGCATATTAGAGATATATACCCTACATGATTCGTTTTTATTACATATACATCGTAGGTACACTTTGCAAATTAAGTACCACTTTTCACCTAGAAGAATCTGATTGGCTGTTCCAAGGCCGTCTATAGTTGGTGTCTATTCTTTACTGTTGCCACCGTGTCATATAAAACAATTTTAGACAAAGGAAAAGTCTCTATATGTTATAACTCCGTTGGCAATATGTTATAACTGATACTGTACTGAATAAATCCGTCGCTATTTAGTTATGTCTGCGCCTGTTAATTACTATAACGGTAATGAACTCGACTGGCACCCTAATACGTCCATTTGTCCCTTGTAACTTCCGACTCACTGAGCCAAGCAAATATCAAAAGACAAAGTTTGGCCTGTGACCGTAAGATACCACATAGTTCAAGAAACAACACATGATATTTATACATTTTCTTAACCATAATAAAGTCGGCTCACGACCGTGAGAATGTATCGTTCTTAATGGTTGGAAATGTCAATCCTGATTGGTTACTGATCCGACAAAGATCAAGTTGAGACAAAAGAAGATGAATTGGTCACACACTAAATCACAATATGCGTGAGAAATGATACATTCACATAGTAACTCCATCAGATGATAAATCACACAATACATGAGAAAGGATGATATACATCTTAATGCTGGGTTCTATCACTATACCAAAAACGGGTGATAAGTCTACGGTCCTCTAAATGAAAGAAGAGTCATTCTGACAGCGATGCTAACTGTTTTATTTCACAAGTTCATCCTATTATATACATTCATTCAGGAACAGGTACACGTAAGAAACTTCGTCAAAATAAGCCATCGATAAAAAGTTGTCAGCAGGCAAAAAAAGTTATCTTTTGCGTACGATGTATTAGTTTTTGCTGTCCTCCAAAGAAAATTTTCACCAAACAACTATCCCACAGAATGTATTAAGAAGTTCAGGAAATCTGATGAAAATAATTAACATTAGTGGAACATAGAAAGAAGGGACTTAAAACATCCACGGTGCTGCAGTATATCCAAAACGCTAAGTATGATTCTTAATAAAGTGGGAACTAGGAGAGTATTCAAATCTACAAACTCACTAAGGGACAAACTCTACAGGCAGAAGGATCCTACTGACATGATTAGACAAAATAACCTAATCTACAAAATAACTTGCAATGACTATAAGGCCAACTACTTACGGTCAGTCCAGTACACTGGGGTCATTTAGGTCATCGGGAAATAAGGATTTGGGTGAATGTAAAACAATTGACACAAAAAATGGTCAACTTAAAGAAAAACTTAGTCACTGCAATGCACGTACTAATATACACCCACGCGATAAGGTTGGATACAACCATAGTTCTTAAACGTAATAAAGGTAAGTGGAGGAAAAATTGACCACTGAATCTTTATTCATCAAATCTACACCGAACACGTTGAACAGAAATGGTGCACCACCAATACTGGAGATACAGAGAAAATAAATGCTATTAGCAATAAAATCCAAGGAAAAGAAACAATAGAATCACATAAACAGAATCTGAAAGTCACGTGAGTACCTGAGTATAGCTATGAGCAATAAACTGTTCTTTAAAAATCATTACTAAATAGATTATACTGTAACACTGTATGTTATGTCAATTAAAACCATTCTGTTGTGGCATATTAGATATGATTGAACGAAAACTCGTTTATATAGATATGTTCCTCACACAATGCAGTTCAAGTCACACTGCCTCAATTATGAATGAGATGTGACTTAACTAGGAATGAACTAAGAAAACTTTAGTATAATTTACAGAAATATTCAAAAAACGTCATCGGTGTCCAGCATTTAGCATAGTTTTTAACTGAAGACGACATTTGACCTCTGTTAACGGAGAGGTACTGTGGTCATGTCCAACCATGAAGCGGGTGTCAAGGAAGTACAGCTCAGTAATCAAGATACTCGAACTCACGCAACCCTGTAAGAGCTTACAGAGAGTTGTTACCCGAAAAGATGACCAACAGTGGTGTTATTCAGGAATGTCTGATGTCTTCCTTTTTATTTAGTCTCATCATAGATGTACTAATGGATATGACCCTAATAGAGTTCACTGACTTAGGGAGTGGCTTATAACCACGGAACACTCTCGTTGATTTAAAATATGCAAATGATATTGTCCTTCTAGATGAAAATGCTAAACACCTTGAGCAGAAATCATGGTATGTTCGGCAGACGATTAGTTTCTGCCAAATATAGAACTAGTCTGCACTGACTCTCAGTTTAAAGATAAGAACTGAAATGGTTGAGCATGCTGATCATTCCACTTACTTGGGGAGTCGCATCAGCTCAAATGGGCTGATCGCTAACGAAATCTCAGCACGGATACACAAGGTTCGCATGGCATTTGCCAAATTACGTCATCTTTGGAACAGATGTGATATCTAGCTATCGACCAAAGGATGTATTTGCTCTGCAGCAGTTTGCTTTCTTTTATGTCTGTGAGACCTGGCCGTTGAAGGAATTGAATAGTCCAGCTGTCTTTGATCATAGATGTTTGAGTAGCCTGCTGTGTTAAGTGACAAAACATGATGAGTAATACTGAGGTTAGACGTAGTGTAAGGTAAGGAGGGAAGACTAGTCGATAAGACTGCAAGAGTGCATCGACTGAGATGGCCAGGACACATATTACACACGCCAACCACCACCTTCTACAATGAGTAATGTTAGCTAAAATCGGATAATATTAGAAAAAGGTTATGGATAGTTGAATCGAAACCTGTCATTAATCCAACAAATCTTTGACTGTGGGTTCAAGCCATGTAGGAAGATACAGAATTTCTAATTGAGCTCCTTGAGGCAATAAGAACGAATGACTTCAGAATGTTGGTGATATCGCTCTAAATTATTCGCAATGGCGTAGATTCACTCACTTATTATAATCTCGTAGATCCATTAAGTTCTCATTATTCTCCACTTAACTGTTGTTTCTATTTATTCCGTTTATTATAGTCTCTTTGAATTTTCCCTCTACTTTGTGTGCTATATTGAGTGCAGGAACTTGAACTGCTACACTTCTGTGTAAAGTTCTACAACAAATTTTAAGAAATTTGAACTGTATTTATTTATTAACTTCGCCATTTCAATCAAGACCTACGCAGTTCATCGCACTCATTTTGCAAACCACCTGTGAACTAATACAATTGCGTAACCTTGAACCTAAGTCAGGGTCAAATGTCTAGTTTACATATCATGTTGGAAAACATAGACAAATAATGTCTCCTCCCATCTTAACACTAACCACTAATGCTTTTAAATGTCATATCTTCTTTATTTGAAACTAGTAAAATATATTCTGAATTTACGAAGGAAATCCTGCTAATGACTAACAAACTATTATTTCAGTTTTGATCACGAAATAACTTCAGTTAGAGAACTATTGAAAACCATGAGGTACTGGACAGCTGTTTACTCCTTGTTTAAAACTCTTGATCCACTAGGGATCGGACCCAGGACCTTCAGGTTACAAAGCGAACTTGTATAACACTCAGTCACTGGGATGGAATCCAATGGCCCACCACTTCTAACTTCGACCAACATTTAGTTTCAACATAGAGGAAAAGCGCGTGCTTTTCGAGGCAATCATTTGCAACTTGTAATCTCTAAACTGTTAAGGCAAACATGTGTAAAAAACCGGTTCGCTAACAAAACAAATAGAGACAGTATTCAGACAATAGTCTAAAGTATATCTGTCTGTTTTCGACATAGAACTTTGCACATATGTGCGGCAGTTCAAGTCGCCACACTCCATGTAGCACACAAAGCAAGAGAAGAAAGTAAGAGAAATGCATAATATAGACAGTAAACAGAGGTGAGAGACAAAGGAATAGTAATAACGAAGAACAATATAGTTTCATTGGAAAATCAGAAGTCACAAGGAGTGGATGCATCTGCGAAACTGAGAACGACTTTGAGCCATATCGCCAATTGTTTCCAGCCATTGGATTTCACCGTCCCGAGGATCCCAACCAGGAAGTCTACACCTCCTACGTGACTTAAACTAACTGTTGTAGATTTCATTGACTAGTTCCATGTTTTCGTTTGACTGCCGCTAGCTCTTTTCCAGTCTGACCCTATATCAGCTAACATTGCCTGTCGAGGAAGGCGATGATTAGGCATACGTAATACATGTCCTAACCATCTCAGTCGATGTAGCTTCACAGCCATATCAATTGATTTCCCCTCCTTACCTATCACTCGACGCCTAACCTCAGTATTGCTCACCTTATTATACCACTTCACACGGGAGATGGAATGCAGGCACCTATGATCAAAGACAGCTAACCTTTTCATGTCTTCCACTCTTAATGGCCAGGTCTCGCTCAGAGCCATAAAGGAGGACGGAGCGGACTGATGAGCAGTACACACGCCCTTTGGTCGATGGTCGGATATCACGTCTACGCCAGAGACGGCGTAAACTGGCATATGCGAAACTAGCCCTCTGTATCCGTGCTGAGATTTCGTCGGAGATCAACCCGTTGGGGCTGATGGTACTTCCCAAGTAAGTGAAGCGGTGAACGTGCTCTACCACTTCACTTCCTATTTCTAATCTAGTCTAAAGTATATAAAACTTAAAACTATTAGCTAATACTACCCGTAAGATAACATCAAATCTAAATGAAACCGATAAACAAAAACACGATTCTGTTCTTAGGCATCGAGAAAAAGGAATGCAAAGAAAAGAGTAATAAAGCAGAACGAAAGATAAACACTGCTGACAATACAATTTCGAAAAGGATTTAAATGGAGACGGATCCATACGAAGTACTAAATTTCACATTACACAGAAAACATCTTTGCAACTTTGAATAACATTAAATACCAATTTAAAATTGGATGGTAATTCACAGCAGATATTTACAAAAAAATCTCAGAAGTGAAAAGTGAATAAAAATCGATTTTGTTAACTACTATAGAAGTTTGAAAGTGGATCGATAAAATGATACTTCCGTAAGGTGTACAATGATTGATAACCCAAACTATCAGATTAATAATGTTATTATTGTGTTATTCTTTATCATAAACATATGCAGGGAAGAAGCCAGGACACATGAACTACCAAGATTATCACAGATCAATTTGGAGCAACAACGAAAGACATTCCATCCTTCATCGCTAACAGATATTGGACAAGAAATACGCAGAAAACTTCATTGCCGATATGAAACATTGGCTAGGAAAGGATATCAAAATTTAGGCCTGTCAATTTCTGCACACATCGCTAGAATGGAACTTGTTGAATATATGCAAAAATCAATTCAGCAGAGAGGTAAGTATAATAAATTTCATTTAAAAATTAACTGTCTCTACTATATCTGGAAATTACAATTGTACTCCAATTGTAATACACTCTGTGAAGTTCACAGTCCAATGACGACAAGTATCTCTTCACTTTAGTCTGAAGTCAGGTGCACATTACTTCTGAGTATTTACAAAACACAACCCATCACTTTTTGCTGATAAGAAACTAGAAGAATAAAATTCTTGTTGAGGGAGTTGAAGTCAAGCATTAAAGTTTTTATTTTTGATTACAGCTTGATTCCACACCGTATTTTATGGTAGAGGTATGGAATTTTCAGCATGTGACATCGGTAGCCCAAATTTTGCAGGCCGACCATAGATATCAGGTAGGCGTCGGCAGGGGATCGAACCCCAGACCATGTGCATGGTCGGCGAGAGTCCTAACCACTGTGCCACCGACGCCAGGCACAAATAAATTTTGATAGTCAACGAACTGTAGTGCAGTTTACAAGAATTTGATTTGTTTCAAAATGATTTTCACCACAGATTGACATTGAATAGAGAACTGTTGAACTTACCTTGAAACTTTACAGCAATCCACATCAATGAGCTCATGTATTGTTAAGAGCTCATGGTCAACAAAATGTGAAGTCAATAATTTGCCACTCACGCATATATAATTGAGAACTAATGGTCTACACTCCTCTGCTTTTACGTCAACTTCCTTTCAGAACTTGGTAACGTTTACTGAACTACTCAGCACTATTAGATGATGGTGATGATAAAAAAAAGCTGGAAGTTCTCAAAAAACATTTCTGTTATCAAAATATTATTCTCCTTCAACTATATTGACATATTTCTTAGTCTTCGCAAACAGTGTTCAGGTTAAGTAGCTAAAAAGATCCATCTGAATTTTGGAGATTTGTGGATTTTACGAAATTATCAATAGAAAATGAAACTTGACAGATAGAGTAGAATTGAAAGTTAAAGTTCGTTGATCACCTGAGGTTGCACATACTCCACGCCTCCCCACACTCCAGCCAACACTGCTACCAACCATCTAACAAGACGAAAACTTAAGATGTCTATCTCTGACTTAAGATATAATTGATACCGATTGTGATCACTTTTAACAACTCCTTAACTAGACATCTACCTGCTCCAATTGTGAAAAAAACAAAGTTTGATTTTTCCATTTTATTATTTTATCTAGCATGTCAACGAATTCAAAATTCAATGAGACAATGGTAAGTTTTATTAGCATATAGTATATTTTCCTTATTAATCATTTCTAGTGTCAGTAAAATTATACAATAAATAAAGAAGATCAACAATGGGCGTCAGTTCAAGCGATACGGTGTTTTGATTTTAATTGAAAAAAAAAACTAACAAGATAGAAATACAAATACGTAGATTTTCATTTATCATCTACTGTCTGTTGGGGACATGATAACTAGGGATGTGCGGTACAGTGTTTTCTGTAGACTTTGATAACTGAAAACAAAAACAAAAAAACAACAAATAAATATGTAAATAATTAAAAGTGGTAAAATATTTTGATGCAAAAAAGCCTACTGTAATTTACTAAAAGAAAAAAGCCTCACAACAGTTAGGATAGAAGTACAAAACAAACAGTAGAAACTAGAACCCCGAGAATTATTTTATCCCCGAAACATTTTAATTATGCACACTATCTTACTGATGTAAGCGCTCTCATTAAACTTGAAATAAACAATCTTTAAAGTACTTTTAAAGTCTCAAAACATCAAATTGTATAGTGACAACAACAAAAAAAAGATAACTTTAGACAGAATTTTCTGGATTCAGTCGTTTTGCATACGAGAGAGTATTAAATAAGTATTCTCTAAAAGGACACTACAACTATTAACTGATACTGAGAAAAGAAAGTCCAGAGTTTATACCACTTGATGCTTATCCGAAAATAGTTTTCACACTACGGATTAACATCTCTTGGATAAGTAATAGGAATGGACGACCGGTTTTATTCTAGTTTGCAGAAATTAAGGTCAAAACTCAATGATTAACATATTTCTGAGTCATGAGATTAGAGAATTACTACCACAGCAGCTATAGAAAAGAAGGTATTCAGTCCAACAATGCATATCTATTTTAACGTAACATCTTTAGAGAATTAATAGGAAATTTGGATAAAGTGGAATTCACACATCATTAAAAGTTATAACTTTCACCACACAAAGTTATTTTAAGTTTTACAAACACTGACGACCAGTTTAATGCCCTACTCACCAACGTAAGTATGCAGAATACATGACAATCTGAAATGTATCCCATTAAATTCCAGTAAAATATTTTGGGAGTAGATAATTCCATAATAAATCTTACATGCAATCAAGCCATTATTTGTAACTAGGTGAGGTTCTCGTTAGAATCCTGAATATTCTGAAGTAATGGATATATATATATATATATATATATATATATATAGGACACCTGTTTTGGTTTTCACATTTAACTGTTTACAGTAATAAAAATATCTCAAGAAATAGATCAACCTACTTTTTGTAATTTTTCTGCAATCGATTGAAATTCAGTCACTTCATCATGCAGGGTACTACGCAGCTTTTTCAAGTCGGCTAAACCTCTACTCACTTTTGACTCCAACTCCCGGGAATAAGAAGATAGATTTTCCGCAAAAGATTTGTTGAGAGGGAGAATATGAGCTCTAATATCTTTTTCAGGATCTCCAGAAGGTCGCCTGTAATACTTTAAGTGTAAAGTGAAGTAGTTTACCAGGATCTATTGCGGCGTTTTAATGTTTTATTAGCTTCTGCCAATAAAGCGCCTTTGCTATTTATGTCATACTGAGAAAGAATCTTTGCACATCCATCAGATGAATTTTTTTCAAAATCAGATATGATTTTTTTGATAGTATCGTCAAACCAAACTGCATCCTTCGACTTTAAAGCGCCGCATTTAGTCTCAACAAGTTCTCTAAAACAAAAATCATAAAAAGATTTACGACTACTTACGTGAAGTATTTTCCCGTCTTTTCAGTCACTTTTTGTAAAACATGAGTAATTCTTTGTTCAGGTGTTTCAGATGTCATCAGGATGTCCACCTAAAATATTGTGTTAGAAAGTTACCAAGTTTAACTATAAGCCAGAATCATAGAGTACATTAAGCCACTACATAACATCCACTAGTATTTTAATTGCAAAATAACGAGGTAGTGAGGGAAAACGTTTTGTATAACTATCATTCAGTATTCATATAATCAGCCAATATATTACCCATTGGAACGCATGATTTTAAGTAACTTGAGAGGAGTGAACAAACAAACCGGAACAGTGAGGAGTTCAAAATGAGAAATTCAAATATATTAGTCATCTGCAAAAAGAACAAATAGCTGTACTATCTTTGAGATGGATTTTCTAAGTTATCAAGACTTTTTAACCATATCCTCAGGAAGTTAAATACGATTGTGGGTTTGTAGCAAGGCACAAATACGATATTCAACGTTGAAAGTATTAGAACCAGTTCAGCGTCTTCTTAAAGTATGTAAATGGATGGTGAATTGGCAAGCAAAATGTTAATCAAAGCAAAACAGTAACTTTCGATATATAAACACAATTATTAGTCTTTTAACTTCATCTTTCACAAAGAAATTAGTCCCTAGGTCACTTTCCAGTCACATCTATAATGTGATGATTTTAGCAGGTGCGCAATTAAGACACACTTGTTTGAAGTCAGCTTTGACACTTTAATTTAGAATGACTACTTTAGCTTTGCTAATCACTACAGGGCTTCAGAATATGTAACACCAAAAGCAACCACACAAAGCAACGAAACTTTTCCATCCGATCAACAACACACCTGACTGATTTGTAGGTGTGAGACTTAGCACAAAACTTCATCACTCCAAGTTGTTACAACATGGAACAACATATATAAAAGTTGGTGGCTCACAACCTCCAGAAAGGACGGGAATTTATAACTTCTCCTTCTTACCTGAGAATACAGCTGAAATTCCTAATCAGAATATTCCTCCACCTAAATGAGAGCTAGTGATCGGAAGCACCCATGGTCAAAGACAGTCTCGTCATACCTTCCAACACCAACGACAATATCCGACAGCCGTTGAGAACGGCAGGGTTGCTGCACAGTACACAATATTTGATCGGCAGCCAGATATCACGGCTGCGCCAAAGATGACGCAAGATGGCAGAGGTCAGACGAACCTTTTTTATCCAAGCTAAGATTTCATCAGCGATCAGTCCATTAAGACTGGTCAACACAACCAACTACTTATCTTTCCATCCTTAAACTAGGAATTGGTTCAGATCAGTCCTTAAGCATCATCCTACATTGGACAGGGGCGAGTTGCATGCCAAAAATACTACTTTCTTTGCTCGAAGAATTCAGAAGGCTAGAATTTCTTAGCATTTGGACTTTAAGGGTTTATATCACCTCCATATTCTAGATTAACGAGACTATTCCCTCGTCGAAAGTCAGTCTCTAAGATATAGAAGTCGGTAAGGGTCATTCATTAGTACATCTATAATGAAATTAAATAGCTGTGATATTCAGCTAAGCAGTTCCAGACATAAACGTTTACGGACTAATGCATGGTAGGAGTTAGGAAAGGTGTCTGGAAAGAAGCAGTAACCTCCCACTAATCCTCCCTATTGATAAATTATAGAAAAGTGGTCTTTTTTGTCTACCATTGACTTGATATTGATAGCTGCTAAATAAGACAATGCCTCTCCTTATCATTGATATAAGAATAAAACTTGGGCACTGTGGTAGAGTGTAATTCCATTCCATTCTTTATGTTTGAAGTCAGTGCTGGCCAGCAGCACAGTTATCTGAGCACTGCCAGTTTATCATTATGGGACAACACAAACGCCCCTAATATTCTTAATCTGAATCGATTTCCGTACCAGAACATTACTGGCACCTGTTAGTATGAGTGCACCAGCAAACTGGACAGCTTGCGATAAGACTCATTCCTAACTTCATCAGAAGTGAAATCAGTTGCCACCTAGGAACAGTTCTCTAGCATCACAGACGGTTGCCTAGTGGGGTTGAATCGGGAAGCAGATTTTTCGCTCCTGAGCTCGAGGCTATTTCTATACTAACAAGTTAGCGAGAATTAGGTAAAGAATTGTGTCATGCCCATAAGGGGAACTTTGTATATGCACTTATGTTCGCCAGGTGGAGTGAGATAATATACAACCGAACCCCAAGATGCCAAAGTCTTGACTTGGCATAGTGTCCAGACGTTAAAGCCTTTAATACGGAGTTGGTAGCGTCACTGACACTATTACGTTCTACTATTACACCTCATTTTATATTAGTGTACTTCGCTTCTCATTATCTAATTCATCTAACTTAACAGAAGAAAATACAAGGAACCGCAATAGGATTCTTTGAAAGCCTGTATAGAAAAGACAAGTAGTTGTTGAGTAGCATTTCAGTTCAAGAAAGACATCTAGCCAGCTCTTGAAATGTTTCGAAACAAGCTCACCTTTGGCAACTGCATACACATTGATAACTATTTTCCAAATTGTGATTTGAAATAAAATAACCCAGAGAAACTTTGTTGGTTATTTCTCATTCTTTAAACAAGGTCAACACTTCGAGAAATTAGCGCTGCAAAAGAATGGTACTCTTTATCTACAACTGCTGTTTGAAAATTCGGTAATACTAGCTAAGCATGATTGTAAGTTACGAACTATGCATATAATAACGCCTAATGTAAGTTCTAATTATCTAGTGACCAAGAAAGCTAGTATTATATAGTCTACAACAAATAGTCAAAGTATCTATATCTATAAACACAACAGAAACACAAATACTTGTATAAGTGAGAGTTATATAACTGACTGCCTAACCATAAATCTGCCCTACTGTCGCTAATTTTGTTGCCACGGTTTCAATGTATCGAAAAGGCTGCACACGCTGAGAAAACGGACTCCGCTAACTCCAAACATCTCACTGACCAGTTCTGAGATCACAAGTACCATGAACTATGAGACGGAAAAAAATTATCATCCATAGTCTAATGAATTTGTGGAAGAAAATGCATGAAGTGTCCAACATCTGGCAAATATAACAGGATAAGATCCATCAACAAACATTTGGCAGTCAACTATGAGTAATCAGGCGAAGTAAACACTTCATTTACCTTCGGATATCTAATAATTATGATGAACTGCAAGAAAACCTCATCTGGAATTTGCTAAACTGGAGCAAAGATACGGTGAAAAACATAAAACCATGAACAGAAATGCATAATCCAAATTTTCAGTACCACACAAGAAAAACATCAAAGTTAAAAGAGAGAAGTCATGTGAAAGAATGTTAAGAGGAAGGAAAAACGAAAATTAATGTTTACATATGACTACCGAATTTCGACTTGCCTCGTTAACGATATAGTCGGACGATGTGCAAGGTGGTAATGGTGTGGTATCCTTCGAAACAGAAAACAATTTTTATTTCACATGATAACGTCTTAGTGTGATGCAAAATACAACTGATTCAAATCCAACATAATGATTTAGGGACAGTTGCCTGTAAGTTTAGGATGGGTTTTGCATTGTTGAGCTGAAAAGTATTTTCAGAAGATTGATGTGAACTCATTCTTGCACCCATTCTTGCAGGTAACTATTTAGAATTAACTGAGGGCCTAGGTAGTTGTAACAGTGTGGTGAGAGCTGGCTGCTAGCCAAAGTTGGTAGACAGTAATTGACGTCAATGTTTATGTCCCCAATATTTGTGGTGAGAAAATGAGAACAAAGGCTTTGCGTAGGCGGATACAGTTAGCATATGGATGATCTGACACAGCTACAAAGACATGCAAGGTTAACTTTCTGTGAGAAACAACCAACCAAAAGACTGTATTTTCTACTAACAATAATCTACAATAATGTACATTAAAATTTATAAATATGTGTTGATTTTCCTTAATAAACGATCTGTTGCCTGGCCCTTGTCTTCTGTTGTTACAACAGTACTGGCGATATAATGGGTGAGATATGAGGATAGGTTGTGTGTGCTTGGAGATCATCTTCCAACAAGCGACGTCATTTCGAAACACCAATTTTATGGCTCGAACATGTGTTGCACTTCACAAAACCCTGAGGTCAGTTGACGGAAGCTGAGTGGGCAGCTCATATAGTGGTGTCACAACATAAAAACGTCTTAAGAAATGTTCGAGATGTACTTAACAAGCACCAAATCCCCGAGCTCCTACAGCCATGTAAAATCAGTGTTCTTAAGATAGCGATCCGCAGGCGATAATTAACATTGAAATTGTGTCAGACTCAAGAAAATTCTTCATGAGGAATTTTAACGGAGCTAGGTTGTACGGTTCATTCTTCAGTCAACCGATACTCAGTGAAGTAAAAGCCAACTGCCTAGATCTTCACTACCTACATTTACTTATCTTAATGCTTCCGTAAAGCTAGTTAAATTGGTCGAAAGATAAAACAAGTCTGTGGAACTTCTGAACACTAGCCGTAATGATAGGCAAGGGACCAACTACAGTGATACATAACTCTATACTGGTTAACCTCGTTGATACAAGACAGGTCGACACCAACAGAGATTTAAAAGTTTATCGCATCCAGTCTTTCATATGCTTACGAGTCCGACTTTTACATACAACAGAGGCGACTGAAATTCGTCTGTATAAGCCAAACATGTGTTCGAAATAAATCCACACAGCAGCTTTCGTTGCCACGATTCCCTACATAATATGTAAGGAACTTTGAAAATGACCCTTTTCTTCGTAAATATCTATTATTACTCTTGTTTCCATTCTGTTTTACTAATGCTCCATATTTCTGAGCTCAATTAGCTGCCATATTTTCAACTGTTTACTTACAAGGCTTTAAGTTGCAGAGGTAAAGTTACAACTTCCATGTTCTTTTCTCCTATGGAAAATAACACAGAGATGAATGCACACTTGAATTTAGTTAAAAAGGACGACGCATGTGACTATTATACAATTCATTCCATATTTAACTTTCTTTTTGTGTCGCTTTCATTGCAGTTTATAAATGCCAAGTTTGTCTAAATAAAGAAAAATGCATTCACACATCTGACTGCATCAATATTCTCAGTACTCTTTGAATGACACGGAGAACAACTTTATTCTTAACAAAATAGAAGACTAAATGCTACCCTTATTTTAACCCACTTCATCGAAGTTCAGTAAAAAAATTCTCCAACTGGGAGATTTTTCTCCAGGCTTACAATAATGCTATACTAATTTTGAACTACACGTCCATAATGCAGTCTGATGATATTTTCTGGGTTTAAAAAACTTAGCGTGTGCCAAAGTAGTGCGGATAGTGCATATAACTTCCAGTGGGCAGTAAGCTAACGTCGGGTGTGTAGAAATAATGCTAGTCAGTGCTGAACCAGGGCTATAAACGCTCAAATGATTTGAGAAAAATACCAGTACGCGCTTAACTAACACGGATATGGCGAAAAACTGGAAGTGTTATTTTGTGCAGAATATCAAGTCATTTTAGGGTTTAGTCACTATAGAAAACAGGTTTTAGTTCAGAATTTGCGAGCTTTACTTTAGCAGTAATGCAAGCTTGCTTTCAAAGAAATCAACAGAGGGACATAAATTGCCAAGTGACTCAAATTAATTCGTCTACATACGAGTGTTCATTCCAGGTCAACTGGTTAGAAAATCACTATTGCCAAACGTATCTAGCTTTCAACAAGGTACCCAGTCGGAGAATGGGTTATATTCCGTTCGAAAGTAAGATAAGAACATAGTTAACTGGGGAAAAGGTTCATTGAGGACATGGGAAAAGTGGGTACACCAATTAAGTGAACAACTGAATAGACTAAATCAGCCCAATACGTCTTATTAGTTTTGATAGAAACGAAATGGGAGACTTGTGAGCAACTTTACGGCTGTTCTCAGACTTTTTAAACAAGAAAACATACCAACACATTAGAAACAACTCACTTTAAATGAAGTCCAGTATCCAATATCGTTTCTTCGAGCTAGTATAAACCAATTTGATTTCTTTATGATCGCCTCTTGATTGTGAGGTAAAAGTTCCTGATCGAGAGAGATTATTTAAATCTGGCGCCAAAAATTAGGCATAGCTTTATCGTTGCCTCAAAACAGAATTCCAATCCCCATTCAGGCTCCTTTGCCTCACAACAGGAATTCAGTGCACCTGTCACTCTTGTTAACAGCATTATTACCAAATTTTCTACTTTATGCCGCTGTCTTCAATTTGTTTGTAGTGGATGATTCCAGCTAGTACAATTTTTCATGTTTCCTTGATTCCATGGTGGCGCACAGCAGAAATTTGGAGTATATCTCTTTTTTCTGTTGGATTTTCGTTAGGCTCTAGCCTACATTTGAGAATTTTATTTCCTTTGGATTTCGTACTTTAGTGCATGAATGCATTGTTTACTACGCTATACAATTCTGTCAGCTCAGAAACTTTAAAAGCAAGAATAACAAATGTGATGCTCCAATATCATTTCTCTATGTTTGTCATCATCAGATGAAATTGTATGGAAAAGTACCTAGACAACCCATATATATCTTTAACTTCTGAGTACAACAGCCTTACGGACAGTTGAATACAATCCCTAACAACACTTTGTATCCTTTTTCAGAATAGGGTTCAAATGAGTACCGCTGCCACCAAAAATCAAAAGCGAAAGCAGCGAATTTTTATTGATGTGCAGCATCATTTAAACTTGAACTGTAACGCATTTTCCACATATTTTTTTACAAAACCTCAAACATTTTTCCAGCCTGATAAACTGATTACATTGGCTTACTTTCTCTTATTGTTGTCTCCAGCAGATTTCGGATTTCATATGACTTTCCCCAACACGGATCCTGACTTTTTCCTCATTGTTTTATTACTTTATTGCTTTAAGTAGGTAGGACAGTCCTGACAAAAGACACGAACTTTCTATTAAACATAAAGCCTCACTAAGCTTCGCAGTTGACACAACATACAATATACGAGTGTTGGCAACAATAACATGGAAATTCCTGTTATTCTATTAATATAAGTTTGCTCTGGATAAAACTTAAAAGCTGGCATGATTGATCATAGTGGACATTTATAAAATTATATTTGTAAAATCTCAGCGAAATTGAAATGATTAATTCCAACGTTTCGTTCGGAAATCTAGTCCGAACTTCTTCAGGGAAATTAGATAATTTTCTCACTCTGCACATTTTCAACAGACTGAAGATTTTCATAGTGTGTCGTCTTCATTTAAGATGGTAGAAACTGGGGCGTTGATAAGGCCTATCCCCTTTTTGAAGTGGCGCCTCCAGCTATACCTTGAGGACATTTGCGCGGTCTAGTTGATTTGAGTTTGGCTGATTTGTTTCGTTTGATCTAGGTAGCTGCATTTGACGTGATTCTGATTTTTATTTGGCTTTAACTGTGTTGATTTGGTTAAGAATGGTCGTCAGAAGCTGTCTCTAAGCCTGAAGGCATTTATCGTGCAGGAGGATGCTTGAGAATGTGTTTCATGTAAAAATTATAGCGTGCACCTAAAATCCTTGGAGTTAACTCCTGTTTGTGGCGTCTCAATGATTTCTGCAGAGCTTCGTTTTATCACTTGTGTCCATATTTGTCGTTCACGAGTGTTTCAGTAAATGTTTGTGGCTATAATCAGGAACTTTCCAAAGCGGTAATTGTGGTAAGGAATTCTGCTACAGTTTCCAAGTCAATGTCACTTTCAAATTGCTTATTGTATTCTGTTGGCGATTCGTGAATTTTTAATTCAAAAGCTTCTGTTTTCATTTACGGTAATAATCAATGAACGCATTGGCACCTGGATACAATGGGAACCAACCTGCCCTTCCTATATCAGTGGACATCAAAAAATCTTTTGACGGAATTATGTTTAGTCACCAGTATACCAGTTGGGTTCAAGTAGAAGATGCTTTATCAATGTCTACCATGACGCAACCTTCGACTGGAATTTCAGCAGAGGATGATTGCAATGTCAGTGCAACACGGAAGCACATTCTCCTACACCGGGCAAAAGTCTCTCTTCAACTGCACAATAATGGTGATAGTGAGAAGCGAAAACGATCAAAACTAAGGCAGTTCAATGCGGAAGACACCAGAAGTTCTCTCGTGAACTTTAAGTAATCACCACCAAGATTAGTAGGACAGGATCGTTTGTCATATGATGCCTCTCTTTTTTGTATAACGGTACGCAGCATCAACTTGCTACAACAGGAAACTCTTCTATCAGAAGCACTGGACTTATTTGTTTAGCTAATTTGGACTGTGTGGATCGTATAGGTGTCGCCAAACACTTTTTTAACCGTCAGTTTTATTGGTAGATACCCTCTTAGTTAAGAGTAAGACTGATCTGAGATGGTCGCTCAAATACCGAAACAGATAACTTAGTTCCCATTTGAATCCAGTGATAATCATATTAGCGGAAATATGGTCAACGTTTGCTGTTCCTACGCATGGAGTCAGTATAATTGACATGATTCTAGTTAGGAGAAATAGAGGTCATAAGGATGTAGGTGGGGTTTTCAGATATCGGTGAGCTACTGAGGCGAGTATGGACAGGATATAAAACACTCACTGAAGCCTTAGACTAACTTTGGTACCCACTCAATGCCGGCGGGAGAGTAAACACACTAGGTAGCACATGCAGGCCACCATCATGAGCAGTAAAGTCAAAACGGTCACTAGTTAGCGCTATTGTGATAGTAAGTAATCTGCGTTATATACAAGCGTCTTCAACGTGCCATTTCTGACCTTAGAAACAAGGAGTGACAATGACAATTTTGAATGAAATCTGTAACGCAACATTAAAAGTCGGACGTACTGGCAAAATTGATGATGACAACCAGAAGCGAACTATATTTTGAGTAGAGACCATTTTACAACACATAACGTCCCAGCGAAAACTGCTCCAATTATCAGCTATCATGTGATCATGAAGACTGATCTTGTAATCAGTGGGTTCAAAGAGTAGGATGTTCTTATCTCAGTCTGTGCTGTAGCAGGACCAACAGCCCAAAAATGAGGCAACCTCTATCTCAGACTGCATTGCCCACATACAACTATGTCGCTGCCACTTGACGGAGTCCTGATAGTTCGAATGAAACAACACAGACAGTCAATTTATGCAACATCCACCTAGTGATTAAACACCAAATGAAACGAGCTTCCTCTTATAAGGGAGAAGTCCAGCATACTCTTCAGGCTGAAAGAAAAGTGCGGTATCAGCGACGATTGTCGAGAAAGCAAGGAAGTGGTGAAAGGCATACAAAATACAGAAGTGAAGAATTATTGGAGGTAATTTCAGGCAAATCCAGTGGAGAAAACTCCTAACGAACCCCGGAAAGAGAGCCTATGAACCAAGGGTTCAACATTTCTCAAAGCCTGAGTAGATTGCATTTTATTTTCTGCAATTCGCTGAAGCGTCCACTTTGGCCTTTGATAGATCAATAAAGAGGGTAATGCGGGACATTAACATCAGGTAAAACGATTCGCGTCTCATAACAAAACACATACTTGATGAGAGCTTTCTACATACAAGTCATGGAAGTCTTAGCTGGGTTTGCTTAACTTAATCAAGAGAAGTTCCTGAATTATACCCCACAGAAGCCCTCAGCACCCCCTTGTGTGATCTAAACTAACTGACAGACCAAAAGAAACTAATGAAGGAGTGGAATGCAGACATCCTATCAGTGACCTTCCAAGGTGGATACTCTGAAAAACCCACGCACTACAATTCTGTCGCATCAGTGGTACAATAAGACCTGGAAAACAGCATTTGGGAACAGCATACTTCAGGGAACAAAATGTGTCTTAAAGCAAAGTAGTTGCTGTGACTATCGGCTTGAAAGTATGGAATATCATACTATGATGTGAATGTGTTTGATCTCAAGAAGTCGTTCGGTTTTTTTCAATATGCATTTCCTTTCTCAAAATGGGTGGTTCAGGTAGAGACTCTTCACTCCACTTGTGGCTTAAGCAAAACCTTGGTCGAGTAGGGATCTGTACTAAAATTAACTGTATACCTTCATCTTAGTGCGTATTGAAAGCCCAAGCATCTCAAGGTTTTTGAAAAATATATTTTATGTTTCTGAAATTCATAGGTGATTGTACATATGTCTGTAGTGCCCGGCTCTCCACTACGCCAATGACTTAGATGTTCAAATCACTCATTTGGCAGATAAAACGCGCACGATTCACCACTGTTTTTCAAATCAAGATTGACATCCTTGGAAAGTGGTAGGTGCGTGACGAATGGAAAGCTTGAAATGACGGTCAAATATATTCATACAACAACACACGGCTTATATCTAACCAACTGCTGATAGGAAGAAACCAAGATGTATTCTGGATGTAATGCAATGTCACGGTGGTATTAAGGTAGGTTTGTCCCATCTGTCCTCTACAAACCTCACATTCTTACCTGTGTCTCTCTTTTGTCTCTCCGGTTTATTTACCTTCTTAAAATTTTAAGTGTTTGTTTATAACTTAATTTTCATAATGAAATTTTTGCTATTAACTTATCATTCTTTTCACACCACACGCAGCAATTAAATACGGTCACACCACAAACTACTTCTAAGGATTAGATGACTTTCTCACTCTATACATTTTCAACACGCTGAAGATTTTCATCAACGTCTGCCTTCGCTGTATAGTGAAGATCAGATGGCTGCTTGAAAAGTATAGGCGACAAGTGACTCCAGAAGAAAACCTATCAAAAACTCTTCGCCTGACAAAAATGCCTGGGGAAATGGCGATGGAGTGGAGGGCAATTCTATATTCTTGATTGGAACCCAATTGGGAAACGACGAATTGATCAGGTGAAAGCCTAAAGTCAGCTTTGTTGGCAGGTGAAATATATTGCAGAGAACAAAGGGGAATGGTGGCGTACTGATGAAGCCCTATGCTGCAGTTAGAATCCAATGGAATAATAACGTGCACACAGGGTCCATTAGAGCTGATGTCTCTGAAAGCACAGAAACTGACCGAGGATAAATGTCGGTTTTTTTACAAAGGAAAATAGACCCAAAGAGATGGGTATATTGTATACCATTTTCAGGTACCGTTATTGGAATTCGAATTTTTGGGTTATTTGGAGACCTTGAAAAGCATTCAAAAATATAAGGTCAGTTATAATATTTTAATTGATTTTTATTGTTCGAAGTGTATCTTAAATAGAGGTGTATAAGTGAAGAGCCTAATCTACGCTGAGGCACCGCATACATTTTTTTTGTAAATTACGAAATGTTAAGATACATTATCTGGCTAAATAAAGCACTATACCGTGAATATCTGAACGTTTGGAATTTTACTAGTGAGGTGTAAATATGATTCGGTTTAATGACTTTACTTTAGACCAGTAGGGTATATGATGTGAATTATTCTTTTAGTTCATGTCAGCCGTATGAGTTTAACAATGTGCACATTGTGTTCTTTCGACTATACATCTCTCTTTATCGTATATCTCATATCTTACCATCTCATTTAGCAACCTGATCTAATATATAAGAATTTTTGTAATTGCAGATAATAAATTCAAGTTTGTTCAGTGGCTGAATAGCTTTTCGGCTAGCTAACTTCTCAAATTGACATACGTATCTTAAAAGTTAAAAATCCGTTTGTTAGCAGTCTAAACTCTTGATTTTTTTCTAGTCACGAAGTGTGAGGAAGGGCACGAGATTTTAAATTCAGTTGTTTATAATGTGTATCTTTGTGGGATGTTTGCCTCCAGGTTGACAGTTAAGAAGTTAGAAGAATGGAGTTCTAACATGGTTGTGAATAATTTTATATTTACTGTCTGTCTTTGAGCGTGCTTGGACAAATCGGGGGTTATCTTCCAACAAGCAAGGTCATCTTGAATCACCAGTTTTATTGGTTCGAACATGTATTGTCAGTGCCATCTCAGCAGTTTCTCTACCATTCAGTCTGAAAATCCTGAGGCCAGTCCATAGCATCTAATCAGCTCATTGCATGGAAAAAAGTACAGTAGAATTAATTTCTGTTAGTAAATGGTGTTATGATTGTGATGTCAGACTTCTTTCTACTCAGTGATTATCAGATTTGGCGAAGGACTGACATCTGCCTTGTTTCTTCTATGAAAAACTGTCCACGTGATCGGGCGTTCGTTTAAGTGCATTTAATGAGAATACCCAACTCTTTCTTGTTTTTCTATCATTTTCCCTTTTCTATTTTTACGGTTGTTATATAATCTTGGTACATTTATACCTCTTGTGCTTCAAAAACGTGCACTAACTGAATACACCAACAAAACGCTGTTATTTCTGCGCGGATTAAGAACAGTTCCGCAGCTTCCGAGTGCACTTAAACCTGTATAATTACTTCAGTTACGTGCAGAAGATATCCTTCTATACGTCTTTGTAAACGCTGTTTTTTTGTATAGCGATCGTCTGAAGAGGTTAATCAAATACAATTTGAAAATAACTACCCCCTGAACTTGCAAATGTATATATGTGTATCCTGCTGTAAAGTGAATGAAGAATTTTGTTTGATTTGTATACTAAATTAGCCGATTCCAATAATTTTTAATGAATTGTTTTATAGCTCTTTTGTGATACTAATTCATTTACACATCTCATCTTTTCTTGTTACTCATTTCAACCAATTAGTTGTTTACTTCAGGACAGTATAAGAAAATGTACTACCATCATTTCCGACGCTGCTATTCGTTTCCATATAAAGGTGCTAATGTTTAATAGTAGAAACCAATCGCCCTCGTGCATATAATTAACCATTCAAATCCAGTGTGATTCTCACACAGAATAGCAGATTCTCTCTTTCGTGACTGAGTTTTCCCGCAATGAACATATTAGACTTGATAAATAAAGCCAAATCTTTCATTTTAGGGGATTCTGTAAAGTTACTTAAATCGACCAACATAATGGAAGGTTTATGCACTCAAAAATTGCGTTTTCCACAGTAGCACTTCTCGAGTGTGAATAGCTTTACGGAAATACCTTAAGACTCTTTTAATCGAGATTTTCATATGTGATACAAAAATATTACATAGTGGGTTAACATTCCTAGTTCTTGGTTAGTTATGTTATCCAACGGTAACACTTCGTGACAAAATTTGACATTCGTTTGCTTGTTGGGATGGCTTTTAAACAAAACCAATATTTGGATAATTAAAATACTACCAAATTGTGAGTAATGCCAATGCAAATCACACATGCACCAA